TATACTTATTTGGAACTACCAACTGTCACTGAGGATGCCAGTCCTTGTGTTGACCAGAAAGGGTCTCCTTATATGACAGTCCTCCTCCTACAACAAACCTGGACCTATTGGAAGAGCTGAGAGGCGGTGGGTCACTCTGTGCCACCATCCAAGCTCCCTTGAGGCTTTCATCCGCTTCCTGCTCTGCTTGGAACTGCTCCCTTGATGCTGGAGACATTACTTCCTTGCTGAGTTGTGGACTTGGGCTTGGTCCCACTGGAAGTGATGCAGGTGATGTGGTTGTCTCAGTCGATTGTGAACCGCTCTCCAATGGTGCACTAGATTGTACTTCAGGCTCCGGTTGAACTTCTTATGCTAGTTTAGCTGCTGCTGCAGGTGCAGGCTTTATGGCGCCCTTTGGTGTTGGCTCCCCTGACGCTCTGGTGGAGTTGTAAGCACGGGCTCTGGTGCTGTCTGCTATGCCAGTTCTGATCCTTCGGCTGGTTCTGGCTGGGTTGCAGGAACTGGATCTACAACTGGTGCCATAGACTCTGGTCTGGGGTTGGGTTCCACCACGTCTGGCTAGGTCCCTGTAGGAGGCTCAGGAATGGAGTTGTGTGGAGGCCTGTTTAGCCTGGCTGCGGGTGACCATTCCAACGCGTTTTGTTAGCCTCACATGGTTGGCTAAGTCTTCTCCCAGCAACATGGGAATGGGATAATCGTCATAGACTGCAAAAGTCCATATTCCTGACCAGCCCTTGTACCGGACAGGCAACTTGGCTGTAGGCAAGTTAAAAGAAGTGGCCTTAAATGGTTACACCATCACTTGGCCCTCAAGGTTGATGAATTTGGAGTCCACCAGGGATTGGTGGATAGCTGACACCTGTGCTCCCGTGTCTCTCCATGCAGTAATTTTCCTCCTGCCCACATGAACAGTTTCCCTTCGCTCTGGGGGTATTTGCGAGGCATCTGGGCCTGAAGGCTCTCAGTGGGACTCCGGAGTGATGAGTTGCAGTTGGCTGGCACTCTTGGGGCAGTTGGTCTTCACATGCCCCAGCTCATTACATTGAAACATTGCCCAGCTGACTGTGGGTTGGGGCGGGGTGGCTGGTTGGAGAATGGGGTGGTGAGACGAGAGGGCATCTGGGGTTTCCCTGGCTGTGTGGAGTGCTCCTCCTTGCGAGGTGGGGCCTTGGGTTGACGCTGATGGTGGGGTGCTGCCTTAGGTTGCCCCTTCTGGTATCCGCTCCAACTGCTACTAGCTTTTTTCTTCTCTGCCACCTCCACCCATTTGGTTCCGATCTCCCCCGCCACGATTACAGTGTTGGGCTTCCCATCTAGGATGTACCTTTCTATTTCTTCAGGAACATCCTCTAAGAACTGCTCCATTTGTATGAGGAGAGACAGATCTGCCAGTGATTTAACATTTGCTCCTGATATCCAGGTATCCCAATTTTTCACAATGTGGTAGGCGTGTTGGGGAAATGCCACGTCTGGTTTCCACCGTAGGGCTCTGAACCACCGACGGGCATGCTTGGGAGTTAGTCCCATCCGAATTCTCACTTTGTGTTTAAGAAGTTCGTACTTGTTCATGTGTTCTTTAGGTATTTCAGCTGCCACCTCTGTTAAGGGTTCTTGGAGTTGTGGCCTTAGCTCCACCATGTACTGGTCTGTAGGGGTGTTGTACCCAAGGCAGGCCCTTTCGAAATTTTCTAAGAAGGCCTCTGTATCATCGCCTACCTTGTATGTGGGGAATTTTTTGGAACGGGGGGCATGGTACCTGGAGAAGGATTGTTAGGGCTACCTGATTCATCCAGCTTAGCCCTTTCCAGCTCTAAGCGCTTCAGCTCCAGTTCCAAGTGCTTTGCCTCTCTCCTCTCCTCCACTTCCACCTCCAAGCACTTCATTTCCAAGCGCTTCAGCTCTCTCCTCTCCTCCGCTTCCACCGGCCAGCGCTTCGCCTCTGCTTCCAAGCGCTTCATCTCTAGGATGAAATTCCTTTCTGCCTCAGTTAGAACTCGGCCTGAGTTAAGGGCATCCCTCCATCCTGTCACTGGGATCTTGGTTGGGGAGGGCTGACCCTTCCCTCCTGGGAAGTCCCCATTCCGCCATCCCCTCCCTGCATTTCCGTCATGGAGCTGGATGTCTGGGCTTGATCTGGGTCTGTCTTCTCTGTGGCATGCCGCTTTGGAAAGACTGTTTTTACTAAGGTTTCGGTGCCTGACCTCAACCTCCTGCACAGGGCTGCCCTACTCTAGCCTCGCTATTTCCTTGCCAAGAAGCCAGAGGAAAATAGAAAATAAACTGCTTGTTGGATTCCCTGGCTTGGCAGGCTGACTCCTTTGTGTGCCTGTTCCCCCTCAGGCAGCAAAGAAAAGAAAGAGAGAAAAAAACCTCCCCGGCTTTGCAGGCTGCCAAAAGGAAAACTCTGTCCTTTTAAAATCCTGAGGTCTGTGCTTCTGGTTCAAAATGATCCCACCGCTTTGCCACCATGTCAAGGCTGATTCCCCACTCTGGCACTTTGAGTGCAGAAGGTGAGGGCCCGCAAGGATTAATACTGGCCACTCCGGGCTTATATTAAACGCCTAAGGTTATGGCTTCTCTCTGGCCTCGGATGGGTAGATGCTGCCACCACCCAAATGCAAAAAAACCCCTCCTTTTGAGAACCCAGAAAGGCACATTTGGGAATTCCTTCCTGTGGGGTACCCTCAAGCCCTTTCACGACCCCCTCCGGGGAAGAGCTCAGAAAGAAAAACAAAGGAAATTAGCTGTTGTCACCAGCTAATTAAACAACATATGTACAAACCTCTGAGGGACACAAAAATCCAATCCTGTTCTTAAAAAAAGGTAATTTTTATTAAAAACAAAAAGAAAGAAAATACAACTGAAAAATAGGCTTTTTGCTAGATCAAAAAAAAATTACAAAAATTAAGCATCAAGATAGCTCTCTTGAGGTTCAGCTTAAAAGTTACAAGCAAAACAAAAGCGCCTGGGCTTAGCACAGAGGAGTCCACAAGTCAACAGAAAATAAAAGAAATAACCCTAATCTCATCTTCCTAGGCCTTCCCTGACTTACTCACGTATCTGGGGTTTCAGATAAGCAATCTCTAGGTATGATCTGATGGGTTTTCATACATGGCTTGAAGCTTCTTACATCATAGTTCAGCCCGGTTCCTGCTCTGCATCTCCTCTCTCCAGATAACAACAGAAAAACAGACAAAGGGAAAGTTTTTTTCCCCAATTTTAAAAAGTTCTAGTCCTCCCATTGGCTCTTTTGGTCAGGTGCTCACTCCCTTCTTTTTATCTATGGGCTTTTTTTAACCCTTTTCAGGTAAAGCAAGTAGAGAACAGCTACCAAGAGGGATTTTATAGCTAACTGGCTGGCTGGGTGTCCACAACAGGAAGCTCCCACCGCCTCCTTCATTTATCACAAGGTGTCTACACCCCTGCACCTCTAATTGGAGATTTTAGGTAATGGTGTCCGTTTGGTTGGCACATGCACTCTCCCTCCCTTGTGCTCTGCCTCGAGGCTACCTAGCATTGCACGGGCAAACCGTACTCAGTTCCTTCTCAACCCCCCCTTGGCCTGAGATAGAGTGAGTAGCAGTCTGGATTACTTACTTACTTTCTAGTTGATAGTGTTTTGTTTATAGCTTCTTACACAGTTTCTGTTTCCTTTTGTAGAATTTCGTAGCGCTTCCATTTTTCTTTTCAAAAAAAGTTTTTTTCTGCCTTTTCATAGAATTGTAGGACTGGAAGGGACCTCGAAGTCTTCTAATCCAGTTTCCTGCACTCAGGGCAGGACTAAATATTATCTAAACCAGCGGTTCTCAAATTCCATTGCACCGCGACCCCCTTCTGACAACGAAAATTATTACATGATCCCGGATGGGAGGGGTGTCAAAGCCTGAGCCCCACCACCCTGAGTGGTGGCCAAAGTTGAAGCACAAGAGCTTCAGCCCTAGGCAGGGGGGCTTTAATCTGAGCCCTGCCAACCAGGGCTGAAGCACCTGGGCTTTGGCCCTGGGTGGTGGAGCTTGGACTTCAGCTTTGGCTCCAGACAGTGGGGCTCAGGCTTCGACCCCGGTCCCCAGCAAGCCTAAATGCTAGCCCTGGCAACCCCATTAAAACAGGGTTGTGACCCACCTTCAGGTCCCAACTCACAATTTGAGAATCACTGATCTAAACCTTCTGTGACAGGTATTTGTCTAACCTATTCTTAAAAATCTCCAATGACGGAAATTCTACAACCTCCCTAGACAATTTATTCCAGTGCTTAACCACCCTGAAAGTTCAGAAGTTTTTCCTAATGTCCAACCTAAATTGCCCTTGCTGCTATTTAAGCCCATTGCTTCTTGTCCTATCCTTGGAGGTTAAAGACAACAATTTTTCTCCCTCCTCCTTGTAACAACCTTTTATGTACTTGAAAATTGTTATCTTGTCCCCCTCAGTCTTCTCTTCTCCAGACTAAACAAACCAAATTTTTTTCAATCTTCCCTCACAGGACAAGTTTTCTAGACCTTTCATCATTTTTGCTGCTCTTCTCTGGACTTTCTCCAATATGTCCACATCTTTCCTGAAATCTGGTGCCCAGAACTGGACACAGCACTCCAGTGGAGGCCTAATTAGCATGGGAACAGAGCAGAATTCCTTTGTGTCTTGCTTACAACACTCCCGCTAATACATCCCAGAATCATGTTTGCTTTTTTTGCAATAGTGTTTCCGTGTTGACTCATATTTAGCTTATGATCCACTATAACCCCCAGATCCCTTTCCGCAGTACTTCCTAGGCAGTCATTTCCCAATTTGTCTGCGTGCAGCTGATTATTCCTTCATAAGTGGAGTACTTTGGTCTGTTTAATGAGATGGATTCTATTTTGGCTTCTGCATCATCAACAGAAATGGTAACTAAATTTCATTGACAGGATCTTTATTACTAGTTATTCAAGAGACAGTAAGGAAACATTGATTTTCAGATGTGAGGTTGAGTGTGCAGTTTTGGTGGTTAGAAAAATTGTTTTAACTTGTACACAGAACAGATTTGCTGACCAGTAACCAGTCCTTGAAGGCCATAATGCCACCTATACAGACAAGCGCCATTTGCTTTTCAGAGTGTAACAAAGCTCTGTCTTTACAACATTTTGTGACGTGTATACCATGCGCTATCAAGGCTATGCAATACCTTAGTTGAAAAACTAGACTGTGACCTGCCTTTCATTTGTATGCGAGTCTTGTCACGTCACAAAAAGTTGCATTCATGTCTCATTTTAGGTCAGCAAGTTCCTTTCAGCTATATTCTGTTATACATGAGGTTTGGAACCAATGAAAAGGATCAAGTTAAAATTCACATGTTTATAGTACACACATTTCCTTAGTTCTGTCAGTAATGTTAGAGAATTAAATCTGAAGGGATTTTGAAACTCATTTCTTTTTCTTTATCCTGTTTACATTTTGACTTGACTCAGCATTTGACAAAGAAAACAGAGTTGTCCATTTCACTTTGTGGCCTTAATATTTCTCAGTGTCTGTTAAATAAAATATTTCAAATGTACAATGGTAACTTTTATACTAACTTGGATTGCTTATAAAATGAAAGTTAATGTCCACGGTGTATCTGCACAAGTGAAAGCAATACAGGTGCTGATTTCACAAGTGCACAGTTCCTGGATTGCAGCGGGCTAAACCGTTTGGAAAATCTGGCCACACGTATAGCATCTGGCTGAGTGTATGCCATACATGTCTCCATAGACCAGACAAAGATCTCAAATTTACATAATGTTACTGAGGATGGAATTTGAGTATCTCAGATTTTTTGCTAATTTCTGAATTAGCTCAAATGTGTCAAATAACATTTAAGCAGAGAGTTCTCTGTTGAATGTATGCCTGAAGATGCCCATGTATTTTTTTCTGTTCCAGCTAACACATGGTTCATGCTGCTCTTAATGAGCCAAATTCAGTGCTGATGTAAACAGTGAAACAACACTTTTATATAAATGGAAGAAATTCCATCAAAACCGCTTTGGGATTTAGCTCAATAAATTCAGTGTGCAGGAGTCCTGACATATTACAGTAGTGACTGTCTCAGAGTAAACATTGTGATGTAGATTTCCTCAGCTCCATGCAGAATTTTATTACTCTCTCCCCGTTGGGAATTTTAACCATCTCCACTATCCTAAATGAAAACAAATCTGCCTTCCACAATGCAAAACTGCAAAAGGCTGTAAGGTTAGCTGTGTAATATATGAATGATTTTAGTAAGCAACATAAAAAAGACAAAATCCCGCACAAGATCCATTGCATAGTAATGCAACTTTGTTTTAATAATCCTCACAATCTGTGCCCTGTTCAGTAAATAATTTATCCAGAATCAAAAGCACTGCTCTGAGAGCCATATCAGTAGAAGCTATCTCAATCTTTTTGTTGGGGTACTAGGAGGTTTCCATCTGTTCTATTTCTTATCCACAGTTGTGAACTTCTGGTATACACTGCACATGGAAAAATATTCTAAAGACTGTTGAAATTACTGATCAGTATACAGAACAGTTGTTCTTTGGTCTGCTGTCTTAAACTGGAAAGTCAAGATCTTAATACAGTTTTCTTTCATTAGCAATTAGTTAGAAAATCCTGTCAGTTCCTAGCATTTGAGTTCCCATTTTACTGTTGCTGGAATGAAATGAATTTTCAGGGTGTCTACGTGAAGAAACATGAACGGAGATTGATGATGTTAACACTTTGTTGAAGTGAATGACTTTTTCCTTTGGGGAATACAAAGCATTATTGTTGTGGCTAAGAATGTGCAGTTTCCATCACAGTATTTTTAGAGGTATTGGTCAAAGAGTTTACAATCTAAGCATATGACGGGACAACCGGTGCACGACAGAGGAGGTGTTATGCACATAAGGGAAAGTGTCATTATTTGCAAGAACATGGGGTGGGATTTTCCAAAACACCTAAGGGAATTAGGTGAGCAATTCCCATGGAAGATGCATGGAAGTTGACAGCTAACTTCTTAAATGGCTTTTGAAAATCACACCCAGGATCTTTTTTTCACATCTAGGATGTGCTTTCCACTGTTTAAGTGGTATGTGTTCATGGTGTGTGAACCATGGTGTGTGAACCTCTGTGTGTCTTCATCATGGACCAAATCCTGAGGACCCTGACATGCTCAGCACCTTGCAGCATCAAGCTCTCAGCTGTTACTCATTCAAACTCCCTTGGACTGGGTACCTGCGACCTATGTCTGTGTAAGGTAGGATGGGGTTAAAGTCCTTCACTGGGCAAAATGGTGGAAACTCTCTCTCAAGAATGGCCTGGAAAAAAAAAAGTGGTCAGCTGTGGATTGTTCAACTGTTGGGAGGTGGAATTGATAGCTGTGCCTGCTAAGCAGAGAAAGTCATAAAAGGGGAGCAAATGTTCCCAGAAATGGAGGGGGGGAAGAGAAGCAGTTCTCTTCATAACCCAGGAAACACCCAGATCCTGTCTGGAAAAGAGGAGGGATAAGATGACACCCAGACATGGTAATCAAATGCAGTACAGGTTTGGGTTTGGCTGAAGGGTATGCAGTTGGATGAGGCAGACAGAAATTGCCCTGCAATTGTTTTCTGGGACTGAAAGGAACTGCTCTTGACTGTTTTGTTTTCCTTTGACGGAGATTGAGCCAATACTTTGCCCTCCCTTTCGGAGCCTAATTTAGAGGCCATGAGCTCAACTCCCAGGGTGGCTGGTTACACTGCTATTGGCTTTAAAGTGATATATCTTTGTAATTAGTCTGTTTGAAAATCCTCTGAATCAAAGTCTGTTTCTCAGTGCTGTGAATTTTACCACAGAAGTAGATTCTAACCTCATTTAAGTGGTGTATAGAGTAGAACTGGGCAGAAAAAGGTAGCTCTGTTTCACAGAGGATTTTGATATTTTGAAATTTGGTTTCATTCCAGTTAGGATCACCCAACATTTCAAAATTCTCCATGAAATGAAATGGAGCCCGGGCTCCAGTGCAAAGTCTCTTGACATTTTACCCTGGAGCCACAAATCCTGGTAGCGCGAGTTGTTGCAGAGCCAGATGGACAAGTTGGCAGGAAACCAGGCAGGCTTCCTTGGCAGGCAGGGTTCTATTGGAACACTGTCGATCTCAAATAGTCTCCAAGAAATGTTTCCATTTTGGCAAATTCTGACAAAACCAGCTCCAATATAGATCCTTTGTGGGCTCTTTGCGCCGGAATGGATTTTCCCTCTATTGTGAACAAGTTTTTCAGTAGTTTTAGTGCTATTCAAACAGGCATTTACTATAATGGACATTTCTATTCTTTTACAGCTAGGTAAAAGACTTGTGGGTTTTCAACTTGTTGAAAATGTGGCTAGTGTTTTAGCTTGCCATTTTTTAAATAATTTTCAACAGTATAAAGTAATCTTTAAAGATCTGTTACTACAGGCCCCTGTGGTGGAGGTTTCACTTTTCTTTTTAAATAGAATTGACAACCGTTTGTTGTCTTCAGCTATATGGATTACGGCTTTACATTTTCATTTAAATATGCTGAGAAATGAATTGCAAAGAAAATATAAGCAGCATCTTATGCCTTCATTATCTGGTTTATTTTCTTGCGTAACAATCAACCGTTAGCTTATTTTGACAAGTTTTTGCTTTTCATTGCTTATGAAATTTCATTAGCAAATTAATTTTGCAGTCTGTAACTAGTAAAATGGTCATTGATCTCTTTGTTTTTACTATGTGCTAGCATAAGTTTGCAACAAAATCACATTCCCCCCCCACACACCAAAAAAATAGAATGTATGAGTGTAAATTCAACCAAATATATAAGAAATTGTTTGGACACAACTACGTTTATACATCTCAGAGAGAGATGCACATAGAATCAACAGGAAACCTGCTATTGTGAGCGCTCATTTTAAAGTTTCCTAAGGTTTCCAGTTCAACTTGATTATACCTTCAGTGTAAGACCAAACTGTACTTGTCACCTGTGTACTAGGGTGGTGAACGCAATGTAATAGAACTTAATGTTGCTGTTTCTTTGGTCGGTCACTTACACTAGGTTTCACTATTCATATGCTTGTGTATGTGTGCATATAACTATAATACACCGTTTGTATCTTTCAGTACTATACAGGCAGCCAACTTTTACACAGATGGAATAGAGCTGTGCACAACTTCAACTGAAATCGGACAGTGAGCACCATTTAAATCTTTAGCACAATTTGCTTCTTCCCCTGGCAAGACCCTCAGCATAACCCCTCAGATTTGTTTTCCTTTTTTACCCATGCTTCATGCAGACCTGACATCTGCTAATTTTTTTGCGCTGTTCATGCCCGTCTTTAAGGGTTTCTGACAGAGACGCAGAGACAAACTGCAATTCTGGCCTGACGATTGTTAACCAGAAGCTATATTCATTAGCAAAAAATTGACATGTTCCCCGCTGACCCTGGCATTCGATGAATGGTGCTGATCTAAAGTCTTCAAGGCAACTTCCAGTTGACATAAGAGACTGTCCGCCTCCCTGATCTCCAGACCCAGTGTGCTGAAAAAAATAATGAAAAAATTAAATAACTGCATGTGAAAAACAGGAAAGAGATTTTTTATTGCTTTTATTTGGTTCTGGGACTTTTTGCAGCAAGGCAAATGTTCCTAGATGTGTGAATCTGCAAAGGCATAATACTTGGAAAACTCAAGTTACAATAAACTTCCTTTCATGGCAGGAAGAATCAGTTCTAGTCATTCTAGGACTGGCTTATCTCAAAAGTCCAGACCAGCCTTGCAGGTCAGCACCAGGTACATCTCATACTGGAGGGAAGCTGTAGTTTAGATGGGCTCAGGATTTTTTAACAATAGTATTATCTAAACTTGCTCAAATGACATGATTAAATGACATGATTTAAAAGCCCAAGTCTTGTCTACCCCAGGTTTTCTTGAAACAGTAATTCCTTATGGGTGTTTCCCCTAACTATACACAGGCGGAAGCTACACTGTAGAAAAGATTCCACTGGTCCAAACCCTGCCTCCTTGCCCTCATGGTTCAAAACTGCTCAGTTCCCAAGGTGTCAAAAACCTAGGGATGCTAACTGTCAGAGTGGTTAAGCACTGGAATAAATTGACTAGGGAGGATGTGGAATCTCCACAACTGGAGATTTTTAAGAGCAGGTTAGACAAACACCTATTAGGGATGGTCTAGATAATACTTAGTCCTGCCATGAGTGCAGGGGACTAGACTAGATGACCTCTTGAGATCCCTTCCAGTTCTGTGATTCTATGAAGTGTCCAAAGGCTACAAAGAGAAGGGGGGGAAATTGCCCTAATGATGATTTATACTCTGGGCCTAGGACATTGGGACATATACTGCTCTGTTATGCTCCAGTGTAAAATGGAGTAATTCCATTGAAGTAAGTGATATTATCCAACTTTTATATTCCTGTAAATGAAAGAAGCAGCAGGTCCATTGTTTCTTATTTGTCTGTAAAGTGCTATGCACATTTATGATTTTGCATAAATAATGAAGTCAGCAAAAGATTATGGTTTCCAGAACCACAATGATTACAGCTATAATACAAATATTACAGATCTGTGACTTTTACAGATTTTTTTTCAACTGTTCCCACTGCTTTTCCTTCCAAACAATGAGGGTCCCAAGTGAAAAATGAAAGTTAAGTGCAAACAGGTGATGCTTTCCATTTCTCACAGGAAAATACTGAAATTATGATTAAGATTTTTATGATTATTTTTCGGCCAGCTCTATTATTAAATGTGTGTGTGTATACAATATAAGCTACATAATCCAAGAGGCTATCATTCCCAATCTTGATGATTGCTAAGGAAAAGCACATAAAAGTTTTATAATAGAAACTTGAATATAACCAAGTAGCTTCAGTCTTACCATTAAAAAAGAATAGCCTATCCAAAGACTTCTCCAGTTCAATGGGCATGGGGGAATGGACTGATCTTGGCTATGGACTGCTACAGCTTGGGCTGAAGCCTCACATACAGCACATCTGCTAATGTAGGGTTGTATTTCATCTTCAGAGAGAGGCATCATTGGTAAAGGAGCAGCAGCTGACAGCCAGTAGGACTTATCATTTCGACTGGCATAGTTACAAACTTGGTGGATGTTGCAGAAGACAAACGGCATGGTGTTGAATACAGGAAGACAGGATCCTGCCAGGCCTAAAACAATTACATATCCTGAAAATCGAGCACCTGTACATAGTCACCCAACAAACAGACCATCTATTTCAAGGAAGTGGAAACATCAGGAGAAATTAGTACAAGGCTGTTGGAATCTACAAGTCTCCCACACGCAAAGAATCATGCAATGCTTTGCAAATTTTTCCTATTTTTTTTTCAATGAATAGCACTGTAAATTCCACTCTCATGACCAACCTCTGTGCTAAAGTCATTGTCATAATATAAAGTTTGTTTCTAGACAGTTTGAAAATAATATTCTAGCTTACTTTGTTGCAAGCCTGGCCAACTTTAAAATGTCAGAAATCTTCATTGAATTATCAGCTAGTCTGCTAAGCTGGTGTTCAGCAGAGTGGTTATGCAAATAAGTTTCTTCTTGCAAATCAGTTTGCTCCTACCAGTACATTTAGTGGAGAGTCAATTAAATGGGACGCATATTTGGTATCATGGGAAGCAACTGTGAAAACAAATACTTTGGACTGTGACATCACTAAAAAAAATTAGGCAAGAGGAGGAGGGTTAGGAGGGAGATTGGCAATTCATACACAACTCCTTATCAGCAATAGAAACGTAAATGACAACTTGTGATCAGTTAATTTTGTGAAGTCTGACAGGCCACTGCTACTAACTCAATAAGATTAAACCTCAATAACAAGTTTACTGCCTCCCAGCAAAGATTTCACAAGGATTTATCATTGTAGTAGAGAGATCAGACCATCTGAAAGGGTGCAGTCCTGCAACATTCTGAGCATTACCATCAAGGAGACTTCAGTGGGAATTAAAAAGTACTCTGCACTTGGGATGGGTTCTCCTGCCAACACTGGATCCCAAAAGTGTTGTACCTGTAATGGTCTATTACATAAAGAAGAATTGTAAAAATGACTACAGGTACGTATCCTAAAGGTGAATCCTGTACAGAATAAGCTGATTATTATTTTATAACACCCAAAAGCGTGCTATGTGCTTCCTGGACAAACACAAGCCATGATCACCGCCTTGAACAGCACTCTTTATTCCCTGATCCTGCAATAGGATTTGCTAATGCGGGTGGGTATAAGGGTCTGGGCTAGCAGATCCTATTGCAGTATGGGGGCATAAATAAAGAAAAGACTTGAAAAGAAGACAAGTCAGAGGTAGGGAGTAAGGGATACTGGGATTTTATATTAGTTGACTTTTAAAGATTTTTATGACTGTTTTGTAGATCTTTCTGTTACCTTGTGTAAAAATTAAACTATTTCAAAACAAAAAAGATGCAAGACAAGAAGAGGCCAAACTTGGCTGTTAAACAAGAGTCATTGCTTAAAAACACCTTTGCATGCCAAGTTTATTAACCCTCGAGCCTTTTCTCCGCAAAAGGAAAAAGACGACGACTCCGCCTCTTACAGAATACGTAAGATGATGGTCCCAGGAACTGCCCTCAATAGCTGCAGATGCTCGGAATTTCTAAACATACAGGCACTTATTTGGGGTCTATCTTTAGTTAATTTTGTTTGAAATGTCGGTACAAGTGACCCAAGGCACATAAAAGAGCCTTTTCAGAGCTCGCATTAGAATTCAGGGGAATTTTGGCTCCATCAGGTGCTCAGAAGATTAGACACGCTGACCTACATGGGATTTATGATGCTGGGCTACTACCTATGTTTTGAAAAAGTCATTTTAATCTATTTTGTAACAAGTAACAGGATGCTATAATAGCAACATTTTCTAGAGTCGTTTAAGAAACAGTCCAATATTATAAGAAATACGCAGACGTTAGGATCGGTATTTTGAGTATCATACGATCACTTCCTATATAAACTGAGTCAACTATTGCATAATAAAGCTTAATACAATATGCTGCAATACACTCATCATTTGTTGTATATGAGCAGTACACATCTGGCACAGAACATTTTGGATGAGAGATAAAGAATGTCCCTTATTTACTGCAGTATTTACCAAGATCTTGATCATGAGCTTTCTCCTGTCCTTCCAGATATAGCAGACTATATCCTGTCCACAATCTTGGCATTCCCTCAGGACAAAATGGTTCTTTATCTGACTGACTGTGAAGAATGAGCAGGAACCCACTAGCAGCTCTCGTTTCAGGCGCTGGTGGTCCTGGGATTCCGGCTTGGCCAGGTGGACCTTAGGGAGAAGAGGTAAAACAAAGATGATTGCTTGAACATTTAAATAGTTCAGCCAAGACAGGCGTTGCTTTAGTTTTTCAGAATGAATTTTAATGCCCGGTCAAAGGTTCCAGATTGAATGCAATTCACACTGACGTACTCTTCTTATCCAGGTATTGTCAAAGGCAGTATAAGTACAGAGTGGTTCATCTCAACCACTGATTTGGAGCATAGTTTTTTCACACGCCCACTGAACCCTTTGAACTGAGAAGATCAGCAGTGCCAATTGTGCCTCTGATTTTATCAACATGGATCCATGTCCACTAAGAAATGGACTGAGGCCAGCTCATAACTTCACATACATGCTGATCACTATGAGGACTTTCTGGTCTCGCCTGGATTTGAACAAGTACGAACAGGCATCATGTCTGTGACCAGCAACAGGCATCAGTAAGACCAGTTTGTTAACAAAAGTCATATCGGAGATGTAGTTTAAATTACCAGCAGAAAATTACCATCTAGGCCCCAACTCAAGAAAGCACCCCTATTCAGGTATGGTTGCTTATCTTTAAAGTCAATGGAACTTAAACACAGGCTTACTGTAATGGATTTAACTTAGGGCTGTTGATTAATTGCAGTTCACTCATGTGATTACCTCAAAAAAATTAATCGCGATTAATCGCAGTTTTAATCACACTGTTAAACAATAGCATAGCAATTGAAATGTATTCAATATTTTGGATGTTTTTCTACATTTTCATATATATTTTATTCTGTATTATAATTGAAATCAAAGTGTATTTTTATTTGCACTGTAAAAATGATAAGAAATAGTATTTTTCAAAACACCTCCTACAAGTACTGTAGTGAAATCTTTGTCTTGAAAGTGCAACTTACAAATGAGATTTTTTCTGTTACATAACTGCACTCAAAAACAAAACAATGTAAAACTTTAGAGCCTACAAATCTACTCAGTCCTACTTCTTGTTCAGCCAATCGCTAAGACAAAATAGTTCGTTTATATTTACAGGAGATAGTGCTACCCTCTTCTTATTGACAACGTCACCAGAAAGTGAGAACAGGCATTTGCATGGCAATTTTTTACCTGACATTGCAAGGTATTTACGTGCCAGATATGCTAAACATCCATATGCCCCTTCACGCCTCAGCCACCATTCCAGAGGACATGCTTCCATGCTGATGACGCTCATTAAAAAAATGTGTTAATTAAATTTGTGCTGAACTCCTTGGGGGAGAATTGTAGGTCCCCTGCTTTGTTTTACCCACATTCTGCCATATATTTCATGTTATAGCCGTCTCGGATGACGACCCAGCACATGTTGTTCATTTTAAGAACACTTTCACTGCAGACTTCACAAAACTTAAAGAAGGTACCAATGTGAGATTTCTAAAGATAGCTACAGCACTCATCCCAAGGTTTAAAAATCTGAAGTGCCTTCCAAAATCTGAGAGGGACGAGGTGTGAAACATGCTTTCGTAAGTCTTAAAAGAGCAACAATCCGATGCAGAAACTACAGAACCCAAACCACTAAAAAAGAAAATCAACCTTTTGCTGGTGGCATATGACTCAGATAATGAAAATGAACATGTGTCGGTCTGCACTCCTTTGGACTGTTATTGAGGAGAACCCGTCATCAGCATGGACGCATGTTCCTTGGAATGGTGGTCGAAGCGTGAAGGGACATATGAATCTTTAGTACAACTGACACATATTTATCTTGCGATGCCAGCTACAACAGTGCCATGAAAATGCCTGTTCTCCCTGTCAGGTTACATTGTAAACAAGAAGCGGGCATCATCATCTCCTGCAAATGTAAACAAACTTCTTTGTCTGAGCGACTGACTGAACAAGAAGTAGGACTGAGTGGACTAGCAGGCTCTAAAATTTTACATGGCTTTATTTTTGAATGCAGGCTTTTTGTATGTAATTCTACATTTGTAAGTTCAACTTTCATGATAAAGGGATTGCACTACAGTATTTGTATTAGGTGAATTGAAAAATACTATTTCTTTTGTTTTTTTACAGTGCAAATACTTGTAATCAAAAATAAACATAAAGTGAGCACTGTAGACTTTGTATTCTGTGTTGTAATTGAAATCAATATGCCTGAAAATATAGAAAACATCCAAAATATTTAAATAAATGGTATTCTATTATTAACAGTGATTAATTGCGATTAATTTTTTTAATCGCTTGACAGCCCTAATTGAACTACATGCTTAGATGCTTTCCTGAATTAGAGCCATGTTTTGTATTAGTCTATCATCAGTGTCAACCTGACACGTTTGCAGCAGAAAGTGATCATTCTTACCTTCTGGACCAGTGTATCCTCGTTCTCCTATGACACCTTGGTCACCTGAGGGTCCTGGTGGACCAGGTGAGCCATCTTGACCTGGCAAGCCAAACAACCCTTCTTCACCTTTACTTCCTAGACAAAAATGAAGGATGCATTTTATCTTCATATGGCTACATATAAAGGTAAATACAGTCCAAACACATAGTGTACAAGGAGCCATTTAATAGTACTGTGCACAAGGGCCTGCTTTACAATGCTGTATCTAGTCCTGCCCCAGATATTCTTAAAATACTAAAAAAATGACACGTACAGAGTAAATAAGTATTACAGAACTTGGTTTGGGGGAGGGGGGACGCGGTATAAGAGTTGTGCTCTATCCCTGTGACCGTAGGATTAGATGCAGTGGTGTGATGATATTGCTATCACCAATTGAACTTCATGTCCCTATTCCAGAATGTGCCTGCCTCTGGATTTCAAAGTTTACAATCCTGCAGAGCACTGCAAAAAATTCTGTAATAAAAATTGAAACCAGGGGAAGCCTGTACCAAGATGTCTATTTCCACTTGACTAATTATTTGAACAGTCCCTCAGAACAAGCTCACTGCTTTCGTGACCTGAAGCTGCTATTAGATTCTGCACTCTTCTCCGTAACTGGGTGACAGATTGTGCTAGGTACAATCAGGTAAGTGGTACCACTTTTATCAAAACTATCTTTAGTTCTTACATCACTAATTTCACAACAGGTCTTGGTCTTTCAGGCCCCCATTCAGCAAAGCATTTAAGCATGTACTCGAGTCTCTTTAGGGCAAGGTAAGCATGTGCTTGAATGTTTTGCTAAACAGCGATGGACTTTGCTGAATTGGGCTTAATTGTTTGTTCAGTGGAGAAGAAGGCACCATAAGCCTGTGATATCTCTCAAAGAATGCATCCTCTTTTTCTCAGATGTGCAACAAATGCCATATTATTGTGAATGCACTGTTGATTAGTAGATGGTGCCAATGGGTGCTTGATAATTTGATTGCAAAGGCAGCAGACAGTGTGGGATATGTTTACTAGACATTTTTAAGCGGATGATTTTCTGAGTTTGATACAGTTCCACGTGTCATATGTTGTGGTGTTTGGCAGCCCCTTTGAGCGAGAGAGAGAGAATTTCAAGATGAACATGTTTCCTTAGAGATAGGGTCAATTCTCATAAGTGAAATTTGTGTGCTTAATTCTTTGCACGTTTGCATTAGGTGTTTACCCTTTGGAAAATGATTTTTTAATACTGAGACAAACTTTAAAAGTTCACGACATTTTACTTTTTATTATGTTTGAGAGAATCTAAAAGTCACAAGAGAATTTAACATGGGGGTTCTCAAACTGGGAGTCGTGACCCCTCAGGGGGTCGCAAGGTTATTAAATGAGGGGTCGCGAGCTGTCAGCCTCCACCCCATACCTTGCTTTGCCTCCATCATTTATAATAGTGTAAATATAAAAATGTTTTTAAATTATAAAGGGGGGGGGCACACTCATAAGCTTGCTGTGTGAAAACTTTCACACAGCAAGCTTATGAGTGCGACCCCCCCCCCTTATAAAGTTTGAGAATCACTGATTTAACAGCTTTTCAATACCTGTTGCCTAATTTTTACCCAAAGTTCAAGTATTGGGTAGTTTTTGTAATAAATATTATCCCTCAGTAAAATTTCTAGTTTTCTTATCTGCCTGCATAACCTTCTCAGCAAGGATAAGGTTGGTTCCTATTGTGTCAGTAAAAGCAAAAGCATAATTAAATTTTCTCCTAACATACCAGCATGAGTATGCATCACTGTACCACCTGGTTTTACAGAAACTGTTTAAAGATTTATATAATGAAAACACTGTGCCCTGATTCCAAAGATGCCTCTTAGTTGTCTAATGAATTAATGCACTGTAGTAAACTAAGCAGTGCAGTAAAAAGTATTTTACTCAATTATATCAAAGATCAACCTGAGTATCTTCCTCTGAAGATATCCAGTAATATCACCATGAAAAATATAAGCATGAGCTTTCGTGAGCTACAGCTCACTTCATCGGATGCATACCGTGTGTTTCCATGGTATGCATCCGATGAAGTGAGCTGTAGCTCATGAAAGCTCATGCTCAAATAAATTGGTTAGTCTCTAAGGTGCCACAAGTACTCCTTTTCTTTTTGCGAATACAGACTAACACGGCTGTTACTCTGAAACATGAAAAATATGAATTCCTTAGGTGATAACTGACTGAGAGTGTCAGATGTATCCCATTATCTAGAGCTAATTAAGACACAACCTCCACATTTCTATCAAGTTGTCGACTGGAATCATCACTAGCTGTTTTTACCTCATAATCTTTTATCTACCAGAAAAAAATCACTGAATGTCAACCTCTTACATGCTCCCTTTTAAATTCTTTCTCTGGCTATTTTTCTTCTACTGTAACCATTGCATCTACATTGCCAAGTTCCAGGAGACACAAAACACTGTAGTATGAATCCAACTAATTTTATGGTCCTTTCAGGCCTCTTAGTAATTATTAATTGTTAATTATTATTGTTAAATTTAATTTTTCCAAGTAAATTTTTCCCAAGCCCAGTAACTTTGGTGTTTGGTTTGTTTTTAGTTTGTAAAAAGGAGGAACGCTATTGATCAGCTTGGCATCCCCATTGCACAACGCCCTGTACTCCTGGATTCAAATAGTACAATGCACTTCGGCAGCCAAATCTCTCAGTCACTCTGCATGCCCATCTGCATGAAGTATCTCAGTATTAAACAGTATGTTTCCAGAAACCACTGGTGTGGTGTGCTGCTTTATTTTTTTAATGCAAGATCTGAATAGTGGAAAGAGGTTGTAAAGTCTGATTCCTTAATTTAGAGAGAGAGAGAGAGCGCGCACGCCCAGTAACTAAATCCTCTACTCTGAGAAGCATACTCTTACGAGTTAAATTAGTTCATCATTATTTTCAGTTTAGACCCCAATCATTGCTGGCATCAAATGGGAAGGAGTTCCAGGAGTATACACGACATAGCATAGTGCCCCAGTGTAGTATGTTCTAAGATCAGCGAAGCTTTCATGTTTCTTATTCCATTTTCTCTCTCCCAGTCTTATTTCCAAACCTCCAATACCACAAAGCTTATCACACAGATGTTTATTTGTTACCGACTCCATTCTGCCACCCTTTCACAGGCTGCTTTCAGTGAATTTACTTGCAGCATAAGAAGGCACTCTTCAGCATGACCAGGAGTTTGTTGTGAAATTAGATTTTATAGTAATACTGAATTTCAATAAGTCATAAAACCTAAAACTGTAGGGATTTTTTTTTGCTTTCATTTTACTGACCAAGAATGACATTTATTTGTTAAAATTCCAAATAAACCTCTCACTGTCTTATTGATGAGCCTAGCCATTGTGCCATATTAGCACAAGAAATTAGCACATTTCTAATGTGCTAATTTCTAAAGAAGAGGAGAAAAATGCCTAAAACACCTTGGGGAAAATATTAAACACCCCTCCCTCCTCTTCCTACCTCTGTACACTCCACACAGCTTTGCATGATGGGTGCAGAGAACACACTTCTCAAAGCCTTAAATGTTCTGTTTGTCTTAAATTACCAAGTATTTAAATCCAGGCTTTACCTGGGGGTCCAGGGTAACCTATTGGCCCTGGAAATCCTACAGACCCTTCAGCTCCTCTTTGTCCTATTACTCCACGAGGACCTGGTGTCTTGGGACATGGGGAGTGTTCTGTTTTTCCTGGTTCACCAGGGTCACCTGGAATTATGCAATAAAATTAAAACAACACCAATTGGAACAAAAATCTGTGAGAGATCAACATTCCCCTTTTAATTGCTTTTGAGATTAGAGTGCATTTCTGGGGCTGTGTTCCCAAAACGTTAATCAATGAGATACATAGGTTTAACTTTAGTTTCAGACTGTCTAGACTAGAATTTAAAGGTGTATTGTTAGCATGTGTTAGCTAATACGTTTTAAAAGTCTAGTTTAGACAAGGGACATCGCCCTTAATGTGTGCTAAACTGGCTGAGTTGAAGCTTGGGTGGAACATAGGCTTTAACTCAATCAATTGAGCACATGTTAAAGTATATACTGCCTTGTCTACGGTCTGAAGGCAGCTGAGAAAGTCTCCACATGCAGCATGGGCGTAAGGGAGTAGGGGTTCCATCCGACATTACTCACTCACTTTAGATGAAAGCCACCAGAGTATGGCTACAGTTTATGTATTGTTTGTTGCTTAGTGGTGTTCACCATTTGCAGTCTGTAATAAGTACATTTGTCTAGAAGACTTATTGGATTAGTTCAAAGTCAGTGGAGTCGATGTCTGCGTCCACTGATCTGATAGCAGGACTGGGGCCTTGTCTAGTTGGCTTCATTTAGAAAGCCTACTATGACCGCAGATAAAATGAAATGCAATAGATGTGACACATCCCTTAAGAGAAAACACTCATATTTTACATACTTGCATACAGAATTCTATGTACACATATTTGACACTTTATTGTGGGGCTCCTCGGCATAGTACACAATTACTCTGCCCGTAAACACAACCCAGCTATGTTAAAATTGATTATAATCACCCTGTTATTATGATATCTGTCATTCTTAGCTTCCAGCTATGGCTCTACTATCCAGGGAGCGTGGAATGTACAGAAAGAAACCCAGACATGCACAACAAATATTTGGTTAATAAGGCATTCTCCAGCTTACCTCTGCAACCTGAAGGATTCATCAAATGGAAAGCAGACCATGCCAGCCATTGCCAAGCAGGATGGAAACAAGTTTCAGGCATGTAAATTAGAACAAGGAATGGAATGAGAACTGAAATAGTTTGTATGAACTGACATTCAGTTCATACTGAATATAAATAATTCAGTATAATAAATATACAGTTCATACCGATATAAATAATAATGGCAAAATATAAAGTACATGTCTTAGAATACTGCCTGCAAACAGTTTTCACAAGAACAAAAAGGAATCCAAAAACAATGTAATACATGGTATTGTTAAATGGTGAGGTGCTTTGTGTGATGTGCAAACTCTTCTAGATGGCCAGTTCACACAGTGCCAAATCCCGAGGTCCTTGCTCAGGGCTAAGTCCTTTCACTAGGAACCACAGGTGGAGAGGCCTCTCTCTGTGAGGAATTCCTCACAACTATATGTAAGCATGTAAGTCTATCATGTATTTACGTACCCCAGAGATGCCCCTCCACTGTGATTTTGTACAAAAAGGTGCTGCATATATGATTGAAATAGGAGCAGGGACTGAACATGCCTCCAGGACCCTTGTTTGGTGAACTGATCTCTGAGTTCCATACAGCTATATCAGGGAGATAAAATAGTTACTTGTGGCTCCCCACAGCTGCTACAGAAAAGCCAGAAGTGCAGGGTTGGTGTAACACAGGCAAGGCTGAGGCTGCTCTCTCTCTCAGATCCCCTAAATCAGTTTATCCCCTCTTCATAAACCTAAGCTGAGTGAATGATTTTCAGGGAATTCTGTGATTGGAATCTCAGTTTTCTCCTGCCCTTCTGGCCGCCTCCTGTAATAGAGGGTGATCTGGTCTCAGCTTTTCTATACACTTACTCAGTCTTTATTTAATCAAACTCTTACTTGGGGTATGAAATAACAGCTGAGTTAAAAACTAAGTAAGGATCTAAGGATTTGGCCCACAATACTTTGTATTCATCCCTTATTCCCTCAGGGGTAGAAATTAGTACAGCACTCAGCAAAGAAATCATCACATATGTTTAGATGAAATGTCTATATTCTAAACTACTTTTCAGATTTGCATAATTATAAAACATCTGTTCTTTATCGCGAAGAAAGGTTTTTTAATTGGTAAATAAAATATTACATTTTCCAATCTTGAGAAACTCCTTTATCGATTTGAATATATTAATTCTTCCCAGAGCCTCTTATTTTGATGCAACAGGCAAAGGTAAGACTTCTTACTGTGTCCTGAAATTCTTGATACTGTGGTATGTAGTATTCTGGATATTAAGATATTGTGCTTAATGAATGTTACTTGAGAAAGATAATGTAGAAAAGGAAAAGTGGGTGATGAAATACGCAGTATGAACTTTGCCTCTCTTACAGCAAAAAGCATCTGTTCACACATGGTACATCTTTGCAAGAACCCTCACATGGCATGCTCATGCTCTCTGGTCTTGCAAACTATTGCAAGTATCAGAAGAAAATGATCATTTATTAAATTGTTTCAGTGACTCAGAAATGTTCTATGCAACTGAAAGCTGCAACTACCATTTTAAACCAGCCTTGCACAACTCAGGAACATTTACCAGACCAGGCACATACTTCATCAATGAAGACCGATTACAATAATAATAATAAAAGAATTATATCTAATTTACTCAACAATATTTCCTTATCCCAAGTTAGTGGATGCTAGAATTTTGTCAGGTTGCTATAAACTCTTTTCATGCAAGTGAACACTATAGAAAAGTATTCTGTACGGATATTAAGATCAAAGCTTCTCAAGGCTGAGTGGCCAGCACGCACGATGCTGCATGGCAGAGAACCATGTGCTGTTCAAAAGTACCTTCAGGACCTCGAGGGCCAGGTTGTCCTTGAAAACCTCGATCCCCAGATGGCCCAACAGGGCCAGGGGGACCCTGGGGGCCAGGGCTTCCCGTCGGACCTAAAAAAAAAAAAAGTGAGTTTTTGTCACTAGTACTTAAACTGAGCAGTTAAATCTGGTGACCCTCTGTGATGCTGATAGCACGGAACACAACAGCAGTGAGGTCAAGCATCAGGTTCCTGACTAGTTACTGTTCTGTGCAAAACAGCTGGGGGCCAGATTTTGCTCTCCCACAGGAAAACCCCTCATGGAGTTTCCTATGACGACTCATGCATGGGGAGGGCTGGGTATATATACTGTTCCTGTCCAAAGCAGAAGCATCAGGCCCTGCAACACTCATGAACCTGCCTGGAGGCACAGAGCCTTCCATATTGAAGATATATGCCTCTGCATTTGTTCCATGGAACCCTGCAGCTTTTACAGTTCCCTGGCATTATGATTCTACTGGAGCAGTGATGGGCAACCTGCGGCCCATCAGGGTAATCTGAATACGGGTTGCGAGACATTTTGCTGATGTTGACTGTCCGCAGGCATGGCCCCCCCGCAGCTCCCTGTGGCTGCGGTTCACCTTCCCGGCCAATGGGAGCTGCAGGAAGTGGCGGCTAGTGCATCCCTGCGGGCTGCTGTTTCCCTCAGCTCCCACCGGACAGGAGCAGTTGCCCACCACTGTACTGGAGTCAGCTGCCAGGGTTTCCCCATCTGTGGCAGACCCCAAAACCTCCTTTAGAGGAGCAGGGGGGTCCCACAGGAAACATCAATAAATCAGATTTCATTAGATTTCCAGTGGAATCCCCACAGTTGGTTGGGGAAGAGGAGGTTACTCACCTTGTGCAGTAACTGACGTTCAAGCGGAGTGTCCCTGTGGGTGCTCCACTTCAGGTCAAGGTGCGTCCCAGCACCTTTGATCAGAGATTTCTACAGCAGTAGCCCTATAGGCTGCGCACGCGCTGTGCCTGACTCTCAAGCTGTCAGTGTTTGAACAGCGCGTGCAGAGCCCGGGCTCCTCAGTTCCTTCTCTACAACGGAGTGCGTTACGAATTCCGAAGTACAGGGGAGGAGGGCGGGTAGTGGAGCACCCACAGGGACACTCATCTCAAAGAACGTCAGTTACTGCACAAGGTGAGTAACCTCCTCCTCTTCGAGAGAGATGTCCCTGTGGGTGCTTCACCTCAGGTGACTGAAAAGCAGTATCCCTTAGGATGTTTAGGACTTCGGATGAGGCAAGAAGGCTGTTGACAAGACAGCTCTACCCAATCTGGTGTCAGATGCTGCAGTGTGGATGACAGCGTAGTGATTGGCGAAGGTAAGGTTCAATGCCCAGGCAGCTGCCTTGCATATGTCAGAGAGTGGGACATTACGGAGAAAGGCCATGGAGGTGGAGACAGTTCTGGTAGAGTGTGTCCTACTTGATGTAGGAGGTTGTATTTGCCTGAGTTGGTAACAAAGGTGTATGCAGTCAGCAATCCATTGGGAAAGTCTCTGTGTAGAGACAGCATTTCCCTGTGAGCGCAGAGTAGAGACAAAAAGTCTGGGTGTGTTTTCTAAACGGTTTTGTCCTATCCAGGTAAAAGGATAATGCTCTGCGAACATCAAGAGTGTGCATTGCTGTTTCAAAGGCGTTAGCGTGAGGTTTTCGGGAAAATGTTGGGAGGTGTATAGGTTCATTGAGGTGAAAGGAAGAGTGTATCTTAGGTAAGAACTTTGGATGCGTGCGGAGTGTGACCTTATTGTGTCCACTGCTTATGGTATACAGAGGGTCCACCATAAGCGCCCCCATTTCACCTACTCGTCTGGCAGACGTGATTGCTATGAGGAAGGCGGTCTTCATGGACAGATGGAGAAGGGAGCAGGTAGCCACTGGTTCAAAGGATTTATCCATCAGGGCTTTGACGACTAGGGTAAATCCCAAGGTGCAGCAGGCGGTTTCACGTCTGGGTATAGTGTCTGGATACCCTTCAGGAACCTTTTGGTGATTGGATGGGCAAAGACCGTTACGTTGTCAATCTTATGGTGGAAGGCTGTGATTGCCAACAAGGTGGAGCTTGAGTGAGCTCGTAGAGAGGCCAGATGTTTTAAGGTGTAAAAGGTAATCAAGTATCAATAGAAGTGAAGCAGAAACTGGAGAGGTCTGCTTGTCAGAGCACCAAGATGTGAAGCGTTACCATTTATGCAGGTAGGCAGTGCGGTATGTTGTGTGTTCTGCTGTGTAACAAGACAGTGCATACTGGGTCCGAACACGTTAACTCCACATTAGAGAACCATTGATCAGCCAGGTCCTCAGGTAGAGATGTTGTACGTCGGGGTGAAATAGTTGTCCCCTGCGTTGTGATAGGAGGTTGCTTAGTGGGGGAAGGGGAATAGGTGGCTTGACCTACATGAGGAGGAGGAAGGGGTACCAATGTTGTCTGGGCCACGCTGAGGCTGTGAGAATGATGTTGGCTCTGTCTGTTCATATCTTCTGAATTACTCAATGCAATAGAAGGTATTGGTGGGAACGTATATATGAGGGTTTTGGACCAAGGGAGCGTCTCCCCGTGAATGTTTCCCCAGGCCTGCTCTGAAGCAGAAAGTTGGGCATTTTTTGTTTGTTGCTGTGACAAATAAATCCAGTTGGGTATAACCCCAGGTGTGGAAAATGTTGGAAAGAATGGTGTCGTTGAGTTCTCACTTCTGCTGTATGGGGAATGATAGGCTGAGTTTGTCTGCGGTAGTATTCTGAGAACATGGCAGGTATGATGCGAAGATATGGATACCGTGTTGAAGGCACGAGTTCCAAATTTTTACTGCCTCTCTGCAGAGGGAGTGGGACCGGGCTCCCCCCTGTCTGTTGACATAAAACGTGCACGCAATGTTGTCGGTCATGATTTGAATTCGGTGGTTTTGGATGATAAGGAAATGGAGGCAAGCATTATGTACAGCTTGGAGTTCTGGTCAATTTATGTGGAGCTTGGTTTCTGAAGTGGCCCAGAGACCCTGAGCGGTGAGGTGGCCAATGTGTGCGCCCCATCCCATGAGGGATGCATCTGTGGTGATGGTAACTGAAGGGAGATCTTGTCAGAAGGGAATCCCGGTGCAGAGGTTGATGGGAGAAGTCCACCAGAGAAGTGAGTCCTTGACATTCTGGGACATAGTTAATAACCTGTTTAGCCTGCGCTTGTTTGTATACCGTGGCTAGCCAACCCTGAAGGCATCGCATGTGCAGGTGAGCATTTGCAACCACAAATGTGCAAGCGGCCATATGTCCTAAGAACTGTAGGGAGTCTCGGACTGTAGTCTGCGGGCTGACACGTATCTGAGTGATCAGGATGCCCATTGTGTGGAATCTGTCCTGGGGAAGACATGCAAGACCAGTCATGGAATTGAGGTGGGTGCCAATAAAGTATTTTTTGGGTAGATTGTAAGGCAGATTTGTTTTTGTTTATTTGCAGGCCCAAGATGCGGAAGCAGTGAAGGGTTGCAATAGTGGCGTGGATCGCTTCTGACTGAGTGGGAGACTTGAGGAGACAATCGTCCAGGTAAGGAAATATGAGGATTCTTTTTTTTCCTAAGATGTGCTATGACAACTGCAAGCACCTTGGAGAAGACATGTGGTGTGATGGAGAGGCCAAACGGGAGGACTCTGTATTGGTAGTGTTGTGCTCCCACAGCAAACCTGAGGAAGCGTTGATGGACAGGGTGGATAGAGACAGGGAAATATGCGTCTTGGAGGTCGAGGGTTTAAAACCAATCTCCTTGCTCCAGCGTCAGAATTATCATTGGGAGAGTAACCATGCAGAATTTCTGTTTCTTGGCTGACTTGTTCAGATGTCGAAGATTGAGGATAGAGCACCAACCGCCATTTTTCTTTTCCGTCAAGAAGTAGTGGGAGTAAAACCCTCTCCTCTGTGTTGAGGTGGTACCTCCTCTATTGCTCTGAGATGTATGAGGAGATGCATCTCCTGACGGAGCAATTGTTTGTGAGAGCGGTCCCTGAAGAGAGAGGGGGGGGGAGGTAAGGAGAGGAAGGGGATGGTATAACCCAATCTGATAATTTCCAGGACCCATTTGTCCGTAGTCATAGTTTCCCAGTTGGCCTGGAACGGATGCAAACAGTGTCCAAAAAAATGGTTGGTGGGAGTTGGCGCTGGAGGGGGTGCAAGATTTTTTATACCCTTGACCAAGACTTCAAATTTGCTTATGTGTGTTGGGAGGGTGGGTCGTCATTGTTTGGGGAGAGCAACGTTGTTGGTTCCTTGGCCTATGTCGTCGTTGTCATGTGTCATATGGTCTGAAAGGTGGATGTTGCGCAAAGGTATGGTAACGCTGCCATTGGTATGGCTGATATCTGTATTGCCTCTTCTTTGGGGCAGGTGTTTGGATGCCTGAGGATCGAAGTGTGGCATGGGAGTCTTTCATGGAGTGAAGGACCTCATTGGTTATAGAGGCAAAGAGCTTGTCTCCGTCGAAGGGAGATCTTCGACCGTATCCTGTATCTCTTTCAGGAAGGAGGAAGAAGCAAGCCATGAGGTTCGCTGCATGACAATGGCCGTGACTGTGGATCTGGCCGCTGCATCGCAGCATCAAGGGCAGCCTGGAGAGCTGTGTGGGAGATCAATTGGGCATCGGACACTACCACTTTAAATTGTTATCATTTATCCTCCGACAAATCAATAAATTGCATAAACTTAGCATAATTTTTGTGGTCATATTTTGCTAAGAGCGCCGCATAGTTTGCTACTCTGAATTGCAAAGTGGAAGAAGAATACACTTTGCGGCCAGAGTCCAGTTTCTTGTTAACTTTGTCTGACGGAGTGGATTGAAAGTATTGGTATTTGGTTTTTTTTATTTGCTGCATCGACCGCTAGGGAATTAAGTGAGGGGTGCGTAAATAGAAACTCAGATCCCTTAGATGGGACGAAATATTTGCAGTCCAATCTCTTGCTAGTGGGCATTATTGTAGCTGGAGTCTGCCAAACAGTTTTAGCAGGTTTCATAATGGCCCCATTAATTGGTAGGGCTATTTTGGAGGAAGTCGTAGCTTGCAGCATGTCAGTAAGCTAGTGTTGTGTACCTCCTCTAGGGTGATCTTGAGCTCTTCTGCTACTCTCTGAAACAATTCTTGAAAGTGAGCGAGGTCATCAGTAGCAGGAGGTGGTGGGGATACCATGGCATCTTGAGGTGTTATTGCTATAGAAGGTGTGCGCGGGGCAGTGTCCCCTGTAGGGAGAGCTTCCACTTCAGGTCTTATCTGGGGTTCAGTGTAAGTCAGAAGTGGGGAGGGTTTGACAGCTTTCCTTCGGGCAGCCCGCAGAACACCTGAGTGTAGTGTGGTGTAGTGTAGGTCCACGGACCCCAGTGTGGCCATTGCCCCGGGGTGGGGTGGGGGGCATAGGTGGTCCCATCCAGGGATTGCCATACCAGTGTGGATAGCCTTGAGGAAATGGGGATCGTGCTGCGGGCTTCTCCCATTGTAGGTGGCTGAAAACATCTGGTCATCATATTCTTTGTCCTCTTCCCCTTAGTCTTCCTCCTCTTCATCCTCCGATACTTCATTGGAGGGGCTTGAAGTAGTAGGGGAGTACTGAAGATATGGTGCTAAAGGTCTTGGTGACAGATGGTGCCGAGAAGAGGAGAGTCAGGAGCACGGGACAACCTTAATTCCTCTGGTTGTAAAAACTGCAGTGGTGCTGACTGACCAGGAGTCGGTGCTGGTGGAGGCAGAGTCTGCTGCGGCATCTGCTGGTGCACCGAAGGCTGTCCCAGGGGGCACAAGCTGGCTCTGGGTAGTAGGAGCCCCTGAGGTAGGCACTTCAAAGGAGGCTGGAGACCTCAGGGGCTCGGTGCAGAGAGTGGTGGCTGTAGAAGCGGCGCCGCAGGATCAAAGGACGATGCCGCAGCTGCTGCTTGTGCTGTCGGCACTGTAGCAGCTCTCAGCACCGTGCTGACAGCGGTGGCCGAAGGAGAGCTGAAAGAGGTGGGCAGCTGAAAGCCCTGAGCCTCGGCACCATGGAGAGGGCCAGCCGACACAGGGTCAGTGCCTGAGGTGCCTGCCGCATGAAATGAGCGGAGTCGCGGAGTGGCAGCCACTGAAGATAAGAAAGCTGGTTTGAACTTTTTCTCTGAATGTCCCCTGAGGGGAGAGGAAGCTGGCCGTTTTTTGGTCTTTCCTTTACCTCTGAAGGGTGTCACAGAGGTTTGCTGGCCAGGGCCAGACGCTGGTCTGAATGAGTTTTCTAGGCGCAGCATTTTAAGCCTGAGCTCCCTGTCCTTGCATGTCCTCACCTTCAACTTATTACAGTGAACGCATTTTTGGGGTACATGAGACTTCCCCAAACAGCGTACACAGTATGAATGCCCATCTGAGATGTGGATGGCATCCTTACAGGAGAATCATCTCTTAAAGCCTGGGGAGCCAGGCATGCCGGAAACCACAGTGTTTTTGTTTGTTTGTTTGTTTTTGAAGAGATAAATGTAACAGTTAATGTAACTATCTAACTAAACTGAGAAACTAGCTCACGAAAGTTTATGCTCAAATAAATTTGTTAGTCTCTAAGGTGCCACAAGTCCTCCTTTTCTTTTGGCGGCTACAGACTAACACGGCTGCTACTCTGAAACCTAGCTAATCTCAGAGAGCACTGCTGAACTCTGTCTCTAGCCAGGGACGGTAGAGAAGGAACTGAGGAGTCCAGGCTGTGCACGCACTATTCAAATACTGACAGCTTGAGAGGTAGGCACAGCGCATGCGCAGCCCATAGAGTACTGCTGTAGAAATCACCAATCAAAGGCTCTGGGACACACCTTGACCTGAAGTGGAGCACCCACAGGGACATCTCTTGAAGAACAACAGTGTGCATCCATTTGGCTCCTTCCCAGACCCTCCTGTTCCTGCCCCGGTAGCTGTCCCCATGTGTAGATCTGTCAAGGTTCCTTCCCCACTCTGAACTCTAGGTTACAGATGTGGGAACCTGCATGAAAGACCCCCTAAGCTTATTCTTACCAAGTTAGGTTAAAAATTCCCCATGGTACAAACTTTTACCTTTTTGCCCTTGGACTTATGCTGCCACCACCAAACGTGTTAAACAAAGAACAGGGAAAGAGCCCACTTGGAGATGTCTTCCCCCCAAAATATCCCCCCAAGCCCTACACCCCCTTTTCTGGGGAAGGCTTGATAAAAATCCTCACCAATTTCAATAGGTGAACACAGACCCAAATCCTTGGATCTTAAGACCAATGAAAAAGCAATCAGGTTCTTAAAAGAGAATTTTAATGAAAGAAAAAGTAAAAGAAAAACCTCTGTAAAATCAGGATGGTAAATACCTTACAGGGTAATCAGATTCAAAACATAGATAATCCCTCTAGGCAAAACCTTAAGTTACAAAAAGAGACAAAAACAGGAATATACATCCCATTCAGCACAACTTATTTATCAGCCATTTAAACAAAACAGAATCTAACGCATATCTAACCAGATTGCTTACTAACTCTTTACAGGAGTTCTGACCTGCACTCCTGTTCTGGTCCCAGCAAAAGCATCACACACACAGACAGACCCTTTGTTTCCCCCCCGCTCCAGATTTTAAAGTATCTTGTCTCCTCATTGGTCATTTTGGTCAGGTGCCAGCAAGGTTATCTTAGCTTCTTAACTCTTTACAGGTAAAAGGACTTTGCCTTTGGCCCGGAGGGATTTTATAGCACTGTATGTAGAAAGGTGGTTACCCTTCCCTTTATATTTAGGACAAGATCTATGACAGGACTGTGGCCGGAGGAGCCTGACCCTCCCCTTCCACCTGGCTGGAAGCAGACCCCCAAGAGCACATGGGTCTGTGGTGTATGATGTGGCACACAATTCTTACTGTTTAAAAATGTGAAGACTGAGTAGGCAATTTTTCAAAAATGGGAAGTTACCATAATGTAGATACTCAGAAGAATCTGCCAGAAGGCAGGTATTCACTCAAACAAAATCATACACTTTAAATCATACCTTTCAGGCCTCTTCTTCCTTGATTTCCTGGAAAGCCTTTGGCTCCTTGCTGCCCTGACTGGCCAGGAATACCGGGTGCACCTGGAACACCAAATTCCCCCGGATCGCCTTTCACAAAGATAGTCTTTCCAGGAGGGCCAGGATTGCCAGGCAGGCCTAAAACAAAACAATGGATATTAATAATGCATTCACAAAGGGTAATCTTTTCAGAAGTGCTTAAGTCCCACTGAATTTCAATGGGAAGTAGGATCCTAAGTCACCAAAGTGTGTTAGAAAATGTCATTCTAAGTCCTACGTCAAGATAATACAGGGGAGGAAGTCTCCATGGGATTGCCCCCTCACCCCCAAAACCACTGGGATCCTCCGCAATCAGAAAGAGGCAGGTGAGTGCTATGGAGACCCCACCTGTCCATGTTGGCTCTGTGCTCCTGGCCGCCCTCCCCTCCTCAACTCCCAGCTGCCTGGTGGTGCAGCTTCATTGCAGTGAGCTACCAGCACCATAATCAGCTGTATGGGAATTTGTATTTCAATGTCCTTGTTTTTTCAATAAATATAGAAAAAATCCAGAGCTACTATGACTAAGGTGTTTAACCCCTTCAACCAGTGTAATTGGGCTTGTGGAATGTACAAACTCTGCTGACTTCACTTGCAGAAGTTTGGTGACCAATCATCAGTTCTTGAACTGACTATAGTCTAAGGGCTTGGCTACACTTGTGAGTTAGAGCGCATTAAAGCAGCCCTAACTCATGACGCGTCCACACTGGCAAGGCACGCAGAGTGCCTGGACTCTGCAGCTAGAGTGCTCCTGGTACTCCACCTCAGTGAGTGGAATAACATTTGCTGTGCCCCGACTGGAGCGCCGCAGCACCAGTGTGGATGCCCTCATCTGTTAATGAGCTCTGCTCAGCCTCCAAAAGTGTCCCACAATGCCTGTTCTAGCCATTCTGGTCATCATTTTGACCTCTACTGCCCTGCCCTCAGGTGACCAACCGCCAGACCCGCCCTTTAAATTCTCTGGGAATTTTGAAAATCCCCTTCCTTTTTGCTCAGCCTGGCATGGAGTGCTCTCAGCGAATCTTCCCAGGTGACCATGCTTCCACGCACCAGGCGATCCCCAGTATGGCGCAATGGCGAGGTGCTGGACCTCATCAGTGTTTGGGGGGAGGAAGCTGTCCAATCCCAGCTGCGCTCCAGCCATAGGAATTACAATACCTTTGGGCAGATATCAAGGGACATGATGGAAAGGGGCCATGACCGGTACACACAGCAGTGCAGGGTTAACGTGAAGGAGCTGCGGAATGCCTACCACAAAGCCCGCGAGGCAAACCGCCGCTCCGGTGGTGCCCCCGCGACCTGCCATTTCTACAAAGAGCTGGACACGATACCTGGGGGCAACCCCACCTCCACTTTGAGGACCACCATGGACACTTCAGAGCCCAGTTCAACAAGGCAGGAGGAGGAGGAAAGTGGGAGCGAGGGTGCTGAGGAGGAGGGAGACACCCCGGCATCCCTAGATGCATGTAGCCAGGAGCTGTTCTCAAGCCAGGAGGAAGGTAGTCTAGCCAGTCGCAGTGGCCGGTGCTTGGGGAAGGACAAACACCAGAGGAGGTGCCCAGTAAGTAGCTTTTATTTTGGAAGGAAGTTGTTTGGTGTGGGCTCTTGAGGCAAGGAGGTTTAGGGCTGCATGCATGCCTAGATGTGGAATAGGGTGTTGATGTGCTCTCTCACATCGTGGTGATCGGCCTCAGTGATCTCTTCAAAGGTCTCATGCAGAAGCTGGGTTCCTTGAGAGAGCTACTGTACTCCTTATCCCAGTAAGGCTAACATGTCTGCGCCACTGTGCCATGATGGGCAGGGTGACCATTGCTGCACACAGACAAACTACATATGGGCCAGGGCGGAAGCCGCATTGACCCTCCCTTGCTTCCCAGGTCACCCTCAGCAGCGAGATCTCTTCCAGGACGAACTCCTGTGGAAAATGTGGGGACAGTGTCCAGTATAGGGGCTCCCTGCAGCTGTTAGCTCTTCCCAAGGCACATAACCCCAGAGGGCAGTATGGCCCTGAAACAATCAGTCCCCCTTGGCCCTGTGCTTACTCACCATTTTGGGGCTCCTGTGGGTTATGTGTGCTCGCTTTGGGACAGGCAAATTCTGCTATTGTGTAGGCTGTGCTTGTCTTTAAGTATGGGTGAATCATTGCTCTGTCTGTGAACAGTGCTGCCCCTGTTAAGTGTTGCATTTTCCCTTTACAGATGCAGCCTTGAGATCTCAGCCGTCCATGTTATCACCGGCTGAAAGACTCCAAAGAATTAGGAAGAGGCCACGTAGAAGAAAAGAGGACATGCTGCATGAAGTAATGCATCAGTCCCCTAATAAAAATCAAAAAGCGCAGGAGTGGAGGGAGAGTGAAAGGAGGGTCTGCTAGCAGAACACAGATCACCAGCACCAAAGCACGGAGCGGCTGCTAAGCATTTTAAGGAGCGCCAAGTGGACTTGATCCAGGCTCTCGTAGCCATGCAGGCGGAGCACTACTATGCCCCCCGCCGCCCCACACAGCCCTTGTCTCAAAACTTTCCCTTGTGCCCCCATGTCACCTCCAACCCATTTTCCCCCACATCTCGGTTCTTATCGCCACCAGCTGCCTCCAACACCTGTAGCTTCACCACCCAACCCTGCAAACTACGACCCTTACCCACTGCACTCAATCACCATGCATTTTAGCCAGCCTGAAGTACAGCACTCATTGCACAGCACTCCAGACAGGAAGGCAGAGTATGATAACAGGACATATGCAAATCTGTGTTTGAACTGTTCCCCACCCCACCCCATTGCCCTTTCTGTTTCCCAAGCAGTTGTGTTTCTTTTCAATAAATGAATTTTCTTTTAAATAAATGGATTTTTTGGCTTTGAAAACATTCTTTATTATTGAATTAAGTTAAAGATACCTTAGCCCAGGAAAGGCACTGTAGCAAACACAGATTCCCACTAACATTGGAACCACCGCTCTTCACTCCCATGCAGGGCACCATATATTACTGGTGGTTTTCAGCCTCAAATTGCTCCATCAAGGCATTCTTAATCCTTGCAGCCCCGCACTGGGCCCCTCTAATACCTCTGCTCTCTGCCTGTTCAAATTCAGACTCCAGGCGTTAAACCTCCAAGTTCTATGCCAGAGTGAATCTTTCACCCTTCCCTTGACAAATGTTACGGAGGGTACACCACGTGGATATAACCACAGGGATGTTGTCATCAGCCAGGTCCAGCTTCCCATACAGACCGCACCAGCGGCCCTTTAAACTGCCAAAAGCACACTCCACAGTCATTCTGCACCGACTCAGCCTGTTGTTGAACTGCTCCTTGCTGCTGTCAAGGCTCCCTGTGTAGGGTTTCATGAGCCACAGCATTAAAGGGTAATGGTGGTCTCCAAGGATCACAATGGGCATTTCAACTTCCCCTACAGTGATCTTCTGGTCTGGGAAGAAAGTCCCCACTTGCAGCTTCCTGAACAGGCCAGTGTTCCGAAAGATACATGCGTCAGGCACCTTTCCAGGCCAGCCTGCGTTAATGTCAATGAAACACCCATGGTGATCCACAAGTGCCCAGAGAACCATAGAGAAATACCCCTTCCAATTAATGTACTCAGAGGCTAGGTGGGCTGGTGCCAGAATTGGAATATGCATCCAATCTATCATCCCTCTGCAGTTGGGGAAACCCATTTGTGTAAAGACAGCCACAATGTCATGCACGTTACCCAGAGACACGGTTCTTCTGAGCGGGATGTGATTAATGGCCCTGCAAACTTGCATCAACATGATTCCAACGGTCCACTTTCCCACTCCAAACTGGTTAGCGACCACTCAGTAGCTGTCTGGAGTTGCCAGCTTCCAGACTGCAATAGCCACCTGCTTCACCGGCAGGGCAGCTCTCAATTTCGTGTCCTTGCACCGCAGGGTGGAGGCGAGCTCATCACACAGTCCCATGAAAGTGGCGTTTCTTATCCAAAAGTTCTGCAGCCACTGCTCGTTATCCCAGACTTGCATGACGATGTGATCCCACCACTCAGTGCTTGTTTTCTGAGCCCAAAAACGGTGTTCCACGGTGGTGAGCACGTTCGTGAATGCCAGAAGCAATCTCGTGTCAGATGCGTTACACAAGTCGACATCATCGTCAGACTCCTCACTGTCAGTTTGTAGCTTAAGGAGTAACTCAACTGCCAAATGTGGCATGCTGGTGAGACTTGTCAGCATATTCCTCAGCACCTCGGGCTCTATTCCCACAGTCCGAAAGGGAAGACAGAGTGCGCAGTACAAAAAACGTTGAAAGATGGCGCCAAATGTGGACCGAAGCACAGGGATTGCTGGGATGTGAAGCGATGGATCACGGGGCATTGGGACAGGAGCCAGAATGCCCCGCACCCTCCACCCTCTTCCCACAAGCCACAGCGCCAGAATGGGAAGAGGTGCTCTGTGGGGTACCTGCCCATAATGTACCACTCCCAATGCCACTGCAAGTGCAGCAAATGTGGCCACGCCAGTGCGCTTGCAGGTATCAGTGTGGACAGACTGCAGCGCTTTCCCTACTGCACTCTCCGAGGGCTGGTTTAACTCACAGTGCTCTACATCTGCAAGTATAGCCATGCCCTAAGCTTTACATGAGAACAGCCCTCATCTACAGAGTTTATATGCATAAACATGCAGCTCCCTCTTCTTCCCCACTTCTGGGGATAGAAAAGCTATTTTAGCTTTGTTCTTTTTGTAAATGGCTTTTCTATACATGAGTGTCATCATTTTAAGGCCTAATATCACAGGACCTTCCAGGACTACAAGGAAGTGCTCTGCAGCCTATTGGAGAGCAGTGAATCAACCTTTTTTGCAAGGATGAAAAGTTCCTTTCTAGCTTGGCTCGGTTGTAAGATATTGAAACTTAAAACTCTTAGGAAAATTGCCCAGAACCAAATATTGCCCATCCTATGCCTCCTGCTGGTGTCACTTTAATGGGAAAATTCCACAATTAGGAGGAAAGAAGGAACAATGCTTTAAAAAATGTCTACTGTCAGAAGCTGCTCAGAGCTGTACAAGGCTGGAAGTAATCCCGGCAGAGATTCATAAGCAGAAGGAGTGCAATTGAAGTGGACAGAAGTATACGATGGTTCCAGTTTATCACATGGTCTTCAATTTTAGCACCTCCGAAAATTACACCTACCAAAAGACAGGAGGTAGTCAGCCCTAGACCAGTAACAGTTTTAAGCTGTGATATCCTGTGATCCTACAGAGCTAGGAAGAGGAGCGCTAAAACAGTGGAGCAAAAAAAGATTCCTAATTTTCCAACAGAAAATGCAATTCTTGTTTCTGGCTCTGGATGGGTCTGAGATGCTGGACCTCAACATCATGACACTTTTATGAATGGAAAAGCTGTTTTAGGTAGAGCTCTTTTTATAACACCGTCTTTTAGCCCGCTAGAGCTGCATTCACAGTGAATGTGTTTACACGCATCTGTTGGGGAACACTAAAAATAGTACCAATAAAATTTTAAACACACTCTAATATGCTTGCAAAATAGTTTTTATTCCCTGTAACGTATGTGGCCCACACAGAGTACATGATGGTATGGTTTAAAGGTTTCATTGGAACTTGTATGGAAACCTACATAATGCATCCTGATAAAACCTTTATACTTTACTACATAATCCTCATGATGATACCTGTCTCTAGTAAAATGGGGATCAAAATATGTATCTCCTCCGTAAAGTGCTTTGAGATCTATGGATGAACAGCACTTCACAAAGGAGATAAGTATCGTTATACCCATTTTACAGATGGGAAACTGAGGCATGGGGGGGTGGCATAACTTGCCCAAGGTCACCCAGCAGGCCAGAAATGGGACTAGAGTGCAGATCTCCTGAGTCACTATCCACTGTGCTGCACTGTGCCTCTGTCCATGTATTTATGGAACAGGCGTATTTATTACCCTCTTTGCCTCTTCCCACGTCACGTGCATATATATATATCTCATTAGAATAGAGTTTTCACTGTTTTGGTTAACTGATCATGTTTGATTTTCTTGTACCTCTGATGCCATGTGAGCCAGGTGGCCCCTGATCACCCGGAGGACCAGAAGCTGCAGTTTCAGGAGATCTTCCCACAGATCCTGCAGGCCCGGTATCTCCTGTTCTACCTGAGGGAGCAGATCATATGCTAAATGTTTTGAGTTTTCAGTATTTTATACTTTGGATTCCAGAAATAAAATATTAATTTAAGGGAGTTGAGGTGCAAGGTCATGCAGAACTTGGAGTTAACCCCATAGTTGTGTGCTGCATTTCCCTGCTAAATAGACTGTGGGAGGCATTTGGCACAGAAAATATAATTCTTTTTAAAAAAAAATTCTAATTCCTTTCTATAATATCCACTGGAGCTAAAGAGGTCCCAGAATGCATCATTCCTTGACATCAATGACTCAACAAGTCTCATGCAACCCACGGTTTCAGTGATGTAGCAGAATGATGCATTCTGGGATATTTGTAGCAAGTCAGGAAATGCTAGCATACTTCTTGGATGAGAAAAATACTTTTCTTAAAGAAGAGATCCCAAATGTATGTGCTGCATGGGCCTGCTAGCCAAGTAGCAGGGAACTAGTTCAGTTTTCATTTCAGCTTTGCAGTTCACTGTTGAGGAGAAAATGTTTCTTACCTGGGTGTCCTGGCAAACCCGTGTCTCCAGGAGGTCCTGGAAGAGAAATTCCTGGCTGTCCAGGTTCACCCTTGTCTCCTTTTGGTCCAGGGGCCCCTGTGTATCCTGGAGGCCCTATTTCACTTTTACCTCCAGAGGAAAACAATTACAGTGCATGAAGTCTACAGTGAATGCAAATACAGATGTACAGAATAGAAATACCAGCTGCAGATGATGTTCCTTTTGTGATTAATCTATCTCTAGTTGTCTGGTTCTCATATGTAAGTTGGGTGGAGTTTTGTTGAATCTGGCCCTCATTCATCCTTTCAAAGGTATTAAGCTCCTTGACTCAAGTCATAGTCTTTGTCCTTAATTTGAAATTCTTAAGTTTTATTCTTTTTGCTTTCAATTTCTTAATTTTCATTTTATATCTTATTCTCGTGATCTCTTAGACTGGTGCTAAGCACTGATTTAACAATGGTTAATAGGGTGTTTTGAAAGCTTCAAACAGATCACCATGGGTGAAATCCTGGCTCCACTGAAGTCAATGGAAAAACTCCCATTGACTTCAGTGGGGCCAAGATTTTCCCCCCCGAGTCTCCTTTTAATTTATTTGCTATTGTTTATCTTGTGCACATAAAAGTTTGAGACTTGGCTTCACTTTGAATCATCTGCACTGAATGTTTTCATTGTAAAAATATTCTCAAAGGATTCCAGCAAGACTGATGGAGGATTTTAAGTCTTTCCCCACAAATGATTGCTGGTGTGTGTCTCTTTAAATCATTAACTACTGGCACTGTTTTAAAATTTAGTCTGATCCTTAATGACAGGATAAATATCAAAATATCATTGATCATTTCATATTCATTTTCATTTAAAAAAATTCTTTCATTTTCATTCTTTACCTGGATCTCCTGGTGAGCCCTTTTGACCTTGCAGTCCATTCAAGCCATCTAATCCAGGCAACCCTGATAAACCTTAGAAGTATTGCGGACATTATTAGAAGCATGACCCAAAAAACTTGAAAACGTTGATTTAACAAAAGTAAAATGTCTAAAACTTGACAATACATTTCTGGTTCAGTACAGTGTTTGCTGAAAGTGTTTTGACAACTGAAGAATGGACTACATCATTAACAGTTGAAGCCTGTTTTGAAAAAGGAGCATCATTTATAGATTGCTGGATAGTGAAGGAAATATGAAAGCAGCAGAAATAATTTCGTTTCCTATATTAGCAATCAGAACATTTACCTTTAATCTTTAGTGTGATTTTACTTTGAAAAATGACTAGAAATATGGCACTTTATGCATTGCATCTACTCCATTGCATTGATAGTCATCATCTACCAACTTGATAAAAATGAAATTTTACTGCTTTTTATTCCTGTTAATCCTGGAGAACCAACACAGCTAAAACAGAATGAGCTGTGGATTTTATTCTATTTTGTGCAGGATTATTTACTGTTGACCTATGGGCCAGAGTTTTGTAAGGCTTATCGCTTATTTATGAGTTAAACTCTCAAAGTGTTGTGGGAGTCTTATTAAGAAGGGAAAAATAACCTGCCTAAGAATTACCACTAAAAGATTAGACAATCTTTTCAAGAATTATTAAACAATAAATATTATTTTAGATGTACGAATAATTGTAAGAGCCGCTTACTTGGGAGAATTTATGGAGATAAACAACAGATGTTAATATACTGGAAATTTTGGGGATAAAAGTAATATATGTCTGTGAAAAACAGGAAATAAGTGAAAATGAAACTGTAGGCCCCTCTACTATAATAGTGCCAAGCTGTAAGCTAACTTCGGAACCGGATAAATAGTACAAACTAACTGTCTTGTCTACAGACTGCAGAAAGGGGTTCTCGCAGATTGTAGTGATGTACATCTCTTTCTATTATGTGCTAATTAACTTAATAACTCAAATCCTGTTGACTTATCCTGTTGACTTATCCTATTTATCCAGGATAAATTCAAACCTTACTAACACCCTTATTGGTAACAAATTAGTAACATTACAAAATTCTCTAAGCCACCCCTTTGCAAATCCTTTAAAGACAATGGAGTGGAACGTGTAATTGAGGACTTAAATTAGTATGCAGACTCTTTGTCCCTGGAGGTGATGCACTAGGTGGAAAGATCAGACTGAGTTTCAGGATAGGCAGGGAGAAAGAACATCTTTTATTTGTAAACTGAGGACATTTGATAAGAGGATAATTGAAACACAACAAAGAGATAATGCTATGATGGCATTTTTAACAGTCTCTTTTCAGAGTAGAAATGCTCTAATTTATTTCCCCTTTTTATTGGAGAGTAAAATAATGATAATTTTTGTTAAAGTTTTATTTATAGATTTTAAAACTTATCGACAAAACTCATCATTTCAGGATAGAAATTACAACCATTTATATTAACTACAAATCTCACCTGCCTCGCATTTATGTCCAATTTTTTGCTTAGCAAAGCATCTTGCTGATCAAATGGCACAAAACTTTTGTAGTAACACAGGCCAATTACTTAGCAGGCTTTAATATAATCTTTAGGTTTTGTTTTAGCATAGCTGAAATTGAGAACTTTCTTGATTGTGCCTTACTGCCTAAATTTCAAACAATAAAAATCTGTAAGGGAAAGTACTTCATTTTAATATGGGGTAGAAGTTCATGCTCACTATAGTGGGGTTCAGGTTTGCTATGGAAAAAGTTGTATAATTTCTGAAGTATGCTTCAGTCATACTGATAGCCCAGTCCTCCCCTCCTGAGGTTATAGGGGAGCCAAACAGCTTTGCTTTAGGAGTCTTTTCTAGCAGAATGGTAGTATGTTTGGTGTCCTGTAAAATACAAACATTTTCCTCATATACTATCTGTCTTCTGGGAACAGTCTAGCTAATTTCATTCCAGTTCCATTAGACACTTGTTTAAGGGGTAAAAATACTATCTCACGTGCCTGTCTGATAGGGCTCAGGTTATGAAAAAAACAAAATATTCTAGCAGATGCAGCTATGTATTCCCTGAGATGTGTGCGCACACCAGAGCCAGAGAATTTTGCCTAGCATTACCTGTAGATAGATGCCATTTGTGCCTCCTGGCCAAAGCCCTCCTCTGGGTATATCAGGCAACATCACCCCAACTCTCCTCAGTTCCTTCTTACTGCCCGTGGCTGGAGTTGGACCTGTGTGATTCCTAACCTCACACCTCTCTATTCCTTAGTGACTTTTCGAGCTGTATATAGTTAATTATTTCCCTTAGTATAGTGTTAGTTAGTTTTAGCGTTAGCTTTAGTTTACATATTTCCCTCGTGATGCTTTCACCAGGGTTTAAACATTGTCTGAAGTCTGGGGGGAGCGATTCCCAACAATGATCCCCACTCAGTGTTTGCTGTGCTTAGGTGAAGTCCATGACAAGGGGTGGTGTTGGATTTGCAAATCGTTCCCCAAACAGTCAGATGACGAAGGATCTTCATCTAAAGCAGCACCTGCTCAAACAGGCTATGCAGCCTGCTTCAGCACCGAGGTCATTTTGACTCCTTGGTCCAGTGCAGCATCCCAGTCATTGCTCCCTTCTCCAGATCCCCTCCATTTAGGGACAGGCTGCCTCACTTTCACAATGCTTGGGGCTCAATCACCACTGACAGCTGGGTCCTAAGCACCGTCAGATCAGGTTATGCCATCCAGTTCCTTTCCATTCCTCCCCACCACCCTCCCTCTCCATCCATCTTCAGGGACCCCTCTCAAAAGATACTGCTCCTCCAGCAGGTTCGCTCTCTACTGGCTTTGGGAGCAGCAAGGGAGGTTCCACCAAAAACACAGGGGGCAGGGCTTCTATTCCCAGTACTTTCTGGTGCCAAAATCCAAAGGAGGGGTAAGATCCATTCTTGACCTTTGCAACCTCTACAAATATATCAGATACATGAGGTTCTGAACAGTCTATTGACTACTCTCCCTGTGTTGTCTCAGAACAACTGGTTTGCTGCTCTGGACCTTCAGCATGTCTACTTTCATGGGGCAATTTTGCTGAGCCACAGAAATTTCCTTCGATTCATCGTAGCAGAGTGCCATTTTCAGTATACAGTTCTTCCCTTCAGATGCTCTTCTGCCTCTTGGGTTTTTAACAAATGCATAGTTGTGGTTGCAGCCTACCTCAGAAAGAAATGAATCCACATCTTCCCACACTAGACAACTGGTTACTGAGAGGTAGGTCCGGAGAGGAAGTTCTTTCCCATGTAAACACTACACTGCACTTGCCTGACCATCTAGGTCTCATCCTAAACTCTAGAAAGTCAACTTTGGTTTCCACTCAGAAAATCAAGTTCATTGGGCCCATATTTACACTCTGACTTCGAGAGTTTTTGCTAGGCAATTCACCACCTTTGCCTCAGTCTGCAGTCTCAGCCGTCCACGACAGTTCAGATGTGCCTCAGGCTCTTGGGCCATATGTCCACTTGCACACAGGTGCTCCAGTTTGCAAGGTTGCATCTTCTCCCCCTTCAAATATGGCTCAGGACAGCTTACCATACAACTCTTTATTCCTTGGATAGATTGGTCCATCTCCCTCCACTGGTCCTGGACTTCTTGCAGTGGTGGATGCATCCAGAGAATGTTTGTCATGGTGTTCTCTTTTTGTCCCACCCTTACCAACCTGGTCTGTTGTCACTAGGCTGACCAGATGTCTCAATTTTACAGGGACAGTCCCGATATTTGGGGCTTTGTCTTATACAGGCTCCTATTACCCCTCACCCCCATCCTGATTTTTCACACTTGCTGTCTGGTTACCCTAGTTGTCACCAACACTTCATTAATTTTAGTGCTAAAAGGCAGCTATTTAATATACTGGACTTTACTTTGGCAGACTGGAGAGTGAAGAAGTTTGCGAATGGGACTGGATCAAAGTTCAGCCGTTACCATCTGACAGCTGATTAATGACATTTATAAAATAAGATGATATCAGTACACTTCCTAGTTAGTGGGCGAGCATCTAAAATCACAATTGTCAGAGACTGGTAGCCTCATTGATAGACTCAATAGAGAGGCCAAAGACTGAATAGGCATGGAAACAAAACTACTCTCCTATACTGAAAGGTGGTACCTGAGAATATGCCATTAGTAAAACTGGTGTGGAGGAGCTTGCTCTGCTACTGCTCATTTGCTAAACCTATCCTGGTGATAAATAGAGGGTATTGGCCACCATAATTTTTAGTCAGGCCTTTTTCAGGAACAATAAATTGAATTCACATTAAAATGAGTTATCTGTCCTACCTATCATGCACTTTAAAGTTTCTCTTTAATAATTTTATGCCAAGATAGCTACAATTACACATTATTAAGTTTGTGAAGTCAAACATTTAAAAATTTGAGTGCTTGACTTTGCAGCCTTACAAATGTTCTTTTAACATACTGAGTGTTTCTTTAGGTATGTAATTTCCTAAGTTTTTAAAAAAGGAAACTAAAAAAAAACCCAGAATTTCCATCATGTGGCATCATATTGGAACCAAAATGGCTCATTAGCAGGACTGAAAGCTTTAGATCCACAGCACGGATGTCTAACCACTGGAGCTAATGGAGTAACTGATAGTAGGTTGTTATCCTACATATGCACCAACACTGGAGAGAGAAGTGACACTTTCTAAGTGGAAAGAGAAAAGGAGTACTTGTGGCACGTTAGAGACTAACATTTATCTGAGCATAAGCTTTCATTGGTTGACAGCAGAGGAATTATTGAGACTCACCAATCTTCAGTGCCATTTTATGCTCTGGAGGGGGGTGGGTGCTAGTGGACACACCCTCTTCCACCCATAAGCATGACTCCCTTCTGCCCCATCCCCTCCAACCTGTCATTCTCCAAGTCTTTTCCCTATCCCGGCTTCTCCCCACAGTCCCATTCTTCTCCCCTAGACAGTCCCAGTTTTCTCTGCTTAGGTCTTCTTGTCCCAGTGTCTTTGCCCAATCAGTCAAGAGCTGCAACTGAAGGAAAAACCTTCATCCCCAGGCAGGAGCATTCCCAGTTTGGATAGAATCATTGGTGAATTTAGCTGCTAAAATGTAAGTCTCTATTGAGCATACACAAACTGATTTCTCAAAGGTTTATAACTTGGCCACATTTGGGCAGATTTTCATGGAGACAAAACAAGGCATATCCCTGACACAAAGGCCTTGCCCCTGCTGAATTTCAAGTCCCTGCTCCAAACCATGGGGGCTCTAAGAATTTTCAAAGTAAAGGCTGTCAGAATTTAACATGGGCATAATGTATCTTTTCACAGCCTTGTCCTCAGAAGGCTGAACAATCTTGGCTTAAACTTTTCAAAACAGTTCAGCCTGAGGCAGACAACTGGCATGGAAAATTTCAACTGAAACAGTTAATGTTTGGTAAAGTTTTAAGCAAATGAAAACATGGTCTTATAATTGGAAATGTCAGAAACATCAATACTACACGGTGGTACCAGCCCCACCTGTAATATTCTTTCTGCCCTTAATTCATTACTGTACAATAGCTTTTCATGACATTTGTTCACCTTTTCAATCCTGTTTACTACGGCCTCATCTATACTTGTGAAAGGCTTATATACGAGTTATTTGCTAATGTTGAGAATTTACCTAAATGAACACAAATGCTAACAATTTTTGGAAACCCATTTTGTTTTAAAATGTTTTTGATGCTTTGTTTATTCTGTCATTATTGCTGACTTGGTTTACTTTGTTTTCCAGGAAATTTCTAACATATTTGTCAACACTTCATTATAACATCAACACTTGTAAGTTTAGATTTTGGACTGTTACAGTCCCATACTTCCAGATACAGATGAATTGGCTGACCTATATATGAACCATGATTCCTAAATTTTAGGGCCCAATCCTGCAATCTTTTCTCACACAATCCCACTGAAATTAATGGGACTATTTGCTTGAATAAGGACTACTCATGAGTGAAGATTGCAGGATTGGGCCCTTAATTACTGAGACTCTCTCTCTGTCATAAAGAAACTGATGTTTTGTTCTGATGAATGCCTGTAACTTCAATCCCTAAATCTGAAAATTGGTCATGCATGTGATCTTTAAGTAAACGAAAAGCAATTAGGCTAACAAGGCTCAGTCCTTAATAACAATTGGTTAACCATTTCATTTCTAATGACAATCACAAATGCTTCTTCATTATTAAAAATGGAACTATTAATATTATTTAAGATCCATACTCCACAGTACACTGGCATACCAATTCCATTAAATCCTTGTAATTGGATACATTTTAAAATTTAGAATTCTTCTTTTCAAACATATTGGTAGAATTAATCCACATTGGAACTAATCTTTATTGGGTGGCTTGATCCCTACTGAATTTCCATTTTTATCTGAGCTACCTATTTTTCAGTCCCTGTACTCCTGTTGATCTCTTGTGTTTCCTTTGTAGGGCCTAAAATGATTTCCAAAAAAAACGAATGAGTGAAGTTAGCTGCATAAAACTAATAAAATGCCTGATCCTAAAGAAGAACAGGACACTTCTTCAACTAACAAGTTTTCACTATCAGGTGTGTAATACCTTTTCAAATGGAGGGCAATTTGGAAATCCTTGTAATTGCAGCATGACTCCCAGTGCTGTAGCTAATAGGTATACTGTGCAACACAATAAACTGTTTTCCTGCAGATTACACAGCAACAAGGGATTTGTTATCATTGTATTATATCAGCACCCCCTACCTTCCCATTGATAATCAGAAAAAGCTTCCATGTAAACCTCAGTTTTCAGTTTTGAACTGACCATGTTTGCCGTAGACTGAAACTGAAAAAATGAATGTTTTCTGTATAAAAATTGATTGTTCTCTTTTGGGAAAAATTATGGACTCAAGGGTGGATTTGTTTTGAGCCCCAAGTCTGGGGCAGCATGTTGTACCCCAGGAGTAGTTTAGGAAGCAGATTGTGACCACCCAGTAAAAATAAACAAGATAGCTTCATTTCTGATTATATAATTTATCTTAGTATAATGTTGATCTAATATATGCTAAATTTTAATTAGCTACAATACATAAAATTTATATTGTATCCTTTAAGGGGGAAGAGATTTTTAGATGAATAATTTTTTCAATCTAAACAGTGATTGCCATGAAAGATGTAATTTATCATTGATTGGAAGTATTTCTAAATGTAATCTGCCAATAGATCAACTGTCTTGCAAACAGTACTTACAGTATTTGTTATCACATTTTGATAAAATGCCCCAGTCAATCATGTGAGATTTCCTAAATTTGAATTGGCCACCTTTTTCAGTATTAATGTTTTCCACTGAAGTGTGGTCTGCTATTCGTATTCATGTTTGATGTATGCAGAGTAACAGTGGCATTACATGGCCGGAAAGTAAATTACAGTGTAACTGAAGTGTTAGTGAAATATCTATCTTCAGAGAATTTTACTGTTCTTGTGTCATACTCTGCCCTGTTATACCAGCTGAACCAGAATTTAAGGTTTATGTCTCTGCTTCCTTATTTACTTTAGATTGTAGCCTGATTTCTTTGGCCAACATTTGTGCTTTAAGGGTGGGATTTTCAAACCTGCTCAGAGTTGGCCTAAGTCTTCTAGTTACTGAAGTCAAAGGGGAATTTTACTATTGATTTCAACGGGAGCAGACTTAGGCCAATGCTAAATGCTTTTGAAAATCCTCTCTATTTTCAGTTACATTTATTACTGCACAAAATTCCCAGTAATTTCTGACACCATTACTTGAACTGTAATGTGTGACTAATGCTGTCTATAGCACTTACCTTTCCTGCCTAGGGGACCAGGTGATCCTGGCAATCCTGCAGCTCCTAAAGGCCCGGTATTGCCTTGTCCACCTGGAACTCCTGGCAATCCCAAATCACATATAGCACCTAAAGGAGGAAAACATTTTTAATATGCAAACCTTTTTACTCCTGCTCCCTTAGCTGTTATTTCTCCCATACTATTCAGTACACAGTGGTTATTGACAGGCATCTGGGGCCAAAAATTCTATCCAAAAACATTGTTAGCTTTCCTTGAATCTCCTTTATGGCCCTTCTTGGAAGAATCTCTGCTACTTCGCTCCAGTAGTTTCTGACACAAGTCTTCATGCTGCCTTTGATACCAACCTACTCTCTGTTGCTAGCTTCATGGTTTTGAATTGCACTGCAGACTGCCTCACTTTTTGTCCATTTTGAAGTAATTCTCATCCATTTCTATTTTTTTTTTATTTGACTTTACCTGGAAAGCCTTTTGCTCCTGGGGATCCAGGCATCCCCTTGGGTCCTTGTCTTCCAGGTTCCCCTTGGAAACCTGGTAAACCTTGCTCTCCTGGGAATCCACAGGGTCCTTAAAAAAAGACAAATATAACAGTTTCAGGTTTAAAGACGTCCATGGCTCACACTGTGGTATGTTTAAAAAATGCCAAGCTCAATATGCTTCCTCATGTCATACTCCTGAAAAAGGAAGAGTTTTACACAAATAGTTCAGCATTTCAGACACACAGATGTGTTTATTATGCTGTTTTGCTCTGGTCTCTCCGATGTATGGACTGTGAATTTATTTAAATTAGCGATAGGGCATAGAATTACTGATCTTCCTTTTACTCTCAGTGTGATTGGGAAGAAGTTGACAGATCTTCCTTTTTTTCCTTCCTCTTCCATGTGGCTGAAGAAGAAAGATCTGTTCCCAGAGACTGCAAGAGACAGAACTTTCAGGTGGCTAGCAGAGTGCTCATCAATGATGCATCTGGACAGTAGCAGACCCTAAGTCCTGTGTTCATTTATGGACTATATTATAAATTGTGAGGCCTTTTTGGTCCTGGGCTTCCAAAGACTCAAAAGCCATTGTTTTGCATTAGTCATTAGTATTAAGCTGCAAATACTGAAAGCAGCAAATCATGAAAAAAATCCTATAGAAACTTTTAAATCTATTTAAGCACTAATTTTTTCTTAATAACCCAAATGTACCTGGTGATCCACGATCTCCTGGAGGACCTCTTTGACCAGGTGGACCATATTGACTGCCCGAGTCACCTCTGTTACCTATTCAAGTTAAAAATACAAATGACTTTCGTTAGAGATCAGTGTCGGTTTCATCTGCAAAACCAAAAAGAGATAATTTTGAAGGTCCAGTAACTTACAAATATTAATAGCTAAAATTACAAAAACAATTCTCAATTAAAAAATAAACCAAATTGTATTATTTTATTTCGTTGGACCAAAAGAACACAAAAAACTAGAGGATTGTCCTTGATAAATTCATACTAGGAAACAAAGAATGTGGGATTAAGGGAAAGCTTCTTTGCAAGTGACTGTGCTAAGTTTTTATGTTAAATATGGACAATAGAGATGTATTTGATACTGCAGTATCACTTAACACTAATTGGGAATGGGCCCCATTGCGCCAGGTCCTGTACACACACAGTAACAGACTGTTAAGTATGCCAACAGCATTCTAAAAACAAAGTATCAATCAACCTTTTGGAAACTTCAGGAGTCTGGGTATTCTGCGTAGCTAAGTATTTGTATAGCCCCCATCATCATCATAACTGAGTGCCTCCTGAAGATTTAATCTTTCGCTTGCTTTTGTATGCTTGTTTTAGCCTTCAGAAGTGATTTATTTGTGAAATCTCTAGTACAGCAAGATGCACACAAATGTCTTAAAGCTGTGGACCAAGGTAAGTAGTGTATCATAAAAAACTTAGCAAATGATAATGGAATTAATAGAAAAATACATAGAGGAGAACTATTGAAATGACTTCCTGACAATCAGGAAGTTTTGGACTGTAGAAGTAGTTTGTTTCTGCTTTAGGAGAGAAAGGAGAATGGACACAGACACAGCATTAGAACAATATCCCTATTTCTAGTTAATTAGGGAATGATGGCCTTGAACATTTAAGGACAGTTTTTGAGGGGCAAGTGGCATTAGCTACTGAATATTCTGGCATTCTATAGCTTGTGACAGGTGCAGTGTAAGAGCCTAGATAGGTGGAGATATTATATCCCCATTTCCCTAATACATCATTTAATTCTCAGACTGTCTGATCAAAAGCCATATCCGGAGGTATCAACTCAGTTGACATTCAATATGACTCCCATTAAGTTCAATGGGAATTTGCCTGAGTAAAAACTCAGTAAGGAACTCATTAATTGCCCCAGATTTGAGAAGTGCTACATAAATACCAAGTATTACAATAAAGCACACAGTTCCTACAGAAATAACTTTGAAAAGGCAAGGAAAATCCACACAGTTTAAGTCTGTTTACTCAGAAAAGGCTTCTTAAGAACAATTTTTGGGTTTCTGAGCCAACACAGATGCTGTGCCTGGCCTTCTCCACTCTACTTCAATTCCTCCCTTTATAATGGACTCTCTTTCTGTTGTTTCTATTCCTCAAACTCCTCCCACATCAAATTCATGGTTCCACAGCCCTTTCACCCCAGAATATTATGCAGGTATCTAATACCTCCCACTCACACCTGCTGGCTTCTAGCTTCTCTGTCTGAGATGGTTGTGAAACGCATAGAGAAGACTTTTGAATTCAAGTGTTATCAGTGATTCTATGTCACAGCAATCCTCCCTGACCAGAAAAGATCCTGTTTAATAACTTGATTGCCAACTTCTTTTATTTTTTAAATTCAGTTACATGTGTTATAACCCCCTTTTAGCCCACTTCTGATAAAGGATTTCTCTTTATCTCAAATATTTGTTCATAAATTCTTTTTTATTTTTTGTGAAAATACATTCCCTGGCTAGGAAGATGCTGAATTGCTAGAGCCATGGAAAAGAATCTGGAGAAGGAATTTCCCTTGCTCTGTATTTTCTTCCAAATAAATCTCTGGTCTTCACGTTCTTTTACTCTTATTTTTGTATAAACTAGTTTTAAGAAGAAAATCATATTCTACGGAAGCTTGAAACAATAGAACAATTCAGCTGATACCTCTTGCTCTTCATAAACTGCCTTTAAATATTCAAGGTCAAATTTTCAAAGTGGTCTCATCTCATCCTCGAAATAGGAATGAGAAAAATTGGACATGAAAACTTGGTGGTGTCAAAGGTTGTGTTTGTGTAAACTATTTACCAAATTTGTGCACACAAATCAGATTACAGCTGTCCTGAATGTTCAAAAATCATAAGCTAGATGACACAAAAGCATGCGATTTAAGAATAATTATAAATTGTGTTGTTTTTTGAGCCATTTTATGATGTCACCTTTTTTAGGGAATCCCCCATCTCAACTGGTGTGAGACCATCTCATGTTCAAAATTCAGTCAGAAATACACATGCAAAAATCAGGCTGCCTTCTTTACTGATCATCCTAGTCTATCCCCAGGGGTGTGAAGAGCTGCCAGTCTCTCTCTCTTCTCCTCTCCAGATAGGCAGCTGTCCCCATTCCAATTCTCCTCTCAGTGCTCCCCCACAGTCTACTGTCCCCACCTATTCTCTAAATTTATCACGTCCGTATTTCCCTCCCTTTCTCCTCATTCTCCTCCCCATCACATTCTCCCATTCCGTCATGCCACATTTCCCTGGATCCCCTTCAAGATAAACTGCATGAGTTTGGAGGCAGAAATCCAAATATAACAAGAACCTTTTAAAAAACAAAATGAAACACCCACACTGTTGTTGTGAGACTTGCAATAAAATTGTGAGTTGGCAACACTTCGCCAAAAAAAGGCACACATCGAGAGGCCACTTTTGAAAATGTGACCCTTAGCTGCCTGCAAAATATAGTTTCATGTTCATCTTTTCATGCAAGTATTTTTTCTCCTGTCTTCTCTTCCACTCATGTGTGATGTTCCCCTTTCTCCTTAGGTCTCGTACATACTGTATCTGAAAACTAATACAAGTTTAATCACAAAAGCCATCTAGATAACCATTGTGTCCTGTCAAAAATATAAAGGGAAGGGTAAACACCTTTAAATCCCTCCTGGCCAGAGGCAAAATCCTTTCAACTGTAAAGGGTTAAGAAGCTAAGATAACCTCGCTGGCACCTGACCAAAATGACCAATGAGGAGACAAGATACTTTCAAAGATGGAGGGGGTGGGGGAAACAAAGGGTTCTCAATGTCTGTGTGATGCTTTTGCCTGGACCAGAGCAGGAATGCAGGTCAGAACTCCTGTAAAAAGTTAGTAAGCAATTTAGTTAGATATGTGTTAGATTCTGTTTTGTTTAAATGGCTGATAAAATAAGTTGTGCTGAATGGGATTCATATTCCTGTTTTTGTGTCTTTTTGTAACTTAAGGTTTTGCGTAGAGGGATTCTCTATGTTTTGAATCTGATTACCCTGTAAGGTATTTCCCTTCCTGATTTTACAGAGGTTTTTCTTTAATTAAAATTCTCTTTTAAGAACCTGATCGTTTTTCATTGTTCTTAAGATCCAAGGGTTTGGGTCTGTGTTCACCTATGCAAATTGGTGAGGATTTTTATCAAGCCTTCCCCAGGAAAGGGGGTGTAGTGCTTGGGGGGATATTTGGGGGGGGGGAGAAGTTTCCAAGTGGGCACTTCCCGTTATTTTTGTTAGACACTTTGGTGGTGGCAGCATAAGGTCCAGGGACAAAAGGTAAAACAGTTTGTATCTTGGGGAAGTTTTAACCTAAGCTGGTAAAAATAAGCTTAGGGGGTCTTTCATGCAGGTCCCCACATCTGTACCCTAGAGTTCAGAGTGGGGAAGGAACCTTGACAGATCCCATGGTATTTTGTAGATATATTGGTGTTTTACTCATTTTTGGGCTGAAGCTATGATCTTGTGAAATTTAACTAAGACACAGTCATCTTCAAAGTCACTGAGAGCCTTTTTTTCAAGTGATAAATCACCAAATGTCTTACTATAGTTAAATGAAAACTTTTTATTTAGGCATAAAACAGTTTTGTGTCTAATGATTTTCATGTGTGAATTATCTCTGTCTCTTTCCCCTAGAGGGTTCATTGAATATATCAAAGTACACAGCAACCTAACAAAATACTGTTTATTTCATATAGCTTGTATGTTTCAGCTTATTACCTTTAAGTCCTTTTGCACCATCACGGCCTGGATATCCAGGAATTCCTGGTAAACCTCGCTCACCCTGATACATTATTAAAAAAACACTCTGTTTAAAATATAATATACATAAGAGGCACAATCTGTAAAAACATTTGACTCTGTTGCACTGATGAACAGACTGATACTAAACGTCAATATTATTGTCTTCACTGTATGATTCTTTGGAGTAATCCACTCGTCTGTGTCAAATAATGGCTAAACGCTGACCTTTGATATATGCAGGAAACGCCAATTGTCTTGAGTTAGATCTGTGTATATATCGCTAAGGCTAGAATTTGGCTCAAATATCTGAAATTCCCTCTAGGTGATCCAATTAATGCAACTGTAGTTTAATTCAAAAATGGTACTTCAGTAATGTATTTTACACAAGAACACAAATAAATAAAAAACATGTTATCTCCACTTTTGTTGGCCCCCAAGAAATTAGTGTTGACCCTCTAATATTAAAAAAAAATCTAGTTTTTCATCGTAAACAAGGAGATGTAGTCAGCAGTACAAAGCTTTACACTGTCCCTCAGAAATAATTTGGTAAAACACAGACCCAACACTGAAAACAAAGGATATGTAAATATAACGGCCTAAATTCAACCGGATTTACATTTGTGCAATCCCATTGACTCATTGCATGAAGTGCAAGATAGTGAAGAACTTGCCTCTAATTTCAACTATATCATGCATATTTGTACATTTTTCCTTTGGAAACAGTATTTTCCAGGGTTCAGTTCACTGTAAGCTGCCTCTATAGGGGGTAAAGACCAAGGGATGCTCCTGGACTATGCATGCAAACAAGCAGGCTGCTCTTGGAAGTGGCTCTGTAAACTTCAGCCTCATTCAATTGCCATCTCACTATGCGTAGAGTAGGTGACTCCATCCATGTGTCCTTGGGAATAATATCAGAGGATAGACTGCTCATGCACCTTTCTTGTTAGTCAGTGAAATCTGGTGAGGGTTCCTAACTACAGAGAGTGGAACCAAACAACTCTATGCACCATGGAGGTGACAAAAGACCCCATCCAGCCCCAGTATAAAATAAGTGAAAATAACAGCAACAAACAAATTTCACAGTTGTTGACCTTGCATGCTGGGCCAATGCTTTCTTCTGAATAAGATCATAAGAACAGCCATATTGGGTCAGACCAATGGTCCGTCTAGCTCAGTATCCTGTCTTCCGAGACGGGCCAGTCCCAGATATTTCAGAGGAAATGAATAGGACAGGGCAATTTATTGACGGATCCATCTCCTGTCATGCAGTCCCAGCTTCTGCCAATCAGAGGTTTAGGTGTGACCTGGTGTATGAGCTCTCTAAGCACACTCATATGGCTTGTGTACCACAATCAGACACGTGTCTTGGATTGAGTTCTCAAGAAGTATAAAAATGCAGTACAGTATTATGTATCCATGATCTTGCACTATTGCTCTTAGCTTACCTGGGCACCTGGTTGTCCTTGAAAACCAGTAATTCCTCTTAAACCTCCCAATCCTGGGGAGCCTGGCAGCCCTGGAAACCCAATCTGCCCACGATCCCCAGGTTCACCCTTCTGAGTTCCTGGGAGCCCATCTTTGCCTGGAAATCCTGGGATCCCTCTGATTCCAAGACTGCCTTTTTCACCTGAAAGTTTTCCACAACAAAAGATTATTGTAAATTTATCCTGGTCCTTGGCTGATGCATTTTAGTACCACATTTTTGTGGGTACACTTGTGCGCTCACAATTCATGAAGTACGTAATAAATTGTAGACAAACTGTAGTACTTATACAACTAACTAAAGGACATGTCAGCATAATGGGGTAGTTGGATATTCAAATACTACTATTTGTGTTCACACTTATGCCTGCAATTTTGAAACAACTATTAATTGCGGCACTGTGACAAAAAATTGTAGACATTTTTAAAAATCAGGCAAAGTGGGTGTACACACACATTTATGAGCTCACCTGTTTCCCCTGGAAACCCAGCCGCACCAGGAAGCCCTTGTTCCCCCTTTTGTCCTTTTTCCAGCCATAAGGTAATGAAGCCACTGTCTCCTTGAGCACCTCTTTCACCTTTGAAGAAGACCATGGTGAATATAATCTATACAAATGCTAGCTGACCACACTGTATCATAAAATGTCATTAAAATACATTTAAGTGCTTGAACTCTCTCCCAAAGTCTTACCAGAGTGCCCCTTTCTCTTCTCTTTAGAACGTAATCTAAGTCCCATTTATTTGAACAAGTTTATCATTGAATTTATTTTGTCTTTCCCCTCTTTATATTAATCCGTATACCTCTTTTCTTTGTGTGAGTTGGGAATTGCTTCAGGTTTGGGTGGAGTAGTTTGCCTGAGGGCTACTGGACTTGCCATTGGGCAGATCTTTTGGTTCTCACTGACTATGTATTTGGCAGGTTGAACTTTATTCCTTGTTTTAATGTTTAGGCATGATATTGCCAATAAGCTTTATATTTACATTGAACAATGAGAAAAACATGACAGAACCTTAAAGAATGCCTTGTTTCAAATCTGTTGGTGATGACATACAATTGCTCATCACCCCTGTTGAGAGAGAGCTGCACCAGATGCAGCAGTGGGTGTACAAGGCACATAAAAACAAACAGGTGCATGAAAAAGCAGACTCATTAAACAGACCATCTGATTCTGCTTGCATGTACACCTGACTTACACTGGCTTAACTCCATTGATCCCACTTGAAAATGGCAGTGAATTGATTAGAGACCTTTTACAACCACATGGAATTAAAACAATTTTATTAACAAAAATGAAAATAAAAAACTAATTGGAAGGCAGGTAATATGGATTCTCCATACCTTTTTGCCCTCCATCCCCACATTCTCCAGAAGGCCCCCTTGAGCCCATTTCTCCTTGTTCACCAGGTCCACCCGGGATTCCTGTCTGTCCGCCTTTTCCTGAGATTCCTGGGAAACCTTGGATGCCTTGGATGCCTTTGCTACCTGGTAATAATGTTAAGATACTGATGTGCTTATCTAACAGCCTACTGTTGTGCTATTAGAAAGAGTGCCATACAAAAGGTAGACAGTTTAGAGAGAGTTTTGGAAAGTTAGTAATATATGAGAACCAACAGCAGATATATTTGGGTAATACTAAGGTAAGCTGGGTAACAATAGAACACGCAGCAGCAGACATTCACTATCTAGGTACTTAGCTGATGCTCATCACTGGTGTCTGAGCTACAAAAGGTTACACATGGAATTACACTCAGGTGTAATGGAAGGGAGCCAGCTGAGGCTCCTTAATACTTTCCCACTAAGCCCTGGCAAAAGTGTTAGCCTTCCGCTGCTCTAACTTCCACTCAGACTTTGTATCAGTGGAAGATCAAGCATACTGGGGCTCTACCTGCCCCTCCTCTTGGACTTCTGGATATACTCCCTCCCTCTTTTTTCTCCAGCATGAGGTGTGTGGCTGTCACTGCCTGATTTCCCTCTGGCAGAGTCCCCCTCTGTGAGGAGAATTCTCTGCCAGCTAACTCCAGCCATTTTAAAGCCACTTTATGACATTATGGGGTATGAAGTGGCCTAACGGACTGGAGCAGCCAGCCCACAGGCAATTAACCTCCCATATTTTCACTCTCATAACTTTCTGGAAAATTCTCCTCCTTTTGGGTTTAAACGCTTATTTCATACTTAGTTTCAAGCCAAATGGTTATATCTTTTTAAGTTTGAGGAAAGTAGTTCAGTCTTTTGTAAATGTATTTATGCATTTTTAAAGCACTCCATTAGTGCCTCAGTAAATATCTCTTACTTTCAAATCTAAACTGTTGCTAAGGTTTTACTAAACAATTCCCCAAATGCTGGTAGCTTTAGAGAGGACTCCCAGCTGGGAGAAGCTGTTTCCACAATCACATGATCTCATACCTCTTAGGCACACATGAGTATGCTCTCACACAATATTGCACTGAAACCAGGACACAATAATGACCTGTTGCAAACAGGAAGAATGAAATAGTCCATAGAAATTTGCCTGTAGCTTTCATAAAAACAACCAAAACCAAAGAATCTTTGGTGCTCCCTGCAAGCTGCAAACTCTTTACGCTTGTTTGACTTTTGCTCCAAGAGACATAAGAAAGGGTGATATTCTCATTGTTTTTCACAGATACATGTAGTAGAAGCTGGAAGGGTGTGAACAGTGCAAAGTACTCTCACTGACATCATTTGATAAGGAGCAGCTCTTTAAAAGAGTTATATGTAACAGGGTGATAGATACATTAGGCTTCATATACCTCGTTGGCCTGGGAGTCCAGGTAATCCATTGCTCCCAGGAAGCCCTGGATATCCTCGAGGGCCTGGAGGACCAGGGGACCCTGGTACACCAGGAGATCCTGGTAGGCCTTTCATTCCAGCTGGCCCTGGTGGGCCCATGTCTCCTTTCTGACCTTTAAAACCTGGTAAGCCTGAGAAAACAGTTTATTTTACTCATTTTATACCCAGAAACACAAAAGAAGATTCAGTAACACAGATGGTCATAAGAAGGATGGGGGCATGGGTCTTATACAAAATTATTGATTTTTGGTGGAAACTTGAATACTGAAAACACTGGGCTGAAAACTGAAATATTTTGATTTGTAAACATTGCCACGGTGCCTCCTCGGAGTGGGGAGACGGTACATCACAGGAATTCCTGGCCCCATCAATATTTTGGTTTTCAAATGAAATATTTAGATTTTTCAGGTGTTGGTATTTTTGATAAAAAATTTCCACAAAAAGCTTTTTTTGTGAAAAATTGAATTCAGTTGAAAATCCAATTTTCCATAGAAAAACAGTATCAACAGCAATTTTTCCATCAGTCTCGCTCAGTGACACTTTTACCTAAGCTTGGGCTGTAACTACATGCTAAATAAAGAGCACACTTTTAAGATACTGAAATTACAAAGTAGGAAATACTTAACTCTTCCATTGTATTAAACCACAATGAATGCATATTTACAAGGCCAGTTAAGCAATGCATTATACTATCGGAGACAGGTTTGGGAGGGACCTTGAGCTTTTCACTCCACTGACCAGGCTGGGATCAGATCATGCTGAGTAAGGGGAAGGTACAGAACACCCTGCACCAAGCACCAGTGGGCCGAAAGATCCTCATTGGACTGTCTCTGACATGTCAGCCAGGCCGTCAGTATGCAGGAGAGAATTAAACGTAGCACAAGAGTTCAGAATAGAAGTATAAGTGAAAAACTTAAGATCTCTGCTCAAACCAACTACATCATGAATCCCAAACTCCCCATGTCTTCTATTAACAAAAAGCAATTGTGTAATTGTATGGAAGACTCTGAATTCACGATTCTCTCTTTCTGAACCCTATAACTTTGTCTTCCACTATCAAGGGGACCATTGCTCTGATTCACAAATATGGGCAAAATAACACATAACAGTTAAAAATGTGATTGAACTGTAGTGAGGGGTATCAGATGGGAGCACAATGAGGGAAGGGTGGCTGTGAGAGTCCCAAAGTTTAGGGGTTGGGTTTATTTTTTTTAAATATCACCATGATAAACCTCCCTGACTAGAAGGTTTCCAGTAGTTAATTTTAACATGGTGGCACATGAATTGCTCCTCAATATAAGATGGACAGCCATGGTTATTTTATTTGCACATCCTCATGTAACGCTCAAAGAGATAGCAGGAAGACACCACTGTAGAAATGAGCTAGTTGTGGGGGGAGAAGCCACTGAGAGGAAGGGAAGACACTTTCAGTTTACTACACCTTAAGATAAGATCTTCACTAGTCACATAATTCAGTCATTCTTAGCTGATGTTTTTCTTAAATCAAAATGACAGCTTCACAAAGGTTTTTGCTCTGGTACCACTGAAATCAATTAGGAGCTTTGCTATTGGCATTCTCTGGGAACAAAGGGAGGCTCAAAGTGATTATCTGCAGATAGAAAATCAATGGGACAGAGAATAAATGGAATGGGGGATTACTGAGTTTGTAGATATTCACTGGAAAAAGATGCCCAAAGTTTAGAGCTGGAATGTAATGTTATGAGCACAGTTTACCTGGAGGGCCTCGCTGTCCAAGAACTCCTAGCTGTCCTGGTGGCCCTTGTAAGCCTTTATCACATGGCTGACCGGGTGAACCTGGAGCTCCTATTTCACCTTTTCTGCCTCTCAGACCTGTAGCACCTGGAAATCCTGGTCTGCCAGACTGTCCTAAAAAGATGCAATATTTGTCCTGACAAAAAAATTCCCATCCACTCCCCTAGCTACATCCCCGTGGAGTTCAGGGCAACATATTCAATTATTGTTGTATTTTACCTGCCTGACCAGGCTGGGATGAGACCATGCTGAGTAAAGGGAAGGTATAGAACACGCTGCACCAAGCACCAGTGGGCCGAAAGATCGTATAGGTTCTCTATAGGTTTTCAAAAATGTTTGCTACTTTCCTGCACTTTGGAGTTGGCTGTTATTGAGAACTGCTGCATCCTGCTTTCTGGGGCAAATACTGACTCCTGCCTCTATGGGTAAGGAGGACCTTCTGGTGGCAGAACCAGGGTAGGCTCACCCACATGGCCCTGCAGTGTGGACTGTGGGGCTGTGAACTGCAGTCCACACTAATTTGCTGAACTGTAAGTGCCTGCTAGCATGAACTAAGAGGTACCCGCTTTGTGATAACATAGTCATGTTCTGTTCTCTGTATGCCACCGAGCTGCTGTGTGACCTCGGGCAAGTCAGTTCACCTCTGTGTGTGTCTGTTTCTCCTCCCACCCTTTGTCTGACTTGTCTATTGACTATAAGCAATCTGGGGCAGTGACTGGCTCTTCCTATGTGTACATACAGTGCCTGGCACAACAGGCCCTAATCTCAGCTGGGGCCTTTAGGTGCTACTGTGATACAAATAATTATAATAGAAAGCTCCACTGCCATGCCATGGCATTGGGGAAGGCTTCTTCCTGCTTCCAACCCTGTAGATCTCTCCAGTGCCCGACTTATCCTTAAGTGTAAATTCCATTAGAATCGTCCAGTCAGTTCCTTTCGGGAAAAATCCAGTTAGCATCAATGGATATTGATCAATGGATGCAGAGAGCGTTTTTGGCCAACTTGTAGAATTCAAGGAGGTTCATGGTACCTGCATTTTGAACATGTGTGAGTAGAGGCTTGTGCATGCCTACCATGGGCAAAATACCTGGCAGCTCTCTCACACAGGCAATGAGAGATCAAGTAGAGGACACTGTGTATCATGATTACTTCAAAGAAGAATTATTGCAGGTAAGTAATTATATCTTCTTGTCTGCATTACATACCCACTACTTCCTAAATGCCCATAACTTTCAAGGGCTTTGTAAAGGTTTCACCGTATTTCGAATGTTTATACACACAAGTGGCTGAGCTGCTTAGTTGACTATTCCTTGTTCTATCAAATGAGCCCTGTTTCTTTTTAGGGTGTACTAGTGTGTGTGTGTCATGGACAGCAGATTAAAATATTGTTGTGTGAAGCATGAATATTTTTCTTCTATTCCAGGGACGTAATTCTGCTCTTATTTACACTGTTGCAAAAATCAGGAGTAACTTCACGTCAGTCACTGTGGAGCCACATAAGAGAGATCAGCATAAGCCCCAGTGTCTGTCTTTATGCTTTAAACGCAATAGAAATAGGACTCATACCTTGTGGCCCAGGAGTGCCTGATTCACCTCGTATTCCTTGTAAACCAGGTAATCCTGGCAATCCTCTGTGGCCTGGAATTCCTGGAAGACCATAACTGGTATCACCTGGAACACCTTTCTGACCTGAAAGTCCAGGACTGCCAGGGAAACCTGGGGCACCATCAGGGGAAGAACCTCTTTCACCTTCATCACCTGGATCACCAGGATTGCCTCGAAAGCCTATTGAATTTAAAAATTACACAACGTAGACAACCATTCAAATGGTATGTTTTAAAGGTGTGGACTACCATAATGCAAATTTAATAGAATGAAAATATATTCCATTAATATGCAAAATAACATTTGCATACTTCAGGTTTCTCACTGGATAATGATATTGCATGAGAAACCAACGACCCATTGTGGAAGTGATACGCCAAGGGAGGGGTGATACTTATGTGTTTGGGGCAGGATATATTGGTTTTGTGTATTCCCCATCCTTGTTTATTCCAATCCCTTTGGGAGTAAATATATTCTCCATGTGCCTGCAAGGTTTACATATAACAATCATGCTCCTGCTACAGGTCTGAATTGATCAATTCTCAGCAGCACCTTCTATTGTGGTAACAGAAAATAGTGGAAGGGATACATCTATACAACAGCCTAACTGGGGAAGTAACTTCCATCCCAACCTGAACAACTGAACTTTAGACACACATCCAGCTTGTCGGGGAAAGGGCGGAGATGGTTAAAACTAGCAAGGCAGCTTACCCTATCCTGTGTAAGTATACATGCACATGTATTAACAGTCTGTGCAGCTCCATGTTTCAGGGGTAAAAAAGATACCATCTCCCTCTCACTTACCATCTGGCCCTATATCTCCTGATGTTCCTGGTTTGCCTCGTTGGCCCTTTTGCCCATCAAAGCCATTTGGCCCAGGAGGACCAGGGGGTCCTCTTAATCCCTTTGGTCCTAAGAACACAGAAAGAATACAGATTTTCCAGGATCTGCTTGTAACCTATCAAACCTCTCTGTGAACTAAAAGGAGATGTAAGTAAATAGTGGTGCATCTTCACCGTATGCTGCATTGTGTAGAATTTACAAGCAAGCCCTCCTTTTTATCTGCTCTGAAGATCAAGTGCTTTCATATCTTTCTGAACATTGTGGGAAGGGCCAGCCAAGTTGGCACAGGAAGGTATGACTGAGAGCTGACAGCTTGGACCCAAGGGCTGTGCACTAGTCTGTAAATCTCCAGAACGGGTTTATTCTGGGCCCCTATGATAGTAAAACAACCACAGCAGAATAAATTAGGGCTGTTGATTAATCACAGTTAACTCACGTGATTAAAAAAATTAATTGCGATTAAGCACAGTTTTAATCGCACTGTTAAACAACAGAATAACTATAGCAGGGGTTCTCAAACTTCGTTGCATCGCAACCGCCTTTCAACAATAAAAATTACTACATGACCCCAGGAGGGGGGACTGAAGCCTGAGCCAGCCTGAGCCCTGGGTGGGGGACAAAGCTGAAGCCCCAGATCTTCAGTCCCAAGCAGGGGCCTGTAATCTGAGTCCTGACTCACAGGGCTAAAGCCTTCAGGCTTCGGCCGTGGTGCTCGGACTTCAGCTTTGGCCCCAGGCCCCAGCAAATTTATGCCAGTCCTGGTGACTCCATTAACATGGAGTCATGACCCACTTTGGGGTCCCCACCCACAGTCTGAGAACCACTGAACTGGAGCATTCATCATGTGGCTTACTGTTTCTTAGTTGGCTACTTTTCAGTAGCAACTCACCATCATTTAAACACTAACAAATTCAATAAAAATCAGAACACCCTTCATTTTCCCCTCTGAATAAACACACCTTGAGCCCCTTGAAAACCTGGAGGGCCTGGACTTCCAGGATATGGTGGAACATAACAGTGGATGTCACCTGAAACAAGAGAAAAAAAAATATTATGCAAGTATTATACGCAAATAAAACAAGTTTGATTATCTACTGTAAGGTGTGTGAAAATATCAATATTGTCATTAACCAAATGTACAAACTGTAAGGATTATGGAATATTTATGCAAATAGTTATTTCCATATTCTTTAAGTTTAGGGGTATTTTAATTGTAATGTTCTTATTACACATTTGATACAAGGTTATATTAGTAATTTGATCAACTGTAATGTTGATGTGGGGAATATATTCTGCAGAGATTAAATAATATATTTGTATTTTCTGTGGTGTTGGCAGTAAAAATATTGTCTTTAAAATATTCTCTGAGAGGAGGTGGAGAGACTTTGAAGATGACATTCTAATCTCAAGTATGTAAATTTCTGCTATGCCTACAATTAAGGCAATTCCACAATATCCTCTAAATGCTACATTGCATCAAAGCATCTTGGTGCAAGCTGCCTTAATGTTGAAATGACAGGCTCTGCTGATCTGCTACCTGAGATGTCCAGGTTAAGATTAGTTCCTAATTCTCAGAACAAGTTTCGACCCCATGCATATCAGACAAGTAAAGTATTCCAGGACCAATAGTGTCCGCAGCATAGAGGAGGTAGTGATAATTTAAAAATTGATTAAAATTCTCCTTTTGCTGCTAAAATATCTTTACGTTCTGCAGAGAAAAAATTCAGGGTGATAGCTGGGCATACAGTATAGAACCAAAAAGGGCACTTCATAAATAGTCTTCACCCTGTCTGGGTTGTTATAGCAAATGGAGGGTGAGTGTGACAGCTGTTGCTTGTTCAAAATAGGATGTATGTATCATTGTGATAAGGTATTTGGAAAGAGGGGTCCAAGACTGTCCAAGAACTGGAAAATTCACCAGGGTTTGGTGCTTGTGTAAGTCAAACATGGGAAAAGGTTTGTCACACACAAGATGTTTGATAAAACACTAAAGGTGTTTAATTGAAAGTCAAGGCCTCTAACACAAGCTAAGTGATCTTTAGAAGTAACAGCGAAGGAAGTTTGGGAAGATCAGAGGAGAATTCAAAGGTTCATGAGGGAAGGAGTCCGCAAGATGGAAACCTGAAATTCAACCATAGTTTGTCTACCATAAAGAGTAGGAGAGTGTAATGACTTCAGTAGTAACATTTTAAATACATACTTGCTTTTTAAAAAAAGTCTACATTAACAGGATTTATAAAATATAGATAAAGACCAAATCTTTCTCACTTTATTCAAATGAGAATCCCTGTCAGTTAAGGAAGTAAACATTTATATTTGGATTTCTTAGAATCTAGAAAAAAATTAACCAGATTTAACCAAATAATTTTTAGATAGAATTAGCTTTGCACATGTAACAACTTGTAATAAACAAGATTTATTCACAAGATTAACAGGAATATACTGAAAGTAAAAGAATTGAGAATATAGAAGTTAGACATTTTGGAATCACATAGCAAACTTGAACTGCACAGTTTTATATTAAATATTATACTGTATATACTTAAAATGTAGCATATGGAAATCATATTTACAATGTCTTTACTAGCCTCAGTTTTCTACTTTGATTTATTATTTCTTTTTCATATGCTATTCCACCTTCTCTGTCTGACATCTTTCCATATGTTATTCTAACACTACTTCGTGAATCAGCAATGGCTCTATACTGTGTGAATACTGTGTCATTTTCCCTGTTCCTTCATCCATCCCTGCAAATCTTTACTCAAATGAATACTCCTTGTTCAAGAGAGTAGTCCCACCAGGATCACACAAGTAAGGGTTTGCAGGTTCAGGGCCTCAGTGAATCAACATTCACAGATATTTCACGTTTCTTGTGCCTCACCTGTGTCTGCTCCTGAATGCAGATTACTTGAATCCTACCAAGCACATATTCAATGAGAATGTTTTTAATGTTAAATTTCAAAATTACCTCTTTGACCCTTTAGACCAGGTGGTCCACTTATGCCAGTACTTCCTGGGTCTCCAGGATGACCCCTGATTCCCTGTGGGCCAGGAAATCCCAAACCTGATGGTCCCATAGGCCCTCTTGAACCAGGAAGTCCTGGTGCCCCAAGAAATCCTTTATCACCTGGCAGTGCTGATCCACCATCACCCTATTTAAAAAAAAAAATATATATATATATATATATATATAAGCTCCATAAGACTAGCCCCTTTGCTTTCTTTCATTAACTCCAGTATTAGAGCAATATTTGAAAAATCTTTGGTTACACAATGAAATTACTAAATGGATGATACATGTGATTTTTTTAAAATTAATCTTGCAGTAGGCTTACAAACTGCAATATAGGCTTAGTAACTTTACAGTACTCTCATGTAGTTGTCCCTGAAATAAAGAACAAATTTCTTCTCTGGGTGAAATCCAATCCCTCAGTGAATGGGCTTTGTGCTGGGAATTAGGTGGGTGTAGCTGTAGGGGCTAGAATCCTCCTCGGAACAGACCACAGGCCTGCTTACCGCAATGCATGCATGAGTACTAGAGATAGTTAATGGCTTGGAAAACCTTGCACAAGCCATTTACCAAGAAGTGAGTTTCACTTTTAGTTACATTGCAGTCAGTGGGGTTGACTAGGAGTAACAGAGTGGAATCTGGTCTATGATCATTTATAATCAATATAAACATAAACATTGATAAACATTTTAAAACTGAAGTCCTGATCAAAGCTAAATATTTCTATACATCTGATGTACAACTTAATGGAAAACCCTTAAAGCCTGCGCTCTGAACAAGGTTGTATTAATAGGAACATCTGGTAGATAGATACACTTGGAAGCTGTGCCTCAGTGGCACATCATGCAGATAAGAGTAAGATCCCTAAAATAAAGAGCAGTGTTTATATAAGGAAGTTAGATTTTTTTCATTGGTCAGCAGTTAGCTACAGGTTACTAGGAAAATATAAAACAGTTTAATCTGTAAATAATTTGGAAAATTTACTGACTTTTTTGTAAAATGAGAAATTAATTCAAAACAAAGAATGAAACAGTTGCTAACAAAGTTAAACATACTTGAATTCCTCTCTCTCCAGGCAATCCTGGATCTCCATCTCTGCCAGCAGTACCTTTTTGGCCTGTAAGTCCTGGAACCCCTAGAGGGCCTCTTTTTCCTTTTATTCCTTAAAACAATTAAAAAGAAGCTTAGAGTAATATATATAGCAGCTGTTTATTTCTTTCTCCTCAGTTGAATGATAGGTCATCATTATTGATATTTGGACAAAATGTCTGAGGCTCTACAAGAATTTTCTTCAGCTCATAAAGTGGGATTTCTTTAATGCAGGATTTAAGTTTCTTCCTCTGTTCATCTCTCCTAATTTGGAACAATTATTCTAGGATTGTGGTGGGTTGAAGTCTTTAAATCAAGACTGGATCTCTTTCTCAAACGTACATCCTCGTTAAAACAGAGTTACTGACTTGATGCAGAGATTACTGGGTGAAGTTCTTCGGCCTGTGATATGCAAGAGGTTAGATCACATGATCGTAATTACCGTGAGTTTGGGGTGGCCACATTATGCAACCCAAATGAGCGTCAGTAAAACCTGAATACTACATCACACCACCATGTGTCTTGTTTGTGCATATGTTTGGCTTCCAACAAATGCTTTAGAGAATTTTTTTTTTAATTGTTGGAACTGTGACTAAATGATCTAAAATAACTTTGTGTACATAAAAATGTCATGTCTTTAAAATCAGATATTGCAGTACATTGCAAGAGCTAGAAGCAATTTGGGAATCTCCCTTTTCCAGTGAGGTAAGATTCATGTTTTTAGTTATGCATAGTTACAAGATATTGAACCTTAAACCACGCAGTGGTATAAACTGCACCTCAAAGCAGTGTAGTTTCGAGGACATTTGGGCAGAAGGAAGAAATGTTTTTATGATAGTTTGTTTTGTTTTAAGTGATTGACATAACTGCTCAAAGATTTAGGATGTTAGCATAGTTGATATATCTTTGGGGACATGCATTTATGGGCAGAGTGCAGATGAAACAACTAAATGTAATTGTCACATGGCTTTGCAGTTTATCATATGGATATCATGAGGACATATGGGAGGTAGCGGGTCTCTCTCTCTCTTTTTACATATTGTATTAAGTGGGAACTTTGCTATCCACTTCAGTGGACCCAGGATTTCACTCATAGTGTTATGCAGGAGCATGGTAAATAATGTGGAGTAGTTTAATTGCAAGAGTTTTATATTTTCCCCTAAACGTTTAGGAAAATACACTATTTGCACAAATTAAACTTTGCAAAAAATATTAACTCCATTTCACACCACTGTCTCAGGAAATCTATGACAAATAAACCAGGAATAATTTGTGCTGCTCCAGTGTCTGTGCATGTCTGTGAGAGCACACAAACACTCTACAGCACATACACATGTGCACACACAGATAATGAATTATTTGTGAAGAATACTTTATTCATCATATTTCTTGTTCATAGAATAATTCATTCAGCATTTTTTTCAGAATTCAAGTTGTGTGACTGATCACCTATTGGTTTTGGTCCCTGAGTGATTAACTGTAACTCCAACAAATAGACGGATGATTTCAGAGTTGGAGGAGGGGCAGTACGTGTCTGCCGGCTATAGGGTCCCTGGGTCAGGCCTGGGAGTAGCAGGCAGGCCCGGATCCCACCCCCGGCCCCCCCTTGTCCCACTTGCTACTGAGGGGAGTGGCTGGTGAATGAACTGCAGTGAATGGACTGCCACTGAGGTGAGCGGTTAGAATCGGGACTGCAGTTTGCCACTGAGGCAAGTGGTTGGACTAAGGACTGTCAGTCTCCCAGAAAGGGAGAAAAGAACTGAGTGGGGCACAGCTGGAGGGCAGTGTCCAGAAGAGGACGACGCAGTCCGGTGAGCGACGCTGGTTCTGGAGGTGGAGACAGACGAGATGAAAGGCGAAACACTACCTAAGAAGGGTGTACTGGCAAACCCCAAGCTAATTCCCAGAACAGCCAGCAGAAGGCGCCGCAGAGGTGAGTCAACCTCCGTTACAGGTCCACTATGACCCCCAGATCCCTTTCCACAGTACTCCTTCCTAGGCAGTCATTTCCCATTTTTGCTCAATCTTAACTGTGTATGTCTCTGTAAATGCCCGAATAATAATATTCATGTGACATATTAGTCATTTGGTAGCAGCAATGGCAAGCTATTATGCAATCTGCATAGAATTTGGAGGGAGGAGTACAGGTTGCAGGAGGAAAGATTTTGTAGGAGGCACCAGGAAATCAATCTGTGTGAACTTGGCTTCAATGCTAGCACCTCTGTGCTGCTTTAATAAAGAGTCTGTAGTTTTACAAGCATGGAGTCCTCTCCCATTATTATCCAGCATGCAGTACATGAAATACAACGGATGATAATAAATACAGGTTTACCTTTGATTTTCACTATGGCCAGGTCACCCTTTTCTCCTTTTTCACCAGCTATTCCAGAAGAACCAGGCTTGCCCTTGTGATTTAAAAAACGTATGACTTTTTAGCCATTTAAGCTCAAGTAATGAATCACAATAAATAGCATATCTCTGATGTTCTAAAATTATTTCCAAATATACAGCAATCAAAGCAACATACTGAGAGAAAAAACCACTGTACCTCATGGGATCCCTTTAAAGAAGGAGGTGTAGAAATGGCGCCTGATTCTTCATTATTTTTGTATCATTTTTATTAACTCCACTGATGTCCAGGGAGATATAGCTATGTAAAATAAATGTAATGGAGCAAGGAATCAGGCCTCCTGGTCTCTATTCAGCCAGGGCATGTAAGACTTTAAGAGTCGTAAGACTAGAGCAAGTTGTAGTGTTCAGATGCTCTTCCCATTACAGCACCTGGCCCAGCACCCACTGATGCCAACAGGATCTCAATGGCTGTTGGATCAGTCCCATGCTATGTGAGAGCACATGGGTGGGTAAATATAAACTTTTGTGCCAGCTGAAGTTGATTTGCTGTGTTGTGAACAACGTTTGAATGGATGTAGTTAAGTTAAAATCTCATTTGTCTGAAAATGTTGTACCTACTAAATTATTCATAGAATCATAGAATATCAGGGTTGGAAGGGACCTCAGGAGGTCATCTAGTCCAACCCCCTACTCAAAGCAGGACCCCTTATTACTTTGTTATAAGTAAAATGTAAGACTTCAATACCTGAAATGGATTAGAGGAAACAAAGTATTTTCTGCAGCAGGGTAGGAAATGATGTTCCCATGCTGGGAAACATTCTGAGAATTCAAATAATGTTCCAAACCCAAATTGGAACAAAAAGTTGAAAACTTACGTTTTCACAAGCCAACAATCTGAAAACAAATTGTCAATTTGGGGTTAATTCAAACATTTTGTTTTGATCATTTTGAAATGTTTTGTTTGGATTTTGACCTTATTTATTTTTATTATAATTAGCTTAAATTTCAGAGCAAAAAGTTATTTAAAATAAAATATTTCAAGAAAAAAAATAAATTTTGTCCTAAAAGAAATCGGTTATACTGAAATGTCTCTTTGGTGCACATTTCTCGAATGTGCATACCTACAGCTCCTCAGATAGTAGACAAATGCAGATGAACAACTGCTCATATTGCCAACCCAAAACATTAAAAAATCATCAGATTGGCTTAAACATAATGAGGTTTTTAAAAATAATAAATTTATGGGTGTGTTTCTTTGCCTTCCTGATTCTGAGCTACTCAGGTCATGGCTTCAAAACTTTTCTTTGCAACCATAATAAGGGCTAAAAATGTACTTTTAAAAAAATGATGATTCTTGCATCATCAGTTGACTCCAGGAGCTGGATTTTAAGGGGGAGGGAAAAAATATTGTGAGACTAGTAATAAAATTGAGGGAAAAAAAAGGAGTACTTGTGGCACCTTAGAGACTAACAAATTTATTAGAGCATAAGCTTTCGTGAGCTACAGCTCACTTCATCTTATGCTCTAATAAATGTGTTACTCTCTAAGGTGCCACAAATACTCCTTTTCTTTTTGCAGATACAGACTAACACAGCTGCTACTCTGAAACCAATAAAATTGAGGGAGTTGACAATACTGAGTTCTGCAGGCATTTCTTTAAATTCCACATCTGAATCACAGTGGGGTTTTCTGAGGCCCTGTCTACATGTACAGTGCTGCAGTGGTGCCTGGGCAGCCATCTGGCGAAAACACTCTGTGCTGACATAAGAGCTCTCCTGTCGGCATAAAAAAACCAGCCCTGGGAGTGGCATAAGCTATGTCGGTGGGAAAAGCTCTCCGCCGACATAGCGCTGTGCACACTAATGCTTATGTTGGTGTAACTTGTGTCACTCAAGGGGGTGGAATATTCATTCCCCTGTGCTACGTAAGTTTTGCCAACATACATGGTAGTATAGACATAGCCTGAGAAAAAATAGTTTGGAAACCCCATATGTCATTTCTCTACTGTTTTATGATATCCAAATATGTACAGCAAAGTGATATATCTTATGATGTGTGAGCCACAGTAAGACCACACATATATACATATTTTTGTTTATACTTATTCATGGTAACTGTATCACATAAAAAAATACAGAAATTCAGATCTGGCAGCACTTCAATATATATACTCCCATGGATACAGTGTCTACATGTTGGACCAAAATTTGTCTACAGTGGGACAAAAATCAGAATGTGTAATAGATCATCTTCTTGAAACGTGCACAGAAGGCAGTTAGTTAAGTCTGCTTTTGTGCTGTTGGCAGCTAAGGGGTGTAAATTACACTCCCTGAAGTATATTAAAGTAAATAAGTCTCTGTCTAGAATTAATAGATATACTGTGGGTTAGGTAACAAATGTCCTCATATAAATTATCAACCCAGTGAATATCTAGGTCTTCAGCTGTGACTTCCTTTCATTTGTTAGTCCTGCTGGCAGCCATTCCCAATAAAACAGCACACAAACAAGAGAGAGGTGGACGCACACATTTGAGGTGTTTTGTAATGATGACTTAATTCACCTTGCTATTTTCTTTATAAAAGTGGTTTATGATAAATTACATCCCAGATTTGATATTAGAACAAAGCTATACTAGAAAATATAAACTGTTGAGTGCAGATGTCAAATGATTCTAGTACTGAATTTTTTTTATGACCAGTAACGCATTCATATTCTATTTTGTAAGAATTATTTTCTTTAGGTGAAATTGTTATATTGCAGTGATGCCACATAAGCAAGTGAAAATACTTTAATTTGTTGGATCTAGTCATTTTCAGGAACTTGTTCCATATGGATACCTCTTGGCTTGATTGGATACCATTTTATCATACAGTGTCTGTAGGGAACATTAGGTTCTATATTAAATTCAGTTTGGCTCATTAAACAAATGAGCTCAGTGAATGCTGTATTAAGCACCTCAAAATAATTTTTTAGAAAACAAGAAATGGAATACTTTTAAATGACAATGAAATCAGAGTAAAAATTACCAACTTCATGATAGTTCTACCTACCAATCAACAGTAAGAGTTCCAAAAATAAATTCTTATTATGTTTTATTAAGAAAAGCATTAGTTTGTATTAAAAGTATGTGTCATGCAGAAGGAGTTTTTGGGAGGTTTTTTTTTATTATTATGGCCTGCTGATCTTGAATATAACTATAAAAAATCTGTGGCTGTGTAAAGATTTAAGTTTGCTTCCCCCCCCGACATCATGTGACTCCCATTTGATATTTCTTGCCTTTTAAACATTTTGTAAGGAGTCTTTTCCCATAATCTAATTAAGTAAATCCCAACAATCTTCAAGGGCAAAAAGTGTACGCGTCTAAAATATTTCCAAGAAAAATGGTGGTTTCTCTAAACCGGAAGCACAAGAGAGAGTAAGGCAACCCAAATATAACCCATTCAAAACCTTCCCGATCTATTAATATAAAACCCACCTTGTCTCTTCTAGCCCAGCCCTCCACAGGACAGGATTTCTGTACAGACCAACAAAAAAATACCAACTCCCCAAAGGAAACTGAGAAATAAAATTTTTTAAAAACCCACACCTACAACGGGGACTGTCTTTACAACAAGAGGGAAAAATGTAGCCTTCTAAGAGCCTTAGTCATAATGGTGAGAAAAACAGAGAAAGAGGTGCCCAATCAATACTGAGCGCAATTCAAGAGTACAAGCACCTAGTGTCTTCTGCCTTTCCCTCGTCCAAATGGACACTTCCCTTCCTAGAGAGGTGAGTTTTTGTTGACTTTATTTTTAATTGAAACTTGTAAGAATTACTCACTGGGAGTCCTGTTGATCCTATTGTGCCAGAGAAACCTGGATCACCCTTTTCTCCATAGCTTCCAGGAAATCCCATCTGTCCTTTCCTTCCTTGACGACCAGGTGGCCCTTGTGTACCAGGTGGGCCAGCAGAACCAAGGTCACATGAACAGTGGCCATGATTCCCTACACAAATGTAGGAAAACAACTTTGAACTGGTTGTGATATGCAACAGAAATATTCATTCATTCTTTTTTCTGTATGTAGGTGGGGAAGTAAGTGGCTAGATGCCTGTTATATTCCACCACAGCTCCAGAAAACAAAAGTCATGTGATTCCCTATACAAGATGTGGAATCTTTACGCACTCTGGAACAAATTCTCTACTGGAGTAATTCCACTGACTTCAATGGCATTACGCTGGCTGAAAATCTGGACTGTATTTTCATGACTTGGCCTGATCCTCCAAGCTCTCCATTTAGAGAGCTGCCCTCGACTTCTGCTTGCAGGTTCAGGCCTTTAATGGTGCAACAAATGGATGGAGCTCAGCTAAGGTCTCCTCTGCATTAAAATCAGTTACTGATGCATACTTGCCTTTTTCGCCTTTTTCACCTCTTCTTCCCAGGGGTCCCATTTGGCCTTTTATTCCTTGATGTCCACGGAGACCTCTGCCATGACAAACTATACCTTAAGAAGAAAAAGGGCACTTATTTGAACTGAACATTTTTACAGCTTAGGTGACATATTCTCTCCCTTCCACCCTCTATCTCATCCATTGGGATCCTCAATAAATAGCTAGGGATCTTATGAAATGGTTTACAAGCCACGTGTATGGCACTGTTCTTGGAGTAAGACTAGAGTATGGAAAAGATCAAAATAAGATTATAGGCAATACTCTCTGATACTGCTTTTTTCTGTATTAGAATATTGGGGTTCATATCTCTTTTAATGGGTGTTGATTTGGGGCATTTTCCTCTGTTTTGGTCATGACTTCTGGATTTAGCTTGAGATTTTCAAAGCAATCTAGGCAATTTAGACACACATATTCCATGCATTTTAATTGATGTGGTTCTCTGTTAGTTAAGGCTTAACTTGAGAGTAAGGTACTGATTCTAATCACAATTATATTGATGTAAATCAGGAGTACCTCCACTGGAAAAAAAATAAGTTAAACTTGAATACTTAACCTACAAATAATTAAATGTACTATATAGTGCATTTCAATAACTATTAAAATATCAGAGCCAGGTTTTCAGCTGAGGATCTGGCCTGAAGAAAAAATACTTTTCAAACCGATCAATGAACACAGATTGTGTGTCTGTTCACTATTGCCATGCACCTTGTGCGGTCATTTTGCCCCAGTGCAAGACATCACAGCTCAGACTTGGTGACTTTTTACACCCTCTTTGTATTGATTTAAGGGCTGCACAAGGTGCAGGGGCAATACAAAATCAGGCACAGAATATTTTTTTTTAAAAACAAGGACACCTACAACTGTCCTTTCTCCACGGGCATCTCCCATCAACCCTACTGTTCTCTGTCCTCCAGCACAGCCATCAGAACTAGGCCATCAGCTATTTACAATGACTACATTGGCTTCTTTCTAAATCTTGATACCTCAACGATTGCTGGTGAACATTTAGATTTAGTTTAGGGTATAGAGACATGGGAGAAATTGGTTCTATGCTAACGATTCCTATGAAAGAATTAATAGTAAAAAAACATTTTCCCTGCATATCTCATAAGAATGATAACAGCTGGAGTCCTTATCTGTAAAATTAATTAATCCAGTTGAGTGGGAAAGACCTCCCACCCAAAAGCTACACACACAAAAAGAATGGGACCCTATCCTCCGAAACAGAATCAACAATATTCTAAAGAGAGTAACAGAAATAAAGTATTGTATTTACTGTATACCCGATGCAACACCATAGAGCAGGCCTATGGGAAAATACCATTTCTATTAGCATGTTCTCACTGACTCCATAAATCTATTATTTATAATATTTTTCACACAAGACACTTATATTGTTTATCTTACCAGGTGGTCCAGGCAAACCCTGTCTTCCTGGTGCTCCTGGTAATCCTGGTGCTCCTGGAGACCCTGGTCTTCCTGGAGTTGATTCAGCAGTTCCAGGGAGACCAGGATCCCCGTGCGAACCTTTAGGACCTTGTTGCCCACATGCTCCTGGCAGACCAGGGAGGCCTATCGGGAAAATAGGTAAGTATAAATTATACAGAGTAATTATGAATATTTAAGAGATATGAAGAAATTATGGGCCATACAGTATCTTCCTATGAAAAGCCTCCCTGGTGTCGTGCCAGGGGTGGGGGGCTAGAAAAGCCAAGGTCTCTGAAGTTTATCTTGTGGAATCTGTAACTGGTATTTCCCTCTGGGGAATGGGTTTTGAGGCTGCTGAGGAGGCAGGGGCATGGCCTTCTAATCCTTTGGTTCCTCAGGATCCATGAGGAAAGGAAGCTCCAGCCTTGTGGAGAAACTGTTCCCCCTCCTCCAATGCCCTTTCTGATGCTCTTGCTCCCATGTGCTTGCCACCCTCACATGAAGGGACAGCAAGGAGCAGGTTTATTTTAGCAGAGTTAACGCCCAGTGGTTTGGAAGGTTATATTTGCACTAGTTCCAATGGAGAGGAACTAGTGCAAATGCCATGTCTTCCCCAACGCAGACATGCCAGCCCATTCCAGAGCCATAGAGACCTAACAATGTGATGTTGGCTCTAAAGAGCTGTTACAGGCTCCTGGGGAGAGGAGGAACTCATTAATCCTGCTTCCCTCTCCTCTCCTCTTCGTTAAGGTCTTTTCTGACTCATTTTCTGACAGAGGAGAATGTAAGTCCTGTCCATTATATATAAGAGAGTGTGTGTATGTATGGGACACACACAGGTAAGCAATAACAATTAAAAAGAAGTTGAAAGTGTGCTTCAGTGAGGTTCTGCTGATACAAAAATCTGTTATCCTTTCTTTACAAAAAGTCATCTTCACCTTTTAAAACACTCCAACATTAGACAGCCTGAAATGAACACTTAAAGGATCCAGCTAATCCTCCACTGCCGGGAAATCCTTCTTCACTCAACATCACCTTCCCTGATTTACATGGCCTCCCCACATTGAATGTTGCAAAGGTTAAAACAACACATGACTTCCCTGGGTCTGTGCTCAATTTCTGTTGGCAGGTGGATTAAGGACAGTATATAGAGCTCTCAGTTCATGGTTTATAAGTCTATGATCTCTTACTTGTTCCATCTTCACCAGGTCTTCCTGATGGGCCTGGAGGACCAGTTAGTCCAATCAACCCATCATCTCCAGAAGGACCTGGTAATCCAGGATCCCCTCGAGAACCTATATGGGATTACAGTAAATGTCAATTTAAAACCTTGTACAATTGACAGCTTTTAGTCCTGGTTTAAAATGCAGTTGAAATGATGATTTGGGAACCATTCATAATTAAAATACATCACCTTTTCTTTATTACATTGGTTTCAATGTGAATTAATTTAATTATAAAGGAGGGGAATTTAGTTGCTTTTATCACTGGAGCCCTTCCCTTTTATTACATACATTATTTTAAATCTTATTCCATTCACCATTTGTGTATTAAATCTTGTGCCACCGCCCATGCTTCTGTTTAAAAAATAATACTTCTCTTCTTGGAGCATTGGCCTAGGATTATATTGACAATTCGCTTTTATTTAGAAAATGGCTTTCTTATCATATGCAGTCATGGCCCCAGCCATCCCAAGTCCCAGCCGCCCTAGCCCCAGCCCCAGCCCCAGCATGCTGCTTCCCTGAAGAGGAGCAGCCTGCCTGGGCTGGGGCCAAGGGGAAAGGGCAAGCAGGGCTTCGGGGAGGAGCGTGGTTGGGGCCACGTCAGGCTGTTTGGGTAGGCATAGCCTTCCCCAGCCTATGCACCGCACCACTCATGACCAGAGGTATTATATATTATTATAGCTATATATCAATAAAACAACATTTATATTTGATCATACACAGTTGAAGAAAATGGAGTTAAGCTGGAATAGCAAAACACTAGTATAAATTCTGCTCTCGGTTAACATCCAAACAGCCTCACTCAAAGCAATTAAGGGCATGCTTAACCTTAAATCCCATTTAAGCACATGGTTATGTACTTTGTGGCTTGATCTCAAAGGCCATTGAAATCAACAGAAAGACACCTATTTACTTTAACTGTCTTTGGATCAGGCTCTTTCAGAATAGAGATGTTCTGTTGAATTGGGGCATGAGTGGGGATGCTAATGCATCAATGGGAGCAGAATTTGTCCCACTGTGTATCTGGGTTTGTCTACACTGAAAAAATACAAAAAGCCACACAACAATGGCCATGGCAGCGAATCTCAGAGCCCAGATATGCAGACTCTGTTTCACTACAGCATGAAAAATAGCAGTGTAGACGTTCCTGTTCCAGCTGGAGCTTGGGCTCTGAAATCCAGCCCCCTCCCCAGGCTTCAGAGCCCAAACTCCAGCCTAAGTGGAGAACAGCTACACTGCTATTTTCAGCAGTGTAATGCAAGCCCTGGGAGCCCAAGTCTACAGACCCAGGCTCTGAGACTTGCTGCTGCAGGTCTTTTTTTTGCAGTGTAGATGTAATGTATGGGGAAGTTAATTCTAAAATGCTTCTCTGTAAGTTTCTATTGCAATAATGTTGCAAATAAGAGATCATTTTAACTGATAGTGATAATACTGTATTAAGCATATTATTCTGTTGCTAGGTCGCCAGCACATAAAACCACATTGAAATACAATATATACATTTTGGAGTTTATATTAATCTGATATAACTTTTAAAACTGGTGGAACCCAGGGGTGAAATTCTGGCCCTATCAAAGTCAATGGGAGTTTTACCATCAACATCATTAGGGCCAGGATTTTCAACCAAGGTGTGCAACCCCAGACTTCAGTTGAAGCCATGAGTCCACATGTTGTGGCAATCTGGATATAAGAATTCTGAAATGCAATCATATGTGCGCTCTGCTCATCTGCATGCCAGTCCCCAGAATGGCCCTCCTCTTCCCAGCTATTTTAAAATATTCTTAGATCTAAGAACCAGGAATAAATTGACAGATCTGGGTTTGTTTATATGTGCTCTCAGGTCTTGCTAACATGTATTACATCTGAAGTACATGCTTTGGGCCAAACACTGTTCTCATACATCCTATGCAATTCCACTGACATCAACAAGGTGCAGGCAATGACAGAATCTGGCCAGTAGGGATCCAGTGTTCTGAGGTGCTTAGTATGCTCCCATCAATTACTCTCAGCACCTCAGAGCACAGGGCCCTGTATGCATTACACAGTATAAAGAGTAGTTAAAACCAAGTGAAACCTTTCATAGCAACAGGTGGTGTTCCAAAAACTCCAGGCAGGCCTGGTTGCCCTCGTTCTCCACGATCCCCCTGAAAGAATTCATTAAGTTTATTGATAGATAGTAGTGCGCCACCATGTAATTAAAGATAGTATCATAAGGCATACACAAAAGGGGGCATGGCAAACTTAATTCTGGCATGTCTTAATTTTTGAGTGCTTGCCTCTGAAACACTAACATTTTTTATTTAGTTTTTCTTTTTTTTTTTTTAATACAATACTATAAAAACGACTCAATATCTTTGAAGAAATCAGTGGCGAAGTGGGATAAACTGCTCAAATGTGCTTGTCTGCTTGAATTTTCAGAACTCTGACTGTCATATCTGGTTACATTAGTATATTGTGTTAAACACAAGTGATATTGAGTCAATTACAGGAAATTCGGTAGCACAAGGCTTATTATAAATATATTTAATTAAAATTATTTTGATTTAGCCATTAAAATGTAGTGATTTGATTTAAAATTTTATACAAAAATTGGGAAATGATTTTTCATAATGATAGATAAGCACTAAGATGGAAAGAGATTTTCCATAGATTGTCAATGACATACATGTTAAGAGAGACCCAAAGTTCTTACAGATAATTTAGCCAGCTGCTTCAGAGAAATATACAAATACAATATGCATAATTGCAATGAAAATCTTTTCAGGACCTGTTTTGAGAATTTCTAAATTAGCTTGTACTATTATCTACTTTGAATTGGGAAGAAGTGAATTTCGGATGTTAAAGGACTCTCTGATATGACAGATTAAATCAACGAAGCGATGATGGAGGAATTTTGCAACTGCCTCTTTCTTGTAGATTAGGCATCAACCCAGCACTCAGAGGCAAACAGGAATTGGGTGCCTAAGAATGTACAATCTCTTTCTGTGAAATCTGGGAATTGCCTGGTGAGGTAGCATTCATGGGACTGCACATCAGGACTACGGGCCTCTTTAGGACTGAGGCTTGGAGTACTGGGACTATAAAACTGGCTGCTCAAGTTTTTATCCTGTTGCCATCTCTATAGTATCTGAGCCTCTGACCATATGGGAGCTATTGTTGACTGCTCCCCTTTTCAACAGCTGCAGGAACTTTTTCTGTTCAACTTATTTTATTGACTGTAATAATAATTGTGGCCCTTCTAGCTATTTTAAAAAGCAACCAAAGTTTGTCGTCTTTGATAATAAAGCAAAGAGGTTTTCATCATGCAAAAAAAACAAAAACAAAACAAATAGGTTTATTTCTTCACTTTCAAACTTGAAAAATATTTTAAGATCTGCTAACATATAGTTAAGGTTTATTTGCTGACTGTGAATATTTGTTGTTATGTAGTATTTGTACAGTGCCCAAGAGTAGCTAGATCTCTACAGAACACATAAAAAAAGACGTGGCCCCAGCCCTGATACTCTTACAAGCTAGTTTTAAAATGACAAAATTGATAGAGAGAGGAAGGGTGAGGATTACAGCAACAAGATCATGTAGTTACTTAGACTCCAAAGTCTATGCAGCATGGACTAACATTTTGTTCTCTGTTTGTAATGTGTCTCGTGCAATGGAGTCCTGGTCCATGACTGCGGCTTCTAGGTGCTACAATAATACAAATAAATAGTAATACTGATATTAAATTACTCAGGTTAGATATATGTACACCATGATCATTCAATCAAAAGTTGTTTGTTAATCCTTACTGCTGCCTCATTTGTTGTAGAGAACATGGAAAAAGTGAGTTTTAGAGTAATTTGAATGTGGAGACAGGGCTGTGGCTTGACAAGCTAGTACACCTGAAAATGGTCTTTGCTAACCAAAACATAAAGGGCTTCTGCACTTTTACCTTTAGACCAGCATAACCAGCCTGACCAGGAACACCAGGAACTCCACTTGCCCCCTGGAACCAATAATAGAAATGTCTCTGTGTATTAATTCAATAGGACTACATGTCATATAGTTAAATGTTTATTAGAAATTAGTTAACATGTCATACCATACAATACTGTCATCTGTTAATAATTATGCATTGTTTCACAGCACTGTATAGCATTTGGTTTTGTAGATGATACATTTTTAAGGGATCTCTCATGTTAAAAGAAAAGATCTTTTAACTGTAACCCAGTTATTTGGACAGCGCCTGGGGACCCCTGGTGGCAGGACAAGAGCACAAGCTCGTCAACAGTGCATGTTCTTGCCATGAGCAGGGTGCCACAGTGCCCCCTTTCTTGTTCAGGTCTATTAATATACCTACCCGATAGACTACAATGACTCTATGGGTAGATAGTGGATTTAATTCATTAGCCATGTATAAAGGAAAGTAATGTAGGCAAAACAGATACTTGGATGTACAATTCAGGAGTCAGTAATTTGCACAGTAGTTACAATTCATGACTAGTATAACTGTGGTCTTAACTAGATTTGAAGAGTACAGGCAGGAAAAGGAGAAAGATTTATGCAAATATAGCTGTGTCCACTCTGTTTTAAATCTGGTATGGTGCATAGATTCAGAACCCAGATTTACAGCAGACTATATTGAACTGCTGTCTCATCAACCAGAAGACCATATAATGTAAAAAGAAAAATGTACCTAAAAGTGAATGGCAACATGCATGAGCTGCCATGCCTGTGTCGTTTGTATTTTTATATCACCTTACCTTTATTCCTGGAAAACCTAGAGATCCACAAGAACCAGGGCTACCCTAATTAAAAGCAAGTAGAATGAAAAGCAAAACAACAGAAGCCAGTCTTACATTATTGCTTATATCTATTTCCAAATTATTTAATTTAAATATTCTTTCTTGCACAAGTTTGTGTGAAAGAACTATGTATTTGCTATAATGTTCCCCAGTATCTAGTTCCTGCAACATCTTTTCAAACATTTTTACTAAGATGAATATGACCTTGAACAATGGATCAAAGTCAAATTAGATTGGCCCCAATTCTAATTTCTACTAAACTGTATCATGAAGAGCCTTGGAAAAGTCTGATGTGAGAAATACTATACATATTAAGGGTTCAGTCCTGAAAAAACTTCTGGGGAAGTGCTTTCTACTCTGAGGCAGTCCCATAGAATTCATCCAGGCTGCTCAGAGTAGCCCACGCTTTGTCCAGTAGTAATTATTTACAAGATCAGATTCCAAATTTTTTGTCTTTGCAAGGACATAAAATTCTATTTGAATTTATGTTTGAGTCTGGAACACATGAATAATACCTTGTTTTAGGAACCAAAGTACTCTATGTACAAAGCAACCAAGATTAATTTAAAGCATCTTAAAATCCTGTTCTGAATTATAAAAAGAATTATCCTAACATATTTAAACTAACTCCCTAGTATTTTATACACTAATTTTGGTGAGTACTTGAAATGGTTTATTCTGAAGTTTCCTTACCTGCATTCCAGGGTCTCCAGGAATACCTTTTTCACCCTTCTCTCCATTTCCAGGTGCACCCTATTATCATTGAAAACACTCTGTTTAAACAGATTACCCAGAGATGACAGTCCTAGAGAGTTTGCAATGCGCGCATGGGCAGAAAAAGTAAAAACATAATTAGCAGTGTTATGGTTAGGGCCAGATATCTTAGATTGACTTTACATTCTATCCACCCCAGTGTCCACTGGCTTTAGTTACCCAGGAGTAGACACACCTGCTCTTCTCCTAACTAAGAATAACCTTTGGGATTTTAAGGTCCCAGCACATTTACTGGTTACAAATAATCAGGAACAAGATTTATTTATAAAATTATTTGCAAGGAGGGACAACACCCAAGAAACAAGTTTTTAAAAATAAGACAAAGAGAAAATGCAGTTCTTACCCCACACCCCGAAGCCCCAGTTTTGCCTCCCAAACCTACACAGAGTAGTTCCTCTGACTTGCATTTCTATGTGGCAGGAAATGGCCGAAAGAAAAGGTGCTGTCTGGACTCAAAATACTCTGGGATTCATACTCTGGGTCATAATTTACGTCTCAGCAGATATTAACGGTGTGCGCTCTTCTCTCCCTTTCCTGCCTCCAAAAAAGATCCTGGTCCTAACAATTGTCTCTGCTTCCATGAGGCCCTGTGGATTTCCCTTCAGAAAACATGTTAATGCTGTCAAGCCTGCTCTCTGGCTGTTACTGCACAGCAGCATGGAACTCTTCCTGAGGCAGAACAAATGCTGAAGGAACTATGCTGAGGGGGGGGACTAGCAACTTTGCAGTGAGCTGTCCTGAGGACAGTCAGGATCTGTGGAGTTGGGAGGCTTCCTTTCCTATGCAATTCACACCTCTAAAATCCCACATCATCTGCAAGGATGAACCTGGAGTTTGCTGTTCCTTCTGCTTCCCTGCTTTCTAATTGAAAAAAAGACTGATGCCTGCATGAGGCCACATTTGATAGTCAGCTGTAAAAGAGATTGTTGGTGGACAGATTTTTCCAGAAGAGTTTGCAACGTTTATGCTTTCACATCAGTTTGTGTGATGATTAAATTCCACAGTATAATGCCATGTTATTTCCTAAGTCATTCACTCACTGAAAAGGTGTTTTTAGTAACATAAAAGGAAACTCTGCCAGCATCATTTAGGAAATCAGAGAAATGATCAAAACACAGAAATTTAGGGCTGAAAGGAACCTTGAGAGGTCATTTAGTCCATCCCCCTACCCTGAGGCAGGTCCAAGTAAACCTAGACCATCCCTGACAGGCGTTTGTCTAATCTGTTCTTTAAAACCTCCAATGACGGGGATTCTGCATCCTCCCTTGGTAATCTATTACAGTACTTAAATATCCTTATTGCTAGAAGGAAACGGAACAATGCATAACAAAATACGTTACTTACTTTGGGCCCATGTGATCCTTTGGGTCCTACCAACCCAGGCATTCCTTTTACACCCTAAATATAAATATGTAGAATTTTTTCATCTTAGCATGCAAAATATATTTAAGTCTTGTATAACTCTGAAGTTTTGTTCTGCCCTGAAAAGTGTCAGTAAATATGGCACCTTGTTACTCATTCAGACTGTAACCTGTGCATGTGTAGAGTCCAAAAAGCTTGTCATTAGAAAGCAAATTTTTGTCCTGAGTCAGTTGCACAGCTGTAACTGAGGACAAAACTACTGTGGGTGATGCGCAGCAGGAAAGATCCCAGCTTGACTCTGATTTCCCAGATTGAGTCTGCAGACCTGGAATGGACCCTTACAATATATGTTAATGGTCCCTTACAATGTGTGCTGCAGACTTGATTGGTCCCTTACAATATGTGCTAACTACTTATTCTAAGTATCAGGAGGTAGCCCTGTTTGTACTCCTTGTTGTTTTTGTGGATAACGACTATCTCTTCCACCTGCACTTCACTGTGAGGCTAGGAGTTCCTTTCCCAAACCTGAAGAAGAGCTGTGTGTAGCTTGAAAGTTTGTCTCTCTCACCAACAGAGGTTGGTCCAATAAAAAATATTACCTCACCCACTTTGTCTCTGCTGAGCTGGCCGTTAGCAAAAATTATCTTTTCATTTGTATATAATGTTAATTAGATCTGAAAATCACTGAGATTCCAATATAGGACTCCACAATACAATTTTTACAATTGTTTTTTAGACCAGAGGTGCATTTTAAATGTTTAGGATCTACAGCAAAGGACAGTCCATGACTCTGTAGAGTATATTGCTAGGATTATTCTCAGAGGGGTAGCCATGTTAGTCTAGATCTGTAAAAGCAGCAAAGAGTCCTGTGGCACCTTATAGACTAACAGACGTATTGGAGCATAAGCTTTCGTGGGTGAATACCCACTTAGTCATATGCATGTCATCCGACGAAGTGGGTATTCACCCACGAAAGCTTATGCTCCAATGTCTGTTAGTCTATAAGGTGCCACAGGACTCTTTGCCGCTAGGATTATTCTACCCATTTTGACTACCTGGAGTGCTACAACTCTAGCCAAAGCACACCTGTCATAGAGGAATTACTCTAAATACCATGATTTCATTTTCAAAATAGACACTGGGACCACACTTATTTTTCATAAGTAATACATCAAGGTTGGCCGCCTGACAGTTTGACCTGTCTTCAGTAGAGCCTGAAACTTGCTGAAAAAATCTAATTCATCTTTCCATTAAGATAAACTAAATACAAATGTCTAAGGAAATGAATGAAACTGTGAGATGGATAGGGAAAGAAATTCAGTGCCAGAGATAATAAGGTTATGTCTACACTGGCAATTGAACGACAAAACTTTTATCTTTCAGAGGTGTTAAAAACCCCTCCCCGCCGAAAGACAAAAGTTTTGCCGCGACAAGCGCCAGTGTGAACAGCGCATTGTCGGCAGGTGTGCTCTCCTGCCAACAAAGCTGCTGCTACTCGTTGGGGTAGAAGTTTTTTGTCAGCAGGAGAGCTGACAAACAGCGGCTACACTGCACGACTTTTAGCGGCACGGCTGTGGCAACACAGCCACGTCACTAAAACCTGTATAGTGCAGACATAACCTCAGTCTTGACAGACTCTTAGTGAGTTTTTGCTAATGTGTGTAAATTCAGCCCGGCACTCAGGCAGTTTGTCAATGGTGCAGAGTGGGGAAAAAGGACAAAGGCGAATGGTATTTCCTTTTACCCTCCTGCTCTGGCACAGAGGCACCTCATGGAGGGAATAGGTGGGCTGCAGCAGTAACATGATGGCTGGCCTGGCCTCTGTCTGCCAGTACAATACTGGATAACAGCATTTCTATTGATGATGGTGGTATATTACTCAATAAAATAAATGTCCTTTATATATAATCTGTGCAAAAATGCATCATGGGATAGCACTTATAGTAAACTGAGTACAGTAATGTTTAAAAATAGACTTTAATTTGCAAACCTTTTCTCCTTTAACCAGGAAAAAATCAGGCGGCCCAACCAACAATGGCTGTCCTGGAGATCCAGGAGGTCCAACATCACCCTGTGAAAGCCAGAGAAGCAATAAAAATGAACATCTGGTTCAACACACTGGCTCTGCAAGGCTCCAGAACATTGAAATCTCCTACTTACAACACTAACATCTCTACTGTCATTGAACAGCTTCTGCTGATCTGTGGGTACAAAGAGCTCTGCAGAGGCCTGTCAACCATCCGGCACTCTTTCAATCAAAGGAAGGTAATGCTCCCTATATCCGTTACAGGAGTATAGATGATACTGTACTATACTATGGTACTTGGAGTGCCAATGAAGTCAGTGGGACTTCAAGCAGGTGTCACAGTCTGCCTACATGGATCTCTGAGCAGGATCAGGGCAGGGCTAGAGGGATTGTTTCATAAGTAAAACTATATGAACATCTGTAACTAACCATAGTAACTGTATACTAAGTAAAGCTATAAGGACTATGTATTTTCCTAGGCATATATACATTTAATTCTACATCCAGGCCACCTTTAATACCACTAACTGTTTGCTTACCAGCTCCCCCTTTTGTCCATCCACTCCAGTACCTGGATTGCCCTAATGAAAAAGATCAAAACTAGTGATGGTGAGTAAAAATAATCACAAAAATGCTTGCAAAATAATTTAACAATTAAAGTTTTTGAAACTTTGCTAACAGAAATAGTCAAATGCTTTAAATATCAGCATAAATATATATTTCACTGAAACTGTACCAACCCCATGGAAAGCAGACACTAACCTGTTCACCTTGCAAACCAGGAAGGCCCGGAGCTCCCTTTAAAAAAGAGAGTCAAATAACTTAATATTCTGACTTGAAAGCAAAACTTTTCACTGAGCATGATCCAGAGCTGCAACTCTTTATTGGGAGCACCTGGAGGCAAAATTTCTCTCAGAGCTCACCTGAGGTGCACAGGCTGTTTGCCTATTGCCTCACCTCCCCATGGAATTGTGCAATCCCTCCCTGGCTCCACTTGTCTACCCTTAGTGGAGTGGAGCTCTGGCTCCATATCTTCCCTGTCTCCTTCAGGGCTTTGTTTGCAGGGAAGGAGTTGGGAGAGAGCATTACCAGCACTTTTCTGTGCCCAAGGACTGGAATTCTGTGTGGACCTTACATGTGTGTGCACAAGCTTGTGGAAGGGCCTTGTATTCTCATTCCCCCACTGCAGACCTGTGTAAGGGCCAGGCAGAATCAGGCCCTTTAATTAACTGCCTTATAGCAAATGTCTAGGCTTGAATTTACACTGGGGCTGAACTTTTTAGATGAGTGAACAAGCATTTATATATAATGTCAAAATGCAGTATTATAGAACAGTGCCAGTCTTACCTGCAAGCCTGGTTGACCTGGCAATCCATGTGGGCCCCTTAGCCCCCTAGCTCCCTGAAAAAGAGGAGAAAAGATGTATTTGTTTGTGAAAACACTAGCATCTTAATTTCTTCCTCGCACAGAATTGCTCAACATGTCACATAGTGGCTCCAAACTCTCATTAAGCTCCTAATTGCCTATATCACTTGGACTCCATCTACGGCCCATTGGCACTATTCCAGTCATATACAACTGGCAGCATCTTTATTCCCATTTGACTGATGTTCTAGAACAATTCTTAGGTCATGCAGTATAGACGCTATGTATATGGTTATGTATAGTAGTATATAGTACATTATATATACTATAACTATTAGACAGTTATACTAGTATAGACTATTGTTGTTTGCGGTGGTCTTGTAGCCGTGTTGATCCCAAGATATCAGAAAGACAAGGTGGGTGAGGTAATATCTTTTATTGGACCAACATCTGCTGGTGAGAAAGACAATCTTTCAAGCTACACAGAGGTCTTCTTCAGGTCTGGGAAAGGTGGTAATACAAGGTGGACTAGATTCACAAAATGATCACTCCTTATCTGATCTCCTCTCAGTCCTCATCCTCAAAGGAAACTTGCATAACACTTTCAAAAGATGAGTTTGGGAGCTTAAATTCATAACTTTGCTAGACAGTAAAAAAAAAAGCCTTAACAAAGACAATGGATTGATGGATTATTACAACAATCTATATCCCAGTAACCCCTCTTTTTTGCCAAATGACTGCAGAGATATTAACGGACCATTTCACGTTTAATGATCTCTTACAAAATGTGTTTATTTATGCTCAACAATCTGTTCCACCTCGTATTTAGCTGTGACACTCTGACTACCTTTCCCAGACTTGAAGAAGAGCTCTGTGTAGCTCGAAAGCTTGTCTCTCTCACCAGCAAAAGTTGGTCCAGTAAAAGGTATTACCTCATCCAGTACACACTAGTCTCTCTAGTATACACTAGTCATGTATATAAATAATAGCATGTTGAAAAGAATTAAGCTCAGGTTACCAAAACACTGGAGATGCTATAGCCCTTGGGATATAAAAAAGAGGGTCCCTGAGCTATAGGGAGGAGGACTGCTTAACAAAAAAATAGAAAATATTTCATTTGGGATTTTATTTTTATGGCCAAATTCCAAGGCGCTCGGTGCACTCTGGGAAGACCCAGCAGCCCCACACAGTGAGGATCTGCCCCCATCCACTGCTTGCTTGTCACAGAGATTTCCGGGGGCTTGTGAATGTGATGGGGCATCAGTTGGTCAGTACTCTGCAAATCCACTGGACCAAAACCACAGTGCAATGTGGGAAGCACAGGCAATGTCTGCTTCTGTTCCTCTCGGCCAGTGATGGTGAATCTGACCTGGCTATGTTGGCTTGCTCATCTATTCTTGTGACTTTTGTCCTCTTGCACCTAGTATCGTGTGCTCCAACAGTGAAGCAACCTAGCACCCTCCAATCACATCAGCTTGAGCCTCACTCATGATACACTCTGTCATCTTCTGCTTTTCCTACACTATCTTTAATCTCTTGTGTATGGGTGGTAATAGTGAAGGCAAATCAGGTTAAAAGCTGTTGGTCTTTCTCTCTCCTACTATCATTCACTACTACATTTTCAATGAGACTATTCATAAGTAAGGATTACTCACTTTTAATACATGGCAGTAATGTACTCATGCTCTAGTATGTTGTTCAAAACGATCAAGCATATATGTGAGCAGCAGAAAGATACTTACAGGTGTGCCAGGGGGGCCTGGTTCACCTCTTGGTCCCTGGAATGAAAAGTATTTTTCTAAATAAAGGATCACACTTTCACTTTACCACAGAATTATGAGCCAACACATGATTTTCCATCATATAGAAATAATCATATAAATGACATCAAGCTTTGGGTTTAAAGAACTTGATATCACAACATTTAAATATATAATTTAACTACTGACATACATTTAAATATTTTGCAGAGAATTTTTCTAATAAATTTTATAATGTTATCTACATACTAAAGCTTTTAGTATTTTAAAGGAAGACTGGCTTCCTCAAGCCCAAATTTTCTTTTTGATATCAAAGTTAAGACACAGTGATGAATAGTGACAACACAATAATTTCCAGGGCAATAGACTAGTGTCATTAGTACAGGATTATGATGTCAGTACTGGATCAACCAAAAGGAATGAGGGAACATTAAGGGAGAAAGCCTTTATGAAAACACAAAAATGTCCAATAATAAAGAAAATACATAAAAACAATAACTGACTTCAGATACAGATGCACCTATGAGTCTCTAAAACAGGGAACAGCTCATAGGAGAGTAGCTGAAGTCATGTATTTGATTATACTTTTGTTGATTTGATTTTACTTTAAATCATAAAAATACTCCCAAACTGCATGCATGAAAAATGAATTAGTGATAAAGCATGGGAGCTCCAGCACTTCGCTCAACAGTTTCACTGTACTGTATTCAAGTTAGCAAAATCGCCTACATTTAAACATAGGGTTAAGTAAAGTTTTTACTATTAGTCTAACTCCAGATGAATTGAAGATTAAATGCAAAAGATAATGAGCCACAGCCTGCATTCTGGTGTACCACTGTGTGAGAGAATGGAAGAGAGAAGGAAACATTCTTCCTATCTTCAAGCAACAGGGCAACATCCCTCCAGAGAGTGAGTCCACCAAGAGATGTGCATGACTACCATAGCAGAGCACTCGCTATGTGTCTGCTCTGCTCCACTGAATTCAATGGGAGTTTTGTCCTGGTTGTAGGGCAGTGATGGATTAGTTTAGACATCTTGAGATATAAAGGTCTGGATCTTCAACTGGTATAAACCAGCATAGCTCCACTGACGTTAGTGGAACTATATTTACACCAGTTAAGGATACGCTCATAAGTTTGTTTTTTCTTTTAAAGCATCGTTAAAATTTTGCATTATCATGATGTGGCCAATCCCAGTACCTTACTGCTTTGCTTATCAGTATCCTACCGGTTTGCTGTTCCCCTTTCCGTGAACCTCCATCTCTCTCTCTCTCTCTCCCTCTGTCTTTTAGATCCCAATCCTGCAAAGGCGAGTAAAGTTACTTTGTGCATAAGTGTTTGCAGGATGGGAGCCACAGTATAACCTCTTCTGTGGCAGAGTCCATGCCTTCCTTTATGTTTGAAAAGACCTAATACATTGTAGGCACTGTTAGAAACAATGATAATGATACCCCCAAGTAGATGTGGTGTGCAGGAAGCAGATGCGTATTAAACCAAACCTGCAATCAGCAGCAAGCACTAACTGGAAGCAATTAGGAAGCACAAAGGCATCTTACTGAGAGAAGCAGCTACAAAGCCTTCATCCATGTGTTATGTGAACTCACTATGCCAATCGTGTTACCCATCAGCCCCAAAATTCAACAAGTGTTTGGCTTTAGGTCCATATTGTCCTCTATTGTCCATGGCAATTTGAAGTTCTGTGTCCCACAGCAACCCTAATTCCGCTTCTTTTGTACATTTGTAGAATCTTCCATTACTGAACACAATGGTAATTTTAATGCCTGTCTATATGTTCCTAGAGACTTTGGGGGTAATGTATAGCTGTTGTGGGAATTTCCTGCCTTTAGGGCAATTAATATCTCAATCTGTATACTGCAGTTAACATATTTGCATTTAATTTCTGTTTTAAAAAGAGATAAATTAGCTTTTATTAAACAATTTGAAGTTATTAGAATACTTACATTTGCTATACATGTCTTCCTACATTTTATGATTATTTCCACAATAATATACTTACTGGAGCACCTCTAATGAAATCTGAAATATATGCAGAGTTTCCTTTTTCTCCTTTTTGCCCAAGAACACCCTGAAAAATCAGTCAGTAATTAAAAATTATATTATGTTCTGTAATAACATTATGATCCGTCCTCTGATACTCTTAAGTTACTGTACAGTTTCAGTGATAACTTCTCAGTTTTGACGGCATTAATACTCTCTATACCTCCCAGCCATATTTAATTTCAGTGGACACAGTGGCTACTGGCATGTAAGTTCTTTACCTTTCCTAAAAATTCAAACCAGGGGTTTGGGGTGCAGGAGTGGCTAGGGGGGGCTCAGGGCTGGGGCAGGGGGTTGGGGTGTGGGAGGGGGTCATGGCTCTGGGCTGGGCGTGCAGGCTCTGTGGTGCGGCTGGGGATGAGGAGTTTGGGTGCAGAAAGGGCTCCAGGTTTGCAATGGGGGGGGACTCAGGGCTGGGAGGACAGGCTCTGGGGTGTGGCCGCAGATGAGCAGTTTGGGATGCAGGAAGGGGTTCTGGGTTTGGAGGGGGACTCAGGGCTAAGGCAAGGAATTGGGGCGCGGGCTTACTTCCGGCAGCTCCCCGTCAGCGGCGCAGCCGGAGTGCAGAGGCAGGCTTCCCGCCTGTCCTGGCACCGAGGACTGTGTTGCGTTCCTGAAACAGCCAGCAGCAGATCAGGCTCCTAGACAGAGGTGCACAAGCAGCTCTGCGTGACTCTCGCCTGCAGGCAATGCCCCTCCTGCCCCCAGCTCTCATTGGCCGGGTGGTGCTTGCAGTGGGGGGGTAACATGCGGAGCCCTGTGGCTCCCCTGCCTGGAAGCCAGACCCGCTGCTGGCCGCTTCCGGGGTGCAGAGCGGTGTCGGAACAGCTCGGCACTAGCCTGCCTTAGCTGGGCAGCACCGCCTACGGGACTTTTAATGTCCCAGTTGGCAGTGCTGACCAGAGCGACCCAGTGCCTGACATGCCGCGACAACCTGAACTTTGAAAAATGCTGCTGTAGCAGAATGGACCTGTCAAACAGAGGCTTTTCTGCAACTGTCCCAATGAAAGCTATATTTACCTCTGCCTTATTTACACTTATGTCTCTAAACAAATTTTGAGTTTGATTTCTTTGTACAACAAAATATTTTTATTAAATGAATCTTGTCACCTTTTCAGCTACTTAAGCTAGGATTTTATGTTGTCAACCCTTCCTTTAATTTTTCCAACCATTTATTTGTGATTTAAAGGGACAATAATAGGTATATATTTAATAAAAGTGTAATTAACATGTATTTAATTATACAGGAAAATGACATAAACAGGAAGTATCAGGGGAATTAACAGCCCATTGTGATACTGGTAGTAGGTAATCAAGTTGGTATTTGGTGCAATAAATCAGTTAGTAAATTGGAGTCAAACTATATATAGAGCTTGATGTGGCATTATTATACTCAAGTAGATAATTAAGATATTTGCTCTGACTTTGTCATGTTTTCCTAGAAAGCCCAATTTCTTGGTGTTGGTATTTTAGTTTGGATCCAAGGCTGCGTGTCTGTTCTTTTATGTTTTTATATGCTGGGAGTGATAGGTCTGCAAAGGCTCAGATTTCCTTGAACCAGCTAGATTCAGGCTATAATTTTGTTCCATGTCTCACTTTTTCTTTTATTTCATCCCTCTACTTCTTGTAGGTGAGAGTCTAGTCCGTGAGCCAAAGTACAGTCAGAGATTTCCTAGCAGCTACCGTTACCATGTTGAACAGAAGTCATTCTATTGTTCTGAAAGATGTAGTGGGTTAGATTTTTATCAAATTGTGAGCTGATGGCATTTTGCAGCCTATTAAAACTACACCACCAGAAATGTAGGGAGGGTTAATTATTGTATTTGGATCATATTTTATTCCTCTGCCTTATCCTTCGGCTTGTATATTGCTTGTTTTCTTAGGCCTGGATTCAGCAAGGAACTTAAGTACATGCCTAATTTTAAGCATCTGAATAGTTTCACTGGCTTCAATAGGACTGCTCACATGCTTAAAGTTAGGCCATGTGCATTAGTAACTTGCCGAGTCAGGGCCTCAGGCTATTCGTGTAAGCAGTACTAGCCATGTCGTGGGGCAGTCCTGGATTACAAACAATAATAAGGCCATAGCGTAATTTTCAGAAAATGGCGCTAACAGCACAGTACTAACTTTGCCACAGTTAATCAGTTCGTTACATCTTCCCGCAGATGACCTTTCTATTAAACTAAGGCTCAAATACAGCAAACAGGGTGACCTCTAATGTCCTTCAAGTAGTTTAATGCTTACATACGGTGATCAACCAAGTACCTTCAGTTAAATGTGTTAGACTTTAGCATAACATCCAGAACTGTTTATTGTTTAGTTTAGAAAATTTAGAGCAGCCCTTAACCTAATGACCTGGTAGCCATACCATGTTTTTGCAAAAGGTCAAACACTGTGGGTCAGATCCTTGGCTGGCGTAAATCAGCATAGTTCCATTGCAGTCACTGGAGCTATACCAGTTTCCACCAACTGAGGATCTGGTTCTGAGTTATTAATCTCCTTTAGCCAGTATTAAAATATTGGACCAATTTTAATTCAAACACACTTTCTGTTTTCAGAGGGAAAAGCTAACAATCTGAGAGGTAATTTTAAATATTTCAGTTTTATAAAATATACCTCGGGCCAGCCTGTGGCTGGCTATTACATGGGAGCACAAGGTGCTTGTGTGCATCTCAAGGTATGTCTACACGGCATGCTTCTTTCAGCGGCATATGGAGTACATATCAGCGCAGTCCCCCTAGCATGGGTATAAACGGTAGTGTAGCCGGTGAGGCATAGCTTAGGCAAGTAGAGAAAAGGCACACTTGAAGGGTGTGGGTATATACGCAAGTATGTTTCCTACACAGCTCTCTGAGCTTGAAGGAGTTCTTGTGTGATCAAGTACTGCAGAACTTCAGTTTAAGGGTTAGCAAACTTAATTTCATCTTTAACCTAACACCAGATCCTGCAAGGTGCTGAACACCCTCCACTTCGCTGAAGCTAACAGGAGGAGTGGGAAGCCCAGTCAGCACCTCATAAAAGGTGCAGTGTAGAAGATGGCCGAGTCAGGACATGAGCTCAGGTACCCAGAGTCATAAGCCTAATGCCCCTTTAATTTTGAAAGGTGTTAACATGGAGAGAAAGTTTAAATAGATATAATAAAGCTCATAACTTACAAATGAGCCTCTTGGTCCAATACACCCTCTCTCTCCTGGAAATCCAGGATCTCCTCTTGAACCATTGCAGCCATCCAAGCCAGGTTTGCCCCTGGACCCTTCAACTCCAGGATATCCCTAGTGAGGGTTTAATTACATGTAAAGATGGCATGGTTATTTAGGTTCAGGTTTTGTCTAAACACCACAGTGACACTGGTAACCCAGAATTGGGACAGAGGATCACCCACATATCTCGCTTCTACACTCTTTACACTGGAAAAGCCTCCCACTGAGATCTATGAGAATTTTCCTTACACCTAGCAATAGGCTCAAAGGGGCTGTAATCTGAAACTAGAGTTTTTGGTCTGATACCTCTTACATTCCCTTCTTTAATGCACAGTAGCTCTGCTGGATGAGTCAGAGAATTAGGCTGGATGCTGCTTTCATTAGAATCAATAGCAAAAGTTTTTCTTCACTGGAAGCAAAATCAAGCTCTCCGAGAGTAAATTCCTTCTGGAAGCAATAAAGAGCTATTACATTTGGAGAAACATGCAAAGGTTTTATTCCTTGTGAATGACCTACACTAAGGTCATCCCAAACTAGCTAGGCCCTTTCTTACTGTTAGGGTGCAATTCAAGAAAATAGGGCACAACTTGAGTCAAACATACTGTGAGCTCAGGAAAATCCACACACAAACTGTGGGATGGAGGAACTGATTTTCCAACCCCCGATGCACTGACCATTCACTATTATAGGAATGGGAGAGTAGTGGACAGTGAGGTTGGTTGGGAATTTTCCATCAGAATAATTTTCCAACTGAAAATGCCTTTTGGGCAAAATTAAAAATTGTCAAATGAAAATGTCAGTTTTGCCAAAAAAAAGTTAGGTTTTCCATTGCAAAAACTGAAATGACTACTCCTCGGCAGCCAACCTGGAAGATTGTTGTCTGGAAGAAGAACCTTCCAAGCGGGAAGCTGGCAAATAAAAAAAAATCCCATTTTAGTGCTTCTGAAACAATAATTTTTAAAAAATCCCTTCCTGTGAAAAATTTTGCATCCTTGTCTTTTCGTCCTGATTCAGGATAATTTTTTTCACAAACATGCAATTTTTCATGGAAAGGGATTTCTATTTTCCAGACAACTCTAGCAGACACAACCCTGTTGTCTTCTCTATGATAGATTTTGATCTTACGGAGTCATGTCTTTTACAGCTCCTCTAGAAACAATCCCAACTACATGGACAGATATGGAGAGCAAACACAGAGCACAAATGGATCAGAGATCCCCTCCACAGGATTTCTGCTTCCTGGCCTACATGAACATCCAAAGTGCACTATTTCCACTTTTGTAGTCATAAAGGCCCTCCCAGGATTTAACTCTAATAAAAAATCATTTTCAAAATATTGATTTAATAGAGCATCCTGTCCTTTCACTTCCATTTATATATGACACCTTGTACTCAAAGCTGTATTTCTGTCTACCTTAATCCTGAGGTATCCAGATCTATAGTTCCTATTCAGAAGATCTCCCACTGAATCATAGAATATCAGGGTTGGAAGGGACCTCAGGAGGTCACATAGTCCAACCCCCTCCTCAAAGCAGGACCAATCCCCAATTTTTTCCCCCAGATCCCTAAATGGCCCCCTCAAGGATTGAACTCACAACCCTGGGTTTAGCAGGCCAATTCTCAAATCATTGAGCTATCCCTCCCCGAGTTGGTTTCAATGGGATTTTTATTTGAGTAAGGACTGCTGCACAGCGCTCAAAATGTTTCAACAGAAAAAGAACTACTACTTTGGGATCCTTTTAGCTATTTTAAGAATATTCAGAAGCCGTGTGGTCTACTTTAGAGACTAGAGCCAGAAACTACTTGTTTTTAATCCTGGCATTGGCATTTCCATGCTGCATGGATTTGAGAAAGTCTCAGTTAACCTCTCTATCTCCAATCCCCCCCTCTGTAAAATGGTAATAATATTTACTTACCTCAAAGAGGTGTTAATGGATTTAATTTGTTGGTTTGTACGGTCTTTTGGAAAACATGTAAAGTGTGAAGTATTATCAATACTAAATGTCATAATGGTTTACTTTGTTTTTCACACATGTACAACATATGCAGCTCTCCAGGTGATATAGTAACGAAGGGTATAAAACTAACCATATCTGATTATTTAGGTAATCTGTTAAAATAGTTCCCTATGGGTTCAGACGAACTGTAATCTTTATAACACAATATTGGCAGTGTACTTACAGGCACACCATCTAAACCAGGAAATCCTGGGACTCCTGTTGGGCCCTAAAAAAATAAATCACTTTTACAATTTTGTTCTTTGAGAACACTTTGAAACTGAGGACAACATGAGGATGTAGTGCTGTAAAATTAGGTCAAAAACTATCAGGAAATAAAGTCACATTTGAATCATGAATTTAAGACCTCACTACAGGATAAACGGCTATATAAGATGTCTGCAGGTTGTTCCCAAAATAAGAAAAAGGGGGGGGGGGGTTTTTTTTTTTATCTTTTTGGGAGAGAGAAGTTTTGAGTACCAGAGCTCTTCTTCAGGTCTGGGAAAAGATATTCAGAGTGTCACAGCTAAATACAAGGTGGAACAGATTGTTTAGCATAAATAGTTAACACATATTGTAAGAGACCATTCAAGGCCAAGTGGCCAGTTATGGTAAAACACCTTGTATTTAGCTGTGATACTCTGACTACCTTTCCCAGACCTGAAAAAGAGCTCTGTGTAGCTTGAAAACTTGTCTCTCTCACCAATAGAAATTGGTCCAATAAAAGATATACCTCACCCACTTTGTATCTCTGATATAAAGTAGACAGACTCCACCTGAGGTTATCTAGCTAGTGTATCTTGAACAATGATCAATGATAGCTATGAATGCCACAAATGGTACTGGGGGACAATATTAAATTCTTGGGGCCAACTTCATCCATTAAAGCACAAGGGATTACTCAAAAAATGAATTTAGCCATAATGTGTAAAATAATAGCATGTGTCATATTAGAGGCTGGCTTCTGCTCCCACTTATATCAATGGCACAACTTTTCTTGACTCCAGAGGAGGATCAAGCCCTATATTTTAGTGGAGTTGTACAAAAGAAGCTAAATTCTGATCTCACTGACACTGGTGTCAATGGAATTAGACAAGTGAAAGCCAGGGTAAAGGTTCAAGGATTGTAGAACTATGTAAAACCAAAGGCTGAATTATAATAAAAGACACCATTTATGATTCCATTACCCACCATAACCAAAGGTGGCAAAGTTATGCCTATTGTATAGTACTATTTTAAAGTTCTATTCTTCCCCCACATATGTGCACGTAACCACCTTGATGCTAATGTGAGTGAGGTGGGACATATCAAATGGACACTTAGACCCCTGAATTTTAACTTTTTACTGCCAACTTCAATTTAATAACTTGGGGCAAAATTCTGCAGTTCTTTCTCAGGCAGCTCTACAACTGATTTCAGTGGAAGTTTTGCATGAGTAAGAACAGGAGATGTCCATGTAATTTTAACGTTCAGTAAAGGCTTTTATTGTTCTTGATTTGTTTCATTTTGCAATATTCACCGTTATATTTTACATACTAAAAAGACCTTCCCATGGCATTTCCTACCTTATCACCCTTTTCTCCAGCGGGCCCAGGCAGCCCATTCTCACCTCTCTCTCCTTTCTCTCCTTGCAAACCATCTGGCCCTGTACATCCCAAAGATCCAATTGGACCTTGAGCACCTAAGTGACCAGGCTGACCCTGAAAGAAACAGAAGAAATAATTCAGAGGTAGTTCAGTAAATAAATATACTTAACCTCCCTCTGGCTGCTGTTGATGGCGTGGAGAACACTATAAGTAAAACAAAGTTTGAAATATTTATAAATTGTATGTTTAGTAATATAATGACCAATATTTCACACAGTCACTTTGAAAAATATTTTGGTAGTGACTTTACTTTTATGTTGTTGTGGTTACTGTCTATTGATATTGCAGTCGAATACTACACTTTTGGAATGTTTGTGCTTTGAATAAAATGTAAAAGATGCTAAAGTCCTATCGGATTTAAGCTCCTACATCACTTGGCCACTTCTGAAAATTTTACCTGTCAATCTGAATCTTTTTATAATGACTAATTTAAAAAAAAAAGAATCCAGGTTCCAACAGAGTACCCTTTAAATAGAATGGTTGGGATTTTTTTAAAAAGTATATCTGTTCATCTTACCTGCTGATGTTTCAGTAAGGGAGAAACTACCTATTTGGGGAAATCAGTAAAATAGCAATACACAAAGTGCTGCCATGTGCACAAAACAAACAAACTGAAAAATATTAAGAACTGGTTTGCTAAATTCTTTCCCCCATAGTCATTCTAGGTGTTACTAGCAAGTATAACATTATTAGAGGAAAAAATGATTGTCCGGCTGACAGTCTCCCTTTAACTTAAGGTTCTCTTTGCTGTTCTGAAGTTGGTTTAGACATTAGTGTCACAGTAGTAACTTCATAATTAACACTGAAAGACTTTCAGTTCTAAGTCATTCTTTTTACCAGGGTGGATTTGATTTAAATCACGAATCAGGAAGACTCAATTTAATCATGGATGTCTACATAAAAGTGCATTCTTGTTGGTTGTTATAACCTTAATACATATTCTTCACAACTCAGAGATAGATGTAGGTTTCATTTTTTAGAAGGTACACACTATACATTTTTAAGTGATTTATCTTTTCAGATTAGTTTTACAATATCAGAAAATGAATGATTGTTTGGTTATTTCATTTACCAAAGGTAATTGAAGCAGATATCTATGAAGTCTTTGGGAGGTGAACTATCTCCAATTCAACAGGTTAATCATTAATATGTGGAGGATTTTCTTGCCGTGCTGTATTAGGAGGAGAACATCACCAGACAGACATTTAAATTGTTTTATTTAACTAAAACAACAACGTTATGTATTCTGGATTTTTTTTCTTCAACAGCAAACATATAATATTTTAACAAAACAAGCATATGAATTTTTTAATTTAGTTAAACATTCACGTTTTTTTAAAATCAGGTTTGTTTTTGTTAAAATTGTTTTAAACTAAAATACGTAAATGAAATATTTTTTTTAAAAAAATTAAATCGACTATGTCAGCCAGGTCAACATGAGAAACTTAAAATGTTGTCTTCCCCTTCATTTTCCTGTTTGTTCATAATCTGGAAAAGAAAAACAAGCTTTCCTGCTTTTTCAGGTCCCAAATGATTTCTCAATTTGGAATGAATTAGTCCAAAGGAAGAAAATAGTCTTTCTCCACCAGCAGAAGAAGCTACTGCTGTTAAAAGTGAGATTATCACTTCAACAGTCTCTGAATCCAAGTGCTTTAATGACTTCCACCAGTCCACTAGTGTGACTTTCTTTAAAACATCGTCACCAAACATATATTTCCTGAATCATTCTTATTCCCAAACTGGATCTCTTTTATGGCCTGCTGCCATTATAGGTTTTCCCTTCTAGTGAGAGAATGGTATGGTAGATCTCAAATCAATGAAGGCTACACTCAGAAAGACCTCAAGACTTCTGGAATATGCTGCTCAAACAGTTTCACTTTTGTTTCTAGTGCCTGTCCCTCCCTTCTCACATTTATCTCCAGACTTCTTCTCCTTATCCAGATCTATTTGAAACTTTGCACTTTTAGAGAGAGGTAAGGGATTGACTCTGTGTACACAAATTTGCAGAGAGACAATAGAGTTGAGGTCTATTATTTCTCACCTCTATATACTTATTTTAAAACATTTTCTTTGTTAACAAGCATGTTATCTCTGGAGACACAAATCCACCGTTTGAGAACTGCAAAACTAAGCATCTCTGATGGTATCTTCTAGACTGAGCCCTGAGTCCCATTGGCTGGATAGAAAGATTAACCTAAATAATCTATACAGAAGCCCCTGGAGCCCCATAAAATTGGGTCCCTAATCCATGAACTATTGGAACTCATTTACAAAACTTTTCTTAAATATTACATGAATATATTGTCTCATACTATACAATTAGAATTTATAATCCTTATTCCATGATGAGATATCTTTGAGCTATAATGTATCTTCATTAAAACTATCTTTAGATAGGGTTTTTCCTCAAAAAGGATTTTATCAAAAAAAATTCCATTTAAATAAAAAAAAATCTGATATATATATATACATAGTGACAAAGTTCCTGCTCCACCTTGGTGGGTCTTGCGCTTATTGGAGGATTTGCTCGCCTTGGAGCTTCATGGCAGCCCTCAGCTTGGCCGTTTTTCTGAACCCACAGTCCAGGTCGACTCCTGTGTCTGACCAGGAGTTGGGAGGATTTGGGGGGAACCCGGGCCCGCCCTTTACTCTGGGTTCCAGCCCAGGGCCCTGTGGAATGCAGCTGTCTAGAGTGCCTCCTGGAACAGCTGTGCGACAGCTCCAATTCCCTGGGCCACTTCCCCATGGCCTCCTCCCAACACCTTCTTTATCCTCACCGTAGGACCTTCCTCCTGATGTCTGATAATGCTTGTACTCCTCAGTCCTCCAACAGTCCGCATTCTCACTCTCAGCTCCTAGTGCCTCTTGCTCCCAGCTCCACCCACAAACTGAAGTGAGCTCCTTTTTAAAACCCAGGTGCCCTGATTAGCCTGTCTTAATTGATTTTAGCAGCTTCTTGATTGGCTGCAGGTGTTCTAATCAGCCTGTCTTAATTGTCTCCAGAAGGTTCCTGATGGTTCTCGAACCTTCCCTGTTCCCTTACCTAGGGAAAAGGGACCTACTTAGCCTGCTCTCCTCCTGCTGCTGCCCTCTGGCCTGGGCCTTCCTTGCTTTTTGCCCCTGCTTTTGGCTTTCCCCCCGACTGGGCCAGACGCTCTCCCCCCTTTCCTTTCTTTTTGTTGTTTTTTTTTCTTTCTCTGCTGTTGCTAGAGTGCTTGCAGGCTGCCGGCCGGCTGTTAGCACCCCCCTGCCCACCCGCCCTCAGACGCTGCTGCCGCTCCAGCTGAAACCCCCCCCCGAGAGAGGGGGGGCCTGCTGACCCGCTCCCCGGAGGGGGGAGTGGAGGGACCCAGCCCCCAGCCCCAGCCGCTTGCTGTTTGTTTGTGGACCCGTATTCGGCCGAGAGGAACTTTTATCATCTGCTCCGGCATCCCTGGAATGTTGCAGCTGCGGAGAAAGCCCAGACTAGAGAGAAAGAGAAACAGCCGTCTACCGGAGGAACACCGCCTGGGGAATTTACAAATCGCCGTGGAGGGGGCCCAAGACTGAGTAACTTTCGAACTGTGCTCTCGTGTGGGGGGAGGCCTTGACTGTGTCTTGACTGTGTTTGTAGGGACACAGGGGGTGTGGCACTGAGCTGCCCCCCGATCCATCTGTGTCCTCCCAACCCCCACACTACGATCTTCCTCACTGCCCCCTCCATCCTCGTTGCTGGCTGTTTAACATCTGCCTCTGGACTTAGCTGCTCGCCCTGATTCCACCGTGTGGGCCAGAAGCACCAGCCAACCAAACAGGACTCTCTGGACAAGCGTACGGTGGTTCATGTGCCCCCCCACCCCGAACTGCCCATCCCACAGCCTGTCCCTTTTTACCTGACCCCAACTCCTGTTAACCACCTGCCACCGCCCCTGCTGGGGCATTGGCAATGGACGGCACCGGGGTGACCTCTGCTGCTGCCATGCCCACTGCCTCCCCAGACTCTAGGGGAGTCCCCCAGCTGGCAGGAAAGGCCAGGGCAAGAAGAAGGGGAAGGGCCCCGCTAAAACCACCAGGCCCTCCGTGGCAGGGGCCACCCCCACTGCTGCGGCCCCGCCACCGACCACGGCGTCCTTCCCCTCTACCCCCCCCATCAGCTCTGCGGGTGTCCCTCCCTCACCCCCCAGGATGTATGCCCGGGTGGCGGCAGCCCCCCCGCCTGCCACCTCGTCATCTCTCCTGCCCACCACCTACGCCACCATCAACAGCGGCAGGGGCCCCTTCCACACCATGACAAAGAAGCACGGTGTCCGATGCCTCCTGGTGCCCGCCTCGCCCCACGTGGAGACCTACTTGCGGGCGTTGGCGAGGGTGGTGGGGCCCTTGGCCATTGTGGCAGCCTCCAAAATGTATGGGAAAGTCGTCTTCTTCTTAGCATCAGAGGCTGCCGCCCAGGAAGCGGTGGAGAGGGGCCTGGCGGTGGGGGGGATGTTTGTCCCCCTAGAGCCGCTAGAGGACCTGGGCGTCCACCTGGTCCTGACTTCTGTCCCTCTTTTTCTCCCCAATGCTGCCCTGTTACCCGCCCTTTCCACCCTGAGGAAACCTGTTTCTGTCATCAGCCCTCTCCCGTTGGGCTGCAAGGACCCCACCCTCCGTCACATCTTTTTCTTCCGCCAGGAAGTGCAGCTTCTATTGCCGTCGGCGGCGTGTGACGGAAAGGCACTCGAGGGGTCCTTCCTAGTCCCCCACCAGGGGGCCCGTAACCTTGATTTGGGCGACCTCACTCCACCTCTCTTTTCCCCATGCTCCCTCCCCCTAACTGCTGCTTCTGTTCCCACTTCCGAGGAGCCCCTGGACTCCTTCATCGACCCGGCCGCTGATGGCACCCCGCTGAAGACCACCAAGCCTCTCAGGTGACAGCCGGCGCCATGCGGCCGGGACACGAGTCGCCAGGGGCACTCCCCGTTGGTGCGGAGCAATCGACTTCCTTCCTGGGCAGGGGCCCAACAGAAGATAATCCACCTCCTGATGCTGTGGCCACTAAATCCACCATAGAGCCCGTGCCTGGTATCACTGAG